GACAAATTGCAGGGGAAGTGACATGAGACTACCTCGTTTAGGCGAAAAAGATATAACCATCTGCCAGAAAATAGGCTGGAGAGATTGCCTTTGAAATTTGGCAGTTCGAATTATTTAGGATGTCAAATTAGTGCTGCGCACCACCAACTCTATTTGAACCAAACTTTGTATCATTTATATGCACGTTGCGTTGGAGTATTATTTGTGTATGGATTGCTGGCCCAGATGAATAAGACACACCTACGTACGTGTTGTGAGTTGTGACAAATGTATCAAACTTGAGAATGGACTAATTTTCTCTAATATCTCTATTTCTTCTTTTTTTAGGAAATTCTCTATCGACATGCCGTAGCTTATGACTTCAATGATAGAGCATTTTAAACACAAATCAAGTGTTGGAGTTCCACTTTCCATTGTTTTCATTCTCATACCTCAAAATGCATCGTGTAAAATTTTATTTTTAATGAAAAAAACATGGTACACTACCGCTTTATTTAATACATGTCACACGGTACAAGTATTACGTTTAAGTATTTAAACACAATTGTAAGGGGTTTCAAAGGAAAAATAAAATACAAGAAACTTATAGCTCAAATAGTTAACAACATTCACTTGTGTAAATGATGTCCTGTGTTTAATTTCATTATCCCTTATTGCTAGACGTCTTTAGATTGTTCATAACTTCTAACATAGCATTTAGGTACGGTGAGTAAATGATATATTTATATTTCAAATCATGTTGTATGTAGAAGAATATGTCTCCAAAATCGTCTTTTAGCGCATTCAAATTTTTTGGACATCCAAACATAACCTTGGTGTAATTTTTCCATAACACGTTCAAATAGTAAACTTCATATTTCTATCCCCCAAAATAACAAAAATTAGGAAATTGTAAATCAACGGTCTTGATTTGATAATTCTGTGGGCCCCTATTTTTACAGAAGAAACAAAAATATTTGTGTGAAATGGGAATATTACTGTTTTGCTATCCTGACCAATCACGGTATGTCACGCATGATAAGTTATCCACATCCATGATTAACTGAGAGTAGCAAAACAATGCTACTCCTATTTCACGTGAGTTTTTCTGCTTTTTGAAGGCCTTGGTGGTGAAGAAGTGGTCCGATCTCTCCAGAGACTAACTAACCAAAATGTCAAAATCCCAATTAAATGCCCTCCGCTCTCTCCCGCGTTATTTTTGGCCGTCTGCTGACGGGGATTTGAGCTGTTAGCTCCTTCTTTCCCTCAATCGACACCAGCTCAATCCCGGGTCGGGTCGGCTCACCCGGGCTAACTGGTCCCAAAACTATTGAAATAGGGCCCACCGGCTCCCCTCATTGCATTATTACGGCTCACACGTGAACACAACGCTCTTATTCACACGTGGCGCCATGTCATTGGCAGTACACCTGATGGGATAGCCAACTCCACATGGGATATCGAAACAGTTGTGAAATGGGACCATCGGATTTCAAGTCCGAATCTGCCCTTAATTAACATTATCCTCTAGAACGTACAATCAGGGATCTATATTACCTTTGATGTGGATGTGATGCACTGGATTGTTATTCTTTCTTTTGCCTTCCATTTCTTTTTTGGCCTATTATGTTTTGGCATGATTCAAATTATTTTCACTAAAGTACTATTCCACTAGGTTATTTGATGTCGGCATGTTTGTTTGCTAGGAAGGTACACATGTCCATGGTTTCAAATGTCTATGAACATCAAAAACATACATAAAAAGAAATATGATAGGGAGATTACATTTATAGACTTTTATTAGAGAAGTGGTACACAAAATGATCTATGAATGTGGTTTCTCTAGCATTACTTGAATAAAATAAGCTTCATTTCCCAATCGTTTGGATTTGAAGTTGTGGGGTAACAAAAGGTATTGAACAGTTGTATCTAACATGCAACATTCATTCCTTTTTAGTTTGTCACGTGTCAAATGCGTAATAGACTCACTAGTATAGTAGTTCCGGAGCAATTGCTCTCCACAGGAAAAGTCCTGGGTTCGAGTTCTAGTATTCGTATAGTGTAGTGTTGCGAGTTTAGTATATTATCGCCCTCGCAATAGGAAATGTCCTAAAAAAAACACGTAACATTCACTCCTTTTCAATTTGCCACACATCAAATGTGTAATAGACAAGGGGCAATTGTGAGATGGGGATTTATTAGATCAAGCAGCGTATCCAAGCCTATCCGTCAAACCATTCATTTAGATCCAATATAAGTTTGGCCCATGCCATTCATAAAAAGTCACATCAAAATCCGACATAAGTTGTGACCCCCAAAAATAAATGTAGCCCAATACTGGCACACTTTGATATGGGTAGGGCTAAAGCCTAATCAAGCTCCTAACTACCTTAACAGTGATTTGGATCTTACGAAATCTCACAAGTCATGCGAAAAATAGTTAGCATTACTTAAAATAACAAATTATTGCGAAAGAGCCTCTTAGCATTGCTCAAGATATAAGGCTATACTAACCAAGGCTAGCTTAGGCATTAAACACTCTCACCACATAAAATCATAAGCCCTCACGCGTGTCCTCTCAAACGCATCAATCCTTCAGAATATTTAGTTGACCCAATTGGCTCTTTGGCTGGCACTACACTATCGCCTTCATATGTAAGGTGCCACAAAGGAGACTCTTCCTTACTTGCCATACCCAAATTAATTCTTGTTGATCATACGAATTTCTTTTTCAAGGCATGACCATGGGGTTGACAGTTTGCACAGTTTCTATTTATTTCACCAATTTCTTGCAAAGTATTGGATCATGACAAGGTGGACCATGGCCCAAATTTGAAAATGCAACCAGCTTAACCTCAAATATGGCCCATGTGGATTCTACATTCCCTCTTTGACCCCCTAAATATTGAGCACCTTGTAGATATGTCAAGCAGCAGATGCATTTAGAATTACACTTGTCATGATCCAAAATGGTCCCTCAATGATACACAGGGATGCTTTGATGTCCATGTACAAAACTTCTGTCCCATCTGATGGCCACTCTCTCACTCCCTCACTCTCTCACTCAACAAGTTTTTTTCAGAAGAGTAATAATCAAATCATAAGATTTGTCAAGCTGGGTCCACAGGTTCATGATGTTGAGACACCAGGCCCACAGGATCAAATTTGGATTATTGCTGTAATGCTTACATGAACATACATTCCTCTTGAACATGGTAATTTTTTGGACATGGATATCATTATATTTGCTAGATTGATTGAGCCATTTTTCTAATTCAAGCAAGACCTTTTTTTTCCCCAATACAAGCAATAGTTTAAACTACAGGAGGAAAAGTTTTTCACACACATTCTTAAGATCTCATGTTGAAGAATATAAGTCCCACATTAAAAACTTAACTAAATAAAATACAACATTTAATGAATAATTCCACTACTAATATCACCGTTGCATTTTGTGATAAAACCTCACACATACTGAGATTTGTAGGTGGTTAAGTTGGGGACAATATCGTTGTTGCTAGTAGTGGGCCGTTGGCACATCTCTATGAGAGTGGAGATGAGATTGAGTGAGAAAATGAGAGGAGAGAATAGGAGGGAAGAGTAACAAAAGTGAACCCAAATAGGAGGACTCCTTTATTCAAATGCCTTTCTCAATTTATTTTGTCTAGGCTTTTAATAATGAGCTCCAAATACCAAATTTCTAAAAATACGTACATTAGTTTATACAAATTGATATTAAGAAGAGAGGAATATCTCGAGTGTAGGAGTAAATGCTCTTGTTAAACCACAAGTCCCTTTGTGAAAACATGCACACTTAAATTCTTCGTTTTATGACCAAAATAAGATTGAATCCTTGTATAATAACATAGAAATGTGAAAGGTATAATTTTGAGATTAGCTTTCACCAAATCACATGCAAAAGCAAAACGCAGATTAGCTTTCACAAAATCAGATAAAACCGAAAGCAATCTTTGTTTCCCCCAAATGAGTGAAAAAACCAACCCCATCGCCCCACCATTGGACGCTGTCACACACTCTACATCTATTCATGGCCATTCTTCTTTGTCAACAAGCACCATCTTTTTGCCCTTTTTTTATTTTATTTTCATTTAATTTTTTTGGTTCAGAGAGCTATTTTTAACGGATTTTTCGTTACAAGATTGGCCAAATCTTGAGAGGAAAACAACATGTGGTGATCAAGTAATAGCGCAAACAATCAATCAACATGGGCTGGCCAAATCCTCCATGTGAGAGAGAGACTCACTCGGGCTACATCTCCAGAAGTAGGTTCTGGTTCTATTCTATCCACTTGGGCCCCACACTGCCCACACCTCTTTGTTAGCTTTCTCCCCTGACCCCTGTACTGCAATTCCAAAGCAACCATCTCCCCCACAGGTATCTTTCTTCACTCTGTTTCTTTAACCATTGAATTTCCCTGATAGTAGTTTATGCAGGCAAAGGCAAATTCCATCAGTAAATACCTCTGCACCTGATTTGCAGCTGACCCTCTGGTTTTTATGAGGTGGGTTCAATTTGGCTACTGCTGACATTGTGTTTTCTGATTGAATTCCATGAGATATAGTTGCTTGTTTTTATTTCCCACCCAGAAATTTTTTATTTTGTGAAGCTGTTGGGTACTTGTAAGTATTAACTTTTTCTTCACATTTTTTCATGTGGTGGTGTTGTTTGTTTGTGCTTTTCACTCAGAAGATTGACTTCTTGTGCGTAGGTTGATCTTGGGTAGTTGTGGAATGTTAACTTTTTAGGAAGTGACTGGTTTTGCTAGTTGGCTAGTTTTTGGTTTCTAATGTTTGAACTTGTCCGAAGATTTTCTATTTTAAAGTAGGTTGATTTTGGAGGAGATAGGTGTGCTTTCTTGATGAGGCATTTTATATTTGGTATCAGGCTAGGCTAGTTTTGGGTTGTGATTGTGGACTCTAAAAAAGGATGGAAATTGGAGCTTGTCATGAATTTTGTACAAATTATAATTTTTGTGAGCGGAATTTGTGGTGAAGAGGGGAATGACAGGAGGAAAAGATGAAGAACACTTGATAAGTCCTGTATTTCCTAGGTTTCATGTCAATGATACAGACAAAGGAGGGCCAAGAGCACCTCCAAGGAACAAGATGGCTCTCTATGAGCAGTTCAGCATCCCTTCTCAGAGTTTTACCTCTGGTTCAGCATCCATGTTGCCTCTTCCACACAATGACAGAAGATTGGTTCCACCCACATCCTGGAGTGATGTGAGTACAGCAATCTAAATGGATTTTTGTTAATTTAGTCATGAATAACATAAAAATTGTTCCTCTTTTGGTTACTGCAATTTTGTGTTTGTTAGAATCTAAGCAATGAGATGCCTTTAGTTTGAGCTCTGTGCTCTCACTGGTCATTTCATGAAAGGATTTTGTACCGGTGGTTTTAGAAGTAAATTTATTAAACCGAAAGTATGTACAAGATAAACTGTATCATAAGTAAGCTTATAGGCTTGAGCTTGTACAGCATTGTCATTGTTTTGATTGAGCCATTAGTTTTGATACACATGAATGTTCTTGATCTGTCTGGCGTCTCAGGATGGCTTGTAATTTATTTTTCCCTTTCTGCTTATATTTTCTTATTTATTTAGTTGTGGTTCTTCTGAGCAGTTCCAGAATGTAACAAGATTCTCTAGTACTAGATTTCTGAATATACATAAATTTACTCTGTACTTTGTCTTGTACAACTAATGAAACAATTGGTATTTGTAGGTTAGCAGCAACGAAAGGAATATATTGACCCCGCCTTGCAACTTCCTTGTTGTGCCTTCAGACCCAGCTGAGAAGATTCAGTCTTATGATCCTACTGGGGCTAACTTAAACACCATGATGGCAGATTGTGAAAGGATATCCACCAAACCTTCAAATTATTTGAATACCACAGGGCCATCATCATCAGCAGCTAAATATGATTCGTTTCAAAAAAAAAAACCCCCTACTTTAGGAACTTTTCTTTGGAGAAGTATGGAAATGAGGATTATCTTAAAGTCCCTTCCCCTTTCCAAGGAACAGCTCTGCAATGTAGAAACAGTCAGCAAAGCAAAGAGAAGGAAAAGCTGCCTTGCTTGAGCTCCATGGAGCAACTTAAAAGTTCTTGCATTAAGAAAATTAATGGTAGTAACACCATTGATCTGAAGTTGAGGCAATGTGGGAGAAACCATGAAGAAGAGAACCCAAAAGTGTCTCAAACTAACGAGGACCCTGTGGAAAGGTCTGTCTCTCTTGCTTTAGCTATAGTGAAGGATTTTGCAAATACCTCATCTAGCCCATCAAATACAGTAAAAAATTCTGAATCATTGAAGCGGGCGCATGCATCTCTGAGCCAAGAAAATAGAAGTTCAGTGAATGATTTGAGCAAATTATGTAGTTCTAGTGCACGATTGCATAGAGAGTCTATGACTGTGCATGACAGAGTGGCCCTTAGGGATGGCATTTTGGTGCAATCCAGAATAGGAACAGCTAAGGAAATTTTGTCAAAAGTGAGAGAGAAGTCATGTTTGACACCATCTCTTGTGGATGACAATAGAATTTCTGGTGGGCTCGGAAATGAAAATGAATGCTGTGAGGAGAAATGTGGGGTTGCACAAGTTGGAAATTTATGCGGACATGAAGATATCTCAGATATGTCCATAATGGACTGTAATTCAGCTATGGGTATCTCCCCTCATGATGTTATGGGAGTGATAGGTGCAAAACAGTTCTGCGAAATGAGAAAAGCTATCGTCAGGTAAGTACCTCTGTTTGATGCTTGCTACAAACATTTTTGTGAAATTAGTGTTTTTGTTGTCTTTTGCTAGACATTTTGGAATGATATTCATAATCATAAGTTTTAATTGATCTGACATGTTACCCCATGCAACATTCCCTGTGCCTAAACGTTTTATTTTGTACTCAGTCTAAGGTATGATTTCCAGTCTCACATTCTGTTTCCATTTCAATATCTTGTACTTAACTAATTGCTTCTCCCATAGTGCTGTGTATAGCCATTGTTGCTCACGTGTCATGACTGAATCATATGAACTGATGTTCTTTAATCTTATTCTCATTTGTGTTACTTCAGAATTTTCATCGTGCATCTATTATTACTTAATTATGCTCTTATCCTGTTTAGAATCTAAATATTACATGGTCTTCTGATTCAACTTTCATGGCATTATTTTCAGTCAACAAAGAGTTTTTGCAGCGCAAGTGTTTGAGTTGCATAGGTTAATAAAGGTAATCTGTTTATTGCTGAGGGTCAAGTTGACATCCTCTTTCTTGAATGTGTGTGTCTGTATATTTAGTTTCCTCAATTTGAGTTTGACTCATGAAATAAGTGAGTTCCATTACACATTAAAACTGATACAGGTGCAAAGATTGATTGCTGGATCACCACACCTATTGCTTGAAGACAATGATTTTCTAAGCAAACCTGCAACTAAAGTACCTCCAGTGAAGAAGGTGCCATTGGAGCATGCTCTAGAGCCGCCACCCTTAATTGTTAAACCCAAAGACCATCCTCAGAAGCCACATTCTAGTGGTGAATGTGTTGAAGAAAATGCAGTTGAGAAGTTCCCTCTACCTCCTGTCAACAATAGAACCAGCAGCAGAGGACTTGTCACCCAGCAATCAAATTATGGTCAATATTCAAACAAGTCACCATCAGCTTCTGCGACTACCAATAGCAAACCAGCCCTATGGTGTCTCCAACCCCCGCCTGGAAATATGTGGTTTGTTCCAGTAACGTCCTCTTCTGAGGAACTCGCTTACAAGCCGTATACCGGGCCATGCGCTCCAACTGGAGGTTTCATGGCGCCGATGTATGGCAGCTGTGGCCCTGCGAGCCTAAATCCAGGGGCCAGGGACTACTTAAATGCAACTTATAGCAATCCATCTTTGTATCAACAAGGGATGGGAATTGGTACACCACCTTTGCTTCAGACATGCTTTCCACCTTATGGCATGCCAATCATAAACCCATCTTTGTCCAGTTCGGCTGTTGAGAATATGACCCCATTTTCAGGAGGTCATTCAAATTGGCACGAAAATCAGTTATCATTCGGGGAAATTAACTTCACCTTGCCACATCAAAGCTCATGTAACATGTCAAGCCAGATGAGCCAAGTAATGCCATGTTATGTTGGGAACATCCAAGCTTCGAAAGGGAGGGAGATACAGGGAACAACAGCACGTAGCCCTTCAGACAGGACCATAGGCAATGCGCTTCCCCTTTTTCCTACGGCTCCACAATCTCAGGAACCTTGTAAAAGTGAGCATCAGACACGTGCGATCAAGGTTGTTCCTCACAATACTAAATCAGCATCTGAATCAGCAGCCCGGATATTCTTGTCAATACAAGAGGAGAGGAAATAAATGGAGTTGATTGATCTCAAATCACTACAATTATGAGACGTATAGAGCGGAAAATTAGTATGTATTATAATCTTTTTACTGTATTAAATGTTTGATATCTCTGTATCTGTAATCCAATTATTTTGTTAATAAAATGTAAATGTGTTTTTGAATACTGAAAAATTTCTATTACAGCAGTTGCTTGGAGACATGCTTTCATATGGTTCTTTGTTTTCTTCTTGTGCTTCTGTGAAACTGGCCCATTCTATACCTCTAAAATTATCTTTCATTAATAAGGGGTGTGCATAGCTTCCAATCCAACCTATTTTGAACAATTCACTTCCAATCCAATTACAATTGGATTTGTCATTCCTTTTGAATCAACATAGTAGTTATTGACTTGCCTTGCACTTCAAGCCACCAATTGCCACTCTCCTGGTTTGAAATTTAAAAAAAAGGAATCATCATCAATTTCCAGTATTTTCATTTAGACAAATTGTATATAAAGCTTACCAATATTTTCATTTAGAGGCATTATATATAAAGCTCACCAAAAAAGGCATCGATATTAATTGCAAGAACTCATAAACAAAGCCCCTCCAAATTGATATATGAGAAAAAGGATGCCCGGATGAGCTACAATGCCCTCATACCTCGCAATGAACTGAATTATTCTGCTGATTCTAATTAGCTTGCTCTTCATTTCGAAACTAACGACATGCCGCTGAAAACCCAGGACCTCCATAATAGAAATGGATTCCCATGTTTGGGGTTTTATCTTTAACAATTAAATTGTAGCATGAAGGCTTTGTCGCATAAGTTAGAAGACCTGCAGGATCTTTGAAAGTGAGAGGCGAAGAATCGTCCATGTATTGGACATTGCGAACGTAGCTGGCTTTCCCAAATCCTTCATCAGGAAAATGACCACTCCCCATTTGAGTAGATGTGTGATGACCCTCAGCTTGTGAATCGTAAATCTCCCCTCCCCAACTAACCAATTCAGCACTGCCCCTTAGACTTGGGAGGAAGGTGTCAGGCCAGTATCCTATTGCCTCATTTCCCACGTTAAGCCACCAATGTCCACTATCTGTGTTCTGAAACATAAATGTATCCAATTACTATATATTTGTGCATGCATATAAATTCACACGTTAAGCCCCAAATTACTATTTAAAGTGTCCATTCTCTCAGAACAAAACCATTTACCTTGTATATGCTTAGGAATATATCATACTGTGCCCCATTGTAGCTAGAAACAGGTGACATGGGTCCGCCAAGGGTGAATTTTTGGCTTACTTGGACGAAACCAGGACATTCAAGATTGTAGCAACCAGATTGGCCACCATCACCCTGCCAATATATAAGTCTTCTTTAAGAGAAATATGCAGCACAATTCTCTTTCTGCACGCAACGCGTGCATCCTTTATATCGAAGGACACATATTATATTGTTATGCGCACTCTTAAGTTCATATTGTTGTGAGACGATAATATAATCAGAAGAGATAAATCAGTAATTATAAGATAATATCATAATGTGAAGGGATTAAGGAAACTTACAGTCCAAAATGTGTACAAGAGTGTTTGGTTGTCACGCGAGTTCATCTATAGAAACCACCAAAGAATTTTCATGTAATTCAATATAGATTTAGCTTGAAATTAAACTCACCACCATGAAAATAAAATGAAAAAAATAATGTAAAAGAAAGATATTTTCTTGGAGGATATTTGGCCGGCCAAAACTCACACGTATCCAGCCAGCTTCTACACTGCTCAGTGCTTTTCCGCTACCTCTCCCAACCCATACCCGGGCTAGACTGTTATCTTTATTATACGCGGCAGGGTTCCATACGTTAAATTCTGCTTTTGCTCCGTAGTATTGACCACCGTGCAGACTCACTTGGGCAAACTACAAAGGTAATAAGTTAAATAAATGAAATAATAACTAATCTCTTCTATAGATATAAAGCCAAAATACCCTTATGGTAAAAAATTTTAAATAATTCAAAATTTTTGTTTTTTTAATAGATAAAAATTGTTTTTTTAAAAGAAAAATTTCTATCGATCTAATAAAATTCTATCGCATTTTTATATAAAAATAAATAAAAAAGAATAATACAGCAAGAGACTTGTAGCTCAAGTTAAGAGCAATTACTCTTGCATCAGAGAGCCTAGTAGCAATAAGGGAGACTTTGGAAAAACACAAAGGAAGAATTAGTGGTCTCAATTTATTTATTTATTTTATATTTATAAACGTAATTAAAGTGGTTCAAAAAGTTGATGTGGTACCTCATGATTAGGAGGAGGGACGAACACAAATTTGTTGGAGTCATACTGTGGCATTGGTTTAGATGTACGATGCTCAAATGCCTTTGTTCGTGCAATGGGGATTGTTCCGTCAGGGCACTCTCCATTCTGACGCCAAGATTGAAAGACCCCATCTTCAACACCATTTACAGTTTTAATTCCACTCGGTTTCAACTATTTTTCCAAAAAAACATTAAAATCATCTTACACTTCAAATGCCCAAATTTAATAGAAATGTTAAAATTTGGAAGAGGACTAAATTAAAATTAGTTCTACCACATTAAGGGAATGTAAGTATTATTAATTGCATCGGAGCTGATCTCATATATGTGAAAAATATGATCCGTAAATTTGGTACACATTATAACATCATTCTTATTCTTAAAATGAGCACATGTATATCAATCTTATTAAGAAGAGAAGAGCAAACCTGTATAGTGTGATTTTTGAGAAGAGGGTGATTAAGAGCTGGTTGCTTATAGATATCAACACAATCGATCAAATCATCGCCCTCTCCCTGCCAAAGATCAATCAGAGATTATTTTTCAGCTTCTTGTATGAATCCCCAAAAGAAAAAAAGAAAAAGAAAATGGGGAAGGCAAGGTTTTAAAATAGACTGAACCTTTATAGTTTTGAGGACTGATTTGTTGTGCTTCACAGACGCTTCAGTTTTCACTGTTTCAACTTTTCTGCAATCGACAAATCCGTTGCTCAACATGAAACTTGCTATTGCTACAAGAAAAATGCAGCCTTGGACTTTGGTGTAACGAAACCCATTTGCCATATTGAATAGAAATACTTCAAAACTATCTGCAAAAAAGGTTAATTACCATGGGCAACTTTAACCCAATGTATATACTTAAATATTATGCTCGAGTGCCATGACTGTTATTAGCTTACTATAATTTACCATAACCTACAAAATCAGGATTTAGACTTACAAGGCAAACATTACAATTTTATTATCAAGGTTTGCTATATTCCTTTTCTTTTTCCTTTTTTTCTGCTAGAAAAGGTTTCCTATAGCCTACTTAATTTTTTTTTAATTTTTAGAGTAAGCGATAATTGTATTCATAACTTGGGCATCAAGATCATCGGCCGCAAGGGCATAAATTACCCAAAAAGGGTTGATACAAATGTGGAAGCACTTTAACTACACAGGGTTATCCTAGATATAGAAAAAGGCATATATGGACCTTTCGGATAGAATTTAAGTAAGAGGAAGTTCATGCATTTCGATTAAATGTTTTGGGTTTAGATTCATGTATTAGTCTGTTGGTTCAAGTTTGGGAGATTAGGTTCATGGTATAATTATCTATAATAAATAAGGGTTTTTGGTTCAATGTAAGGGTCTTGATGTCTATTAATAGTTATTTGAGTTGGTGAGGTGGCGAGACGACAAGATAGAGGGAGATAGAGGCGAGATCAAGAGATCTGAGAGAGAGGGAAAGAGGTGGCATGATGAAGATGATGAGTTACAGTCAGGGTTAAAAGTCTATAACCCTAACATTTTTATATATTTTTAAAGTGTTTTTATCATTAATCGTCTCTAAATTTTTCAAAAGTCTTCATTTGAGTTCTTCAACTTTCAAATCAATCAATTCAGTCTTTCATGTTTTGATCCACACACCAGTTTGGTCCATCTCGTTGCATTTCATCAAAATATTCATTAAAATTGGTCAAGTTGATCAACTTTAAAGCAGTATTTTCGTCAAAACACAACCTATCCACCTATAACAAAAAATAAATCTCACGTATTTTGCTCAACAATGCCATATGCTCTCCTTGATAGATTCCAAATGTAAAACCCCAAAAGGAAAGAAGATGACCTTTTAGAGTAAAATGTGAGTTTCATGACTAAACTGATGAAAATGTTCCTTTAAAGTTAGTAACGTGATGACCAACTTTAACAAAAGTTTTGTAAGAATGCAAAGGGACCAAACTAATGTGTAGATCAAGAAATGAAGGATCAAATTTATTGATTTGAGCGTTTAAGGACTAAAATGAGGAGGGATTTTTAAAAAGTTAAGGGGCCATTTATGATACAGACACATCAGTTTGCTCTTCGTTGCGTACCTAATAATAATTGTTTACAAAACTAAGGACATGTTGCTGAAAACCCAGGACCTCCATAATAGAAATGGGTTCCCATGTTTGGGGTTTTGTCTTTAACAATTAAATTGTAGCATGAAGGCTTTGTCACAAAAGTTAGAAGACCAGCAGGATCTTTGAAAGTGAGAGGCGAAGAATCGTCCATGTATTGGAGATTGCGAACATAGCTGGCTTTCCCAAATCCTTCATCAGGAAAATGACCACTCCCCATTTGAGTAGATGTGTGATGACCATCAGCTTGTGAATCGTAAATCTCCCCTCCCCAACTAACCAATTCAGCACTGCCTCTTAGGTTTGGGAGGATGGTGTCAGGCCAGTATCCTATTGCCTCATTTTGCACTTGAAGCCACCAATGTCCACTTTGTGTTCTGAAACACAAATGTATTGAATTACTATCCCAAATTATTTTTAAAATTTTCAATTAATCAATCATTTACGTTGTATATGTTTATGAACATATATGGTACATAATACTCCCCTCCTAGCTAGAAATATATTATGTCGTCAAACATTTGGTTGTCTTGTCAGACTGTAAATTTGAACATTTTGATATAAGAAACATCATGATCAATTAATAATTTAGATTCACAATCTGATAGTGTGACAAATAAACACTACTCTATTAATAGTAGGCTAGGCATGCATGGTATCCCCAAATTACTATTCAAAGTATTATCTCATAAGATAGTTAAAACGTAAAGTAAAAAGCCATTTATACCTTGTATATGCTTATGAATGTGTCATACTGCTTCCCATTGTACCCAGAAATAGGTGATATTGGAACGCCAAGGGCAAATTTTTTGCTTGTTTGGACGAAACCAGGACATTCAAGATTGTAGCAACCAGTGGATTGGTAACCATCTCCCTGCCAAGTAACATGTAATTTATAGTTATGCTTGTTTACTTATTCATGTAATTTAGTTGTTGCACATAAAAATGCAGCACAGTTCTTTTCTGTACACAATAATATGCATTTCATAGTGCAAATTTTATACGTCTTTAAAATCGAAAGACGCATATTATATTGTTACGCGCACTCGTTTGTCCATATTATTGGTTCAAAAATCTAATCAGAAGAGATTATCATAATGCGAGGCGATCCTAGAAACTTACAGTCCAAAATGTGAACAAGAGCGTTCGATTGTCACGCGGGTTCATCTAGAAACAACCAGTGAATATATAATTCAATATAAGATTTAGTGAAAAGAAATGAAAAATAATAATATTTTCTTGGGATATTTGGCTGGCCAAAACTTACACGTATCCACCCAGCTTCTACACTGTTCAGTGCTTTTCCGTTACCTCGCACAACCCATATCTGGGCTATACTGTTGTCTGCATTATATGCTGCTGGGTTCCATACATTAAATCCTGCTTGCGCTCCATAGTATTGACCACCGTGCAAACTAACTTGGGCATACTAAAAAGGTCAAAAGTAAATGGAATAAACTTGATGATTTCAGTTATAAAAAAAAAGTGTGAAAATGACAAAATTAATGAAAATGGGTTTTGTGAAAACAATTTTAAACTTAAAAGGGTATTCGTGTAATTTCCAAAACATCAAGGGATTTTGTGAAAAAGTCGAAAACCTGAGGAGTTATTAGTGTAAATAACTCGAAAAAGACAACAACCAATAAAATACCGATTGAGAGGGCCTAGTAACAATATAACCTTTTTTATTTTTTATTTTTTATAACCATATAAAAATGGTACTTTTATTTAGTACCGTTAAAGAAAATTTTTTTCATCAAAAGAAGGGGATGCAACACAAGGACTCTCCAGTAGGCACGTCAAAAAATTAGTGTTACAATATATTTTTTTTAATGGTTAAATTACTATTATTATTTTTAAATGTAATTAAAATGATTCAAAGTTGATGTGGTACCTCATGATGAGGAGGAGGGATGAACTCAAGTTTGTTGGGCTCAAACTGTGGCATTGTTTTAGATGGAGGGTGCTCAAATCCCTGTGTTCGTCGCACAATGGGGATTGTTCCGTCCGGGCACTCTCCATTCTGACTCCAAGATTGAAAGATCTCATCTTGAACACAACTTACGGTTTCAGTTTCACTTGGTTTCAGCTATTTTTCCAAAAAAAAACATATATACACATTAAAATTATCTTAGACTTCAAATGCCCAAATATAATACAAACGTTAAAATTTGGAAGAGGACTATTATACCCAATATAAGAGCCTAAATTATAATTAAAAAAAACCCTGTATAAAATGGACTTTAGAACTGAGGAGAAACTCCTCTTACGACCAATGTAATACAAATTATAACATTGTTCTTATTATTCTGAAAAAGCAGTACGTATTGCATGGATGATAAACTCGTAACACATATAATAACTCGTAGTATATATAAATAAAACTATAAATAAAATGTTTTTAAAACATGTTATATAATTAAGTGACTAGTGACCTTTAATCTACAATCTAATTAGGGTTTGAATAAAATAAAATAAAAATCTAATTACGAAGAGCGAACCTGTATAGTGTGATTTTTGAGAAGAGGGTGATTAAGAGCTGGCTGCTTATAGATATCAACACAATCTATCAAATCTTCGCCCTCTCCCTGCCAAACATCAATCAGAAACTATTTTCCAACTTCTTATGAATAATTCCCAAAAGAGAAAATAGAAATATTAAAAAGGGGAAGGCAACCTTTATAGTTTTGATGACTGCTTTGTTGTGCTTCACGGACGCTTCGGTTTTCAGTGTTTCAACTTTTCTGCAATCAGCAAATGCGTTGCTCAACATGAAACTTGTTAATGCTGCAATAAAAAAGCAGCCTCCGAGTTTGGTGTAATGAATCACATTTGCCATTGCATATAAATTTTTCATGAACATCTGCAAAAGGTTATATATATTTATATACCACGAGTTTTATTAGCATACTATAATTGAATGGATGTGGTGAAGATAACCTACTAAATCAATATTTATTGTATAAGGCAAACATTAGAAACTTTTTTTTTATTTTAAAAGTTTAATTGTTGCAAAACTTCCGAATTGTGGTTTTTATTAAAAATGATCACATGCCATGCACTTGACCTACTTTTTTGGTGCAAATATTATTTTTCTGAGCCAAATTTTAGAAAAATTAATTAAAGAAAACAAGAAGTAAAAAGAGAAAGACTGCTTCTATGCAATAAAGAGTAGGTGGATCCCACATGTCCACCTCTATTAGAGAAGTGGTCAGCAAGATGGTCAATAAATATGGTACGAAATAGCCTAAACCTAATCATGTTTTACCTAATAGTCTTTAGCATCTATGCACACATTAGAGCATCTCCACCCACAAGGGCTAAGTCTAAGGTAAGGGCAAGCAAGGGCTGCCACTATTCACGTGAATAGTGTCAGCCTTTGCATTTGTGGTTCCACCCATGAGGGCAAAGTCTAGGGCAAGTCTAAGGCAAATACTATTCATTGTACTTTATTTCCTATTTTTTTATACTTTAAACCATTAATTTTGATAATCTTTTTAGATTATATTTTCGGTTGTCACGTGTCACTATTTATTATAAAATTTTCACTTAAAATTTAAGATAACATTTTTTGGATAAAATTTTCAAATAAAATTTTCGAATAAAATTTTCGGTTGCCACGTGTCCATATTTATTATAAAATTCACATCTCACTCATCATACAATTGAAATACCTACTCACTCATCATACAATTGAAATATTCTTGGTCCTCATAGTCCGACACAATGGAATATAATTAAAATTTAAGATAACATTTTTCGGATAAAATTTTCAAATAAAATTTTCGAATAAAATTTTCGGTTGCCACGTGTCCATATTTATTATAAAATTCACATCTCACTCATCATACAATTGAAATACCTACTCACTCATCATACAATTGAAATATTCTTGGTCCTCATAGTCCGACACAATGGAATACAAGGACAATTCCATCATTGGCGGAGGCGGTTCCACCGGATCACGACGTGGGGGAGTATTTTCCTTCGGATGACGTAATAGTGCCATTAGTTCTGACACGGAACGCACCACTGGAATTGGCTGCGGGCATTGTTCACTTGAGGTGCCATGTGTAATGGTTTTCCTCTTTTTTATTTTGACTTGACTAATCTATTAAAAAAACAGAAATTGGAAATGCAAGAAATATATATATATATATATATATATAAAAAGACATTAAATTGAATGAAACGGAAATTTTTATTTTTTATTTTACCTCGTTGCCAAGATTTTGACATCTTCGAGCATTTGTCCATGTCCCTCCAGCTTCGATGGAAGATGACATTTGTATTTTTGCACAAATGAAATTTTGTAGTAGAAAATTTGGTGTGGAAAGTGAAAAATATTGGAAGGAGATGAGTTTGTATGAAGATTTGGTGTGGAAAGTGAATAAAATTGTTAGGTATTTATAGGGAAAAAATCCAGAATTTTTTGGTATTTTTTAAAAAAAATTTTGAATTTTTTTCAATTTTTTTTTGCAATTTTTTAAGCCAAAAAAAGCAAGGCCGTCAGATTTCTGGAAAAAATTGCATCGGAGGGTCCGGGACGCGCCACATGGCATATTCCCATTGGAGCCTGTCGGAATTGACGTCACGCAAACGTCAGCGAGCGAAAATCAAATTTTTTTTACTGTTGGCGCGTGAAATTCACGCGTCAACGGTAAAAAAAAATTTGATTTCTGCGCAATGACGTTAGCGCTGACGTCATCGCCCTCGGGCTAAAGCCCAGGCGAAAGTTGCCCTTGGGCCTGCCCGGGCTGGTGGGACCCAGCCATTGCCCGAGCTCTTTTCTGCGAGCTGGAGGGGAGTTGGGCTGCCGGGGGGGCCTTTTGCCCAGGTTTGGGTGAGCGCTGGACTTGCTCTTAATGTAAGTGTATTCATATGTATATTAATTTACCTATAATTCTTTTTGTTTTTTCGCTAAAACTTAGAGCATCCACAATGATGCTATCTATTTCTTAGCTAAAATTTGGCTAAGAATATAAGAAAGCTATTTTATGAACTCTCTAAAAAATTTCAACTCCAACCACACTTCCTAATTTGGAGAGTCATAAATGCTATAACTCTTTTTTGATTGGTCCATCTCTATTAAAAAAATAAAATAAAAAATAGTTAGCATTAAATAAAGGTTTGAAATACTCATTAAATAAAGCAGCATTAAATTATAGGGAGCCACTAGGAGTCCTTTCTCTCTCCTTAGATTTAGGAGCTCCTAGAGGACTCCCTATTTTAGGAGGTGGATAGGGAGCGTGGTTGAAGTTGCATTTTTACAATTCCTCCCTAAAATTTGTCTAAAGAGGTGGTTTATGGAGCTCATTGTGGATGCTCTTACCTTCCTTTTAAAAAAAAAATTAAAAATATATATTAATGTAAGTGTATTGAAGAAGAATTGGAGCGAAGAACGGAAAAATGACACAACAATAATTTACAAATTTGGCGTCTAAGCACTGAACTAGGCGCATTATACCTTTCCGAAAAGGGACTGACACTATGAGTCCAATATATTAGGTGGATTTTGAGCATCTGAGGTCGTTTGGTCTTCCAAAAGAGCATTTACAAGTTGTAGTTAATTTTTGACTTTTTGTTTATTTACTGTTTATCTTTCAATAACTCTCCAGGGCAGTCTAATGGGTAAGATTGATATATTTAGACAACCTTCGTATATGGTTTGTCTCAACTCATCTTTTATCAAATAAAATAAACAATGGGGAATTCCCTCTCTAATTTTCTGGTGGATTCCAGTTTTATTTTCTTTCCTGGGTTATGCTTGTAACCTATTCACTTGTGTTGTGTTACTAATAATCCTTTGTTTTTCTTTTCTTTCAAAACTAGGGACATGTTGCTGAAAACCCAGGACCTCCGTAATAGAAATGGGTTCCCAAAGCCTTTCTCGGGAAAATGACCACTCCCCATTTGAGTAGATGTGTGATGACCCTCAGCTTGTGAATCGTAAGTCTTCCCTCCCCAACTAATTATTTCAGCACTGCCTCTTAGACTCGGGAGGATGGCGTCAGGCCAGTATCCTCACTTTATTCTGATTACTTTATTTATTTTTTAATTTTAATTTTTCGTCGAATTATGCCCTCACTTTCCTTTTTAAAACAATTTCCTTTTTAAAAATCCCCGATGGACTTGAGACCTTATTTTAGTTTGTGAAAAAACAAGAATAGTGCTTGAATAAAATTGTTTTTTCGTTGGGAGTATCACTAAAACACCCAAAAAGGGGCTTGAAATTATAAAAAAACCCAACACCCAAAACACTTTATAAGCACACCCAAAACCCATCATTACATACACTCAAAACCCATTTATAAACACACCCAAAAAATATACAATTGTTGATTTTGGGGTTGATTTTGGGTGTGTTTCTATGTTTAAATAGTGCTTGGGTTTTTTTATAAATACATGTCTAGGATTGGGTTTATTTATAATTTGTAAAAAAAGTAAGCGTGGAGCAATCCCAACAGTGAAGAATCATGAACTCAGGTATAACATTGCGGTTGACCCGACAGTGTTACATGTTCTCATTTTTATGTCTTCAGTTGGAAAGGATGCTTCAACCCCCCCCAAAATACAAGGCCACTACAAGGTTACAAATTAATTGAATCGCCTATGGAATTGATAACGGTGGTTGAAACTATTAAACTCTTTCGCAACCGAAAAAGAAAACGGCAAGAAATTAAAGCGACCTGCTATGCGTTTCTTCTTCTTGCTCTTTCCAGACCCCATTGTCACCACAGTTCCCAGGCAAGCTTTGCAAATCCAGCAAGAAACATTTTGAACAGGTGGTTTGAAAAGACTGAAATAACAGGAGCATTTGAACTTAATTGAACTTCAAGGCATAGTCTACCAAACGAAATAAATGAAGAGAATTCTGAACCTGAGTAACAAAAATCGTTACCATAATTGGGGTCAAGAAAGCTCCAAAAGGCAAACACACTCAATATGAGGAGTGTGAGGGAACATGTCTACCGGCTGTATGCTCTTCAGCTTGTAACAGCCTTCTATACCTTTCTCTGTCTGCATAAAGTTTTTGGTAGGTCATATAACTGAATTGAGTATCCGAAAAAAAAAGAATCAAAGGTGAAAAAGCAGATACATACCACACCATGACAGAGATAATCAAGGTCACGTGCACATGTGGCAGGATTACATGATACATAAACTATTCGTTGTGCCTTAAGCTTTAGAAGAAATCTGATCAACTTCATGTGCATTCCTGGACGGTTTGGGTCTGTATGATTCAGCACATCAAAACACGGTCAGAGGCAAAACGCTGTATATTCCGATTAAGGTCATATGTCAAGCCAACCATCCATCTAGGAAATACCAAAAACCTTCTTTCGTTCTACACCGGAAAAATTGTTAGCCATAAACGTATTTCTTGTTTTTTTCAAAATCATTTTGCATCGTTAATCATAAAGCTTATCATTAATCGTAAACATATTTCCTATGCTTCAAATTCATTTGAAGAACAGAAGGTTTATTATTTGGTCCAAAAGATTAGTGAACCTAGATGAATTACAGCAGTAAGAAAAACATAACCTGAAATAACTATGTCGGGCTTAGGAAAATTGTTCCCGAAACTTTCATCAATTTTGTTAAGATCCCCTTGAATAAATGTGGCATTCTGGATGCCATTCAGTTTGGCATTCAGACAAGCATCTGCAATGGCTTGAGGAATTATTTCATATCCATAAACATGTTTGGCCCTGCACCAATCAGGCAAAGCAAAATGTCAGATTTGAATACAACATTTATAAAAAATGAACAGTAGACAATTACCTTCTGGCAAGTGTCAGACCAATGGTGCCAGTCCCACAAAACAGGTCAAGAACAACCTCTGAGCCATCTCCTCTGAGACCAGCACAATCTTCTATGAGTTTATATAAAACCTCTGCCTAAAGCATTTAAAGATTTTTGGCATTTAATTTCACGGATAGTATTCACAAGGAAAGTATCAAGCAATTCAATATGAAAGCAAGCATCAGCTGATGAGGCGTTAAATTTCTGTCACATTGCGTACCTGGTGAGTATTTGTTTGGAAGAACGAGTTTGCTGATATTTGAAAGGTAAGCCCTCTTAAGTTCTCCGTGATGCTAGATTTGCCATACAAAGTGTATTCCATCTCCCCAAGAGATGTGTTACCAACAGAGGTATTTACATTGTTCATGATACTTACCTATCAGTCATAAGAAGATGACTTCAGAGATTAAAAAAATTCAAGGATAAAAAATGAAGTACGAATTGATGAGTAAAAAATAATAATTGAATGACAGACTAACAATAAGAGATATGACGACAAATGCAAACATGATTCAGGAGGAAAATGCATAACATTTTCACATACCATTTGTTTTTGTTTTTTGTTTTTTGTTTTTTTTTGGAACAAAAGAAGCTAGAATTGATATCTTATTAATCAAAATATAGCTTTTAGGAGACAGTCAAAATGAAATGCTACAATTGTTCTAGGTATCTTATATCGTACAGTAGCTCCACAATCTAAAAATAAAAAATAAATAAAAAATTGGGGCTTCCCAACAAGAGAGCATTAGCAAACACAATGACACAAAAAAGTGTATAAACAATCAGCATTGTGAGTCATGGTCACTGAAGGATTAAAAGCAACAAAAATCTAGGAATTAGTAGAAAGTTACAACAATTCCTCTATTGCAGATTGCCAACCTTAGATGCGAGCTAATGAGTTCTTGTGATAATGAAAATATTCTATCACATGTATAATCAGTTCAGTGACTTTCTTTTGACACACACCAGCAATAAAGTCAAACTAAGTAGCAAGCTACTGCAGCACTCATAGAAAAAGCGAAAAAAAACAAACAAACAAACAGAACCAGATTATCAATTTAAATATGTTCAATAACAAAGGCCGTTTTACTGGTTTTATCATTCATATAAACACAACAACTGTTTTCACTATGCAACTGACATTCACAAGTTTCCAGTCTGTGGACAAAATGGGTTCAGTCAACTGAACCCATAATACACAGGAAGCAAGCCAAGAAACTTAGTACCACCCAAGGCTTCATTCTGAGAACTGATCTCAATTATTTCAATTTGACTGGAAAGCTTAAATAGATTATAACCTCGTTCAATTAATCGTTACTATGTTATATCCAGTACCAATTAATATAAACATTGGCTATACAAACCACTTCAGGGATAGCTGATATCTTTCCAAGAAGAGGCTGAAGCAGTTCTGGCTTGTAAGATGAGGTCACAAAATTAACCATAAGTTCAGGAATACCAGTCTTCACATTCCTGGAACACAAATCACAGCCATTACTTAATATGAAAATTTGATCGTCATGAGCTCACAGACAATAATATATAACTAAAATTTAAATCACTGTATGACATAAAAATTACCCTACGGAGGTCCTGCAGGAAGTGACAGGTATGTGCACAAAACTAATAGTAAACTACAGAAATGTTACGTATCTTCAAGCTATCATAAACATCTGATGGGTATAGTTACATTTTTTCAAGAATGTCTCCATGTTAAAAATACACATACAGTACAGCCTCCAACAAATGTACTCAAAGGGAAATAAAGTATTTCAATTCTTCCTCTGTTTCTTCATCTACATGATTATGGCTTGAGTTGTAGAGTAAACATTTCCAATTCAGCATCGTCTGATTATATTCAAAAACTTGGTATTTGCCCAGACTCTCCTATAAAGCCATTTGAAGGGTAGAAATCTCTGTTCATACCCCACACTCATTTTCCAATTCTTTTCATTTTCTCTTTTATTTTTCCCTTTCTTTCTTCCTACCACTACCCATGAAAAGTTATATTTGAATCATGGAACAGGATTCATAAATGGCAAGTACATGTGTACAAATGAGAGGCTTCCTTTGTGAATATGAGAACTACAATTTGATTACGCACACGCAAGAGGGCACACAAACAGAGGATTCCATAAGTTGCAAGTACACTCATGCATATTAGTAGCTTCTTATGTTAGTACAAGACCTACAGCCTACTTACACAGGTGTATGACATATGCATTTATAAGGAAAACAGATTATGGGACATCATACAACTTGCAGTACCTTCCAGTTCTTAGCATTAGATGCTTAAGAAATCCAACATGAGAGTAAACATCATAAGGAGATAGACCTAATTGTGAATCTCTCCAACAGTCTTGAACGGCTGCAAGAACCTATACACCAGCAATGCAAGTCACTGAAGCAGGATGGTACAATTTACCGACACTAATAAAATACACTGCCAATAAATGAAGCTTAAAGTAGACAAAGAGGAAAAGTTGTGACATCTTTGAAAATTTTACATGTTACAACCTGCCCGCTTGACAATGTGAGATTTCTAGTTTACAGCTACAGAAGACAATGAATCCTTGATTGGAAACTTCATTGTGCTTGTGCCCACATACAAATTATTATGTTGAGATTATGCTAGTGGGATACACAAGAATAAACTTTAAGAAACTATATTATCTTTTTACAAGTATTAATTACATAAAATTCCTACTGTTGAGAGAGGCATCGATTGTCATTTTTTGGTCCCCCTAGCAGATTTTTTTTCCTCTTCTCAGGAGTAACTGGAAGGCAACTCTTTCCATAAACTCCTTCATGAGCATGAAATGTTAATAGACTCCAGTGAAAAATTTAGGTCTCATACATTACCTACTACAAACAGTGATCTTTCATAAACGTTTGACATCATTCACTAGTAGAGTGACGTCAAAAGCAAAAGAAATGTTGAAAAAGGAACCCTTGAGTTTAATGGTATACGCAAGACAAAGAATCTCAAGGGAGGGAGAAAAAATCCAAATATTTTCTACATTTAATAACACAAAGGCCTCAGAAAGTAAAATTGCAAAGGAAATATACCATATTGGCCGGCTCACTTTGCAATAAGCACTTGTCAACATTTAGAACCTTATCGAAGAAACCAGGAGCATGCAGTCCCAGGGCATAGTTGTCACTTCCATCTTGTCTGTCCATTAATGATTCTCTAGGTAACCATTTTTGAGAACCAAATGAGAACTCCATCTGCAAAAAAAAAAAGGGGGAAATATCAAAAGATATTTTTAAGTAACAATAAATATTGATATACTAAAGTAATTGCATAGCACAAAAGACTTCAAAATTCTTAAAAATTTGTTTTAGAGTGGATTGCAAGGTAAGTTCAGAATATGCAGAGATGTACATGCTACAGCAGAATAAGGCACTCTGGTGCTTTGATTATTAAAGTTGCCTTTGATAAATAGAAATAAGCAGGCTGTGCTAGGTAATATGAGTAACGTTTTCTGAAGCTGATATAAAAGTAAGAGGAAAAACATTGTGGCCATTGCATGTAGCTGAATGAGCTAAAAATTTAACAAGGTTTATGTTATGCACTAGCCTTATTCCTGTAATGAAACTGGATTTCACAGGGAACAATGGGCTTCATGATGCTTTGCGATTCCAGTTCTGTCTGAGAAAACTTTCCAAAATGTATGATCAACTCATGAACTTGGTGCTCCTTAGCTTTGACTTGTGCCTCATAGGACAAATTTTGGGTTTTACATCCTCCACAGTAAGAAGCATATTCACAAGGAGCATCCACGAAGTCCCAATGAGGAGAAATTGTCTTTACCTTTGTCACCTGCACTTTCACCCAAGAAATGTTTTATTCTGAAAAGTTATTAAAAAGTACATGATATAGTTTCTATTGTATACCCTAGCCTATGAATTGTGTGGGAATGGGAAATCAAACAAAAGTCGAAACCAAATACAAGTTGCACATCATCTCAAGTTATATATAACAGCAACTTATAGCAAAGAAACATTGCTTCTGTTAATGCTATTTCTGTTTTCTTTTCCAAGCCTAACGTCACTCACTAAAAACCTCCATACATATTATGAACAGACATATTGGAAGCAATTATCCTAATACTCCATTCTGATTTGATTTAATTCAAATAACGAATCTCCTGCAGACCGAAATTAGTGCAATATATCAAGTGATCTGCTTTTCCTTTTTTAGTGTCTTTCATGATCTAGTTTTTCAATGGGTTTCACAATTCGTGCCAAGGAACCACTTAGATAGATCACTAAGCTAGAATAATTCAGTAATCCATGCCTCCTGTCCTACCAAATTTGTCTTAAAGCTCCACCCACCAATTTAGAAGGAATGTTTAAGCAAGGATTCACAACCATCATAGTTCAATTCACTTCATAATTAACTGTGACTCAATATACTTACCATCTCGTATTCCTCCTAACTTCGCAACAAAATCAGCAAATAGATAAAAACATCACATATCCATTTCAAAATCAAATGAGAAGTGAGAGCAACACAACTAGCACTAGAAACACATTCCCACAATCTATATGCTCCACTAAGTTGACACTTCCCCATTCTCACACCAAAAACATCATACAAGCAAAACCCAAGATTCCATTTTCCTACTCCATTCCAAAACTTTTTCAGAAACCAAACAGAACCCACTACTCGTACCTCAGCATAGTTCCCTTTCCTGCGAGTAACACGCCCAATGAAGCGCTCACCAGGCAGTGCACGGTCACACATGACAACGAACCCAGTGTCAGCAACCTTGCACATACCTTTCCCTTTGAAAGCCAAAGACTCGCAAACCAGTTCCAGAGTCTGGCCTCGCTTTGGGAAATATGAGCTGGGCTTGTCGGTTTTGGGTTGGGCCTGCTCTGAATCTTCGGTGAACTGGGACTGTAGAGAAGCCAACGAGGTTGAGTTGCGGAAGGTTCTGAGCCACGGGCGCATGGTGGTCACGTACCTCAGGCCGTGGCCCGGCATGGTCGCCATTTTTCGGAGATAGTGCTCGTCTGCGTCGGAGGGAAAAGAAGAAGAAAGAAGACGACGATTGAACGTAAAAAATTCAGGATCGAGGGTACTTTGGGAAATGTAAACGAACACAAAGAAACGACGACGTTTAAAGAACAAACAGATGAGGTTTTAGTTTAACGACGCCGTTTAACTGAATCAAATGACCTTTAAATAGTCCACAACTCCAGCTACACCAAAACCCTAATTTCAGAGAGAAGCGCGCTAACGCACACACAGAGCTTCCATCTCTCTCATTCTCTCTGACGGCAAAAGCAGCTTCTACGATCAGCCATGGGTATAATTTGATAGAGTTTTATTTTCCTTTCTTGTATGGGTTTTGGCGATATTTGATTGGTTTGTGACGGTGAGTGTGTGCTGTGCAGGAAAGGTTCACGGATCGCTCGCACGTGCCGGGAAGGTTAGGGGCCAGACCCCAAAGGTTGCCAAGCAAGACAAGAAGAAGAAGCCCAGAGGCCGTGCCCACAAGCGTATGCAGTACAACAGGAGATTCGTCACAGCCGGTAAGCTCATCACTCTCATTTTCGTACATTGATTATTTTATGATTTTTTTGAATTAGGGTTTCTTTGGATTTGATAGCTTTGTTCAATTGAAGTCTGGGGGTTTTGTCTACGGGTATTGAAATGTGATGTTGGTTTTTAATTCTAGTGTTGTTGGGTGTGGTACTGGTTGTTTTGGTGTAGCTGTGGATGAAAATATTTTATTTAGCCTTGTATTTGGGGAACAAAGGTTGATGATTTGGAGGTACTGATTATACTTTTGGTTCAATTTGCAGTTGTTGGATTCGGAAAGAAGAGGGGGCCTAACTCTTCCGAGAAGTAAGGTTGCTCTATGAGGACTTTTGCTGGTTTCTTATGAGGCATTAGTTTCATTTTGAAGTACGGATTTTGTAGTCAAACTATGGTTTAGATTTTCTACTGGCTCTGTTTAATTGTTTGGATTGGAAAATGCTTATTAATATGTGCTACTGTTGACCACATTATCGTGTGCTATTGTTCTTCCTAAGTTTTGATCTGCTCACTCCTCACTGTTCCAATTTTAGAATTGATTTTTGGTATATCTGGTGCCATGCCACCCTTGTATGTGCCTAAAAGAAATTACTGATGTTCACAAATATGTGAGGGTTGAAAGTTAAGGAGTAGTTTGTGTTTCTCGGACATCTTAGTTTAATAGATGATATATTTAGCTTTCGGTTGTTCGCCTCTCACAAGCCATTTGTGACAGTTCCCTTTTCCACAACTGACAACATTGCTCCTATCTTAACAACAGCATCACTGTTTCACTCCCTTCTCGTAGACTCTGACCTTGAGTGATATCCTGTTTTTCCTTCTCAAGGCGACCTCTCTTTTCAGCTCCAATCTTTTAGGTTTAGACTAGCTTCTGGTTCTCTTTTTCTTTTCAGGTCCTAAGTTTTTGAAACAGAGATCTTTGTATTCTGGGTTCTCCTCTTCATTTAGTAGAAGAAAATAGTGAAACACGTTTCCTCAAATTTGGTGTTCCTTGGTGGAACAAGAGCTAGAGTTAGACCACAGTACGGCCCTTCCAAAGTTGGCCTTTGAAAGAGACCCTGAATGTAAAACCCAGTTCTAGATGTTATAGTTAAATAGACGAGTTGGTTTTTGAATAAGAGGTACAAAGAACATGGATTTTGAAGGTTGAACAGGATGAGTATATATGAGGAACAGAGTGATGCTTGTGAAATCTGTCGTGATGATTGATCCACATAAGAAGCTGGATGAAATACCAGAGATAAACTTAGCTTCTTGGAACATGATAATTGGAGGCCTTATTATTGACTGGGGCGTTTGAGTCAAGTGGATTAATGTTGCAGTAGGTTACGAACATTTAGGACAGTTTCATTCATGTTCTTTGAGGGTTGATCTAGTTGTTGATACCAGCTCTTGTGCATTGGTTTACCATGAATTGTATGTGTATCTTGAGACCCATCTTTTCTAAAGGGGGGATGGATGATGCTGATCGTGATTTTGATGGAACTCCATCAGATTCATAGCAAAGAGAGGGTGTAAAGAAGCGATTTGCTGGCGGTGGATGTGATGTGAAAAGTAGTGATAGTTTGAGGTGTTGTGGTTTTCTGATTGTCCTTTGAATAAGACATGGAGGTTGGAATGTTTTAGGAGTGGAAAAGGGCAAGTCCCTTTATGCTGCCAAAGAGGCTTTTGATTCTATTGTAAGTAACTTGTAGTGAGGTGGGTAGGAGTTGGAGGGTGGTTATGGAGACATCATCATAGCCTCTTCGTTTTTAAACCTTTTTATTGAAAGAAAAAAAATTGTTTCTGTTGTTTTTAACATTTTTAGGAGGCAAAGCTCGTAGAATCCAACCCTTCCTGCATATGAATATGTATATTTCAGAGCCATATTCCAGTGCTTAAGGTTTTCTCCAATGAAGTGGCTATGTAATCTTCTCATACGGAGCCAATGAGAGTCCAGTTGTCAAAGGTTGAGTTTCTCAACGTGTTGTCCAGTAACGTTTACTTCATAATAATGTAAACGTTTAATATCAAAGGAAAGACAAGAAGAAAAGAAAAAAGCTTTGCGGCCTGCCCAATTGATCTGTCGTTGTTCACACAGCCGTTTCGCTTATCAGTCGTTTCGTAAAGGATGACAAAAGAGACAGAGAAACCAAAAACCACCACCTTTTAGAAAAAGTTGAATCGAATAAAAATATTCCCACACATAATGTGATTCTCTTTATTTTGAGTAATTTCATATTTCGGGTACATTAGGTTATACACAGGACATGTCGAAATATTTTGTTTTTATTTTTAAAAAGCAGTGCAGTAAGTTGGAGATGTATTTAGTTGGGGTAAAGACTCGTATAATTGGTAACAAACCAAAGGTTCTAATTAAAATTACTGATAACATTCCTATAAGGGTTCTTCTTAAATTTGTTATAGATGGGTTTGGGCAAGTTTTAATAAAAAAATTCAAAGATTTTGTTTGAACAAAAAGGAAAGAAAAAAAAATCAAAGGAATTATGGAAAGAATTAAGGGAAACTGAGAAAGTGGAACCAATTGATTGACACAGCAAACCCGCCAGAGCCCTAACACGTGCACATAGAAGAAGCCACAAAACACACACAAACGCAGGAAGAGAACATTAAGACACAAGGCATAAGCTACTGAGGCGCGACCGCGTATTTCCCTTTGCCTTGCTTTCCCCAAACTCCAAAACGACCAAAACAAAACAAAATCCCCCAAGACATCCTCCTCGGTTTTTCCACCACCCTCACACACTCTCTGTTTGTCACTCTCTCTCTCTCTCTCTCTCTCTCTCTCTCTCTTGAATGCTTCAGTTTTACTTTTCTCTTCCTACTTTTTTTAAAGTTTCAAACAGCCCACGGGACATATAAAAACAGAGAGGAAACAGAGCCCCTTAAACCTCTCTCTCTCTCTCTCTCTCTCTCTCTCTCTCATCACAAACAAAGCACAAATTCATTCCCTCGTTCATTCAATGGAAGCCGGCGCAACTCAAGACAATTGAAGTTGACAAAAGTGTGAACCGATCTGCTTTGGTTCGTCAAACGTATCTGGCATTCACTCAGCCACAAATAGCCCTGTTTGTGCAACGCACATGGTAATAATAGATTCTTCCCCGTTTCTTTTTTTCCTTTTTTGTCTCTCTCTGTCACCATGTTGCATGCTTGTTCATATTTGCCAAGAAGATGGGAATATTAGCTTGTGATTTGAATTCTGATCCAAAACTTTCCTGTTCTTGCCTAGAGCCTTATGTTTAACGAATCTCATGTTCGGCGAAAGGACTGATGTTCTTGACTTAATGATGTGATCTTGATCTGGTTGAATCTGTGATGCATTATGGGCTTCCGTTGTTGCATATATTTGAAAACCCATACCGCAAAAACCAAGCTTTCTTCATTTTTCTTATTGTAAAGTCCTATTTCAGAATCTGGGGTAATTCAAATTCAAAAGAAGGGTGTTGCTGAATCAGATGTTTTTCAGACCAAAAAAATAAATCAGATGTTTTGAAAATTACATAACCCAGAACTTGAATTTGAATTATTTTTTTTCTTTGCTGACAGTTGGGTTTGATTGAGATTTGAATCAAGATGCAGTCAAGGGTGGTGGCATTGGAGGAAGGCAAGGACCCTGCTACTGCATTTAAATCCAACCATGCTAGGGCCTTGCCTTTGAGACTAGTTCAATTTCTTGTGATGTTTGTAGTCCTGGGTATCGGGGTTTCGATTTTGAGTATGCACACGATTCGGTTTTTTGGAGTTCAACATGTTGCTCCAACAGCACCATCCACTATTAGGCCTTGCTTTGAAGAGCCAAGTAGTTTAGAAAGCCGGATTAGACCTCCATCTAATCTGTTGCACGCCATGAATGACACAGAGTTGCTTTGGCTGGCTTCATCTGCTCCTCAAATAAACGACTATCCTTTTAAAAGAGTTCCCAAGATTGCTTTCATGTTCTTAACTAAGGGACCATTGCCAATGGAACCTCTTTGGGAGCGGTTTTTTAAAGGACACGAAGGGCTTTACTCCATCTACGTCCATTCACTGCCATCTTATAATGCTAACTTCTCGCCTTCGTCAGTGTTTCACAAGAGACAAATCCCGAGCCAGGTATATTAAGTCATTTCATAATTATTACTAGTGCTCCTACATGTTTTTGGACAATTCTCTAGAATGATTCTTACCCAGATTTTCTTAATGGCATTCCTCTCATTGAATTTGTTTCATGCATTTGGTGTGCATCTTGTGAGATGGTGCCCTATCTGTGGTTTAATATTAGGGGAAGTGTAAACTTGCCAATAATGAAAATGACTTGATCAAAAAAATGGTGTAAAATTTTGAATTTATTGATATTGGGGCATTTCCCCTTTCTTATTCAATAGTACCAGAATAATTTCTCCAATCTCTCAGCAGTCAAAATCTGTCCTTTAGGTTGTACACTGGGTTATGAAGATTGTATGCTGATGTTCATTTGCATTGTATGTTTAAAAGGAATACTTTTGAATTTTTCATTTAAAAGGTATTGAAGGATGAGCTCCTGCAGGCCATGTATGATGTAGAAATCTTTATTTGCTGTTCTTATGTTGTTTCAATTCTGTAAGCTTTTAACTTTCCCAACTTTGATCAAATAAAAATACCTTGTCTGAATCATATGTCAATTCTTGCCATGTTTTGGTGTTGTTTAGGAGCGTTCTCTGACCATCCTTGTACAGCGCGCATTTTGCTTCCACATTTACCAATGTTTATGCACTGCAATGGAGTATCTAGTGATAGAAATAAGTTCATTGATCAGTAAGGAACATGTTGTGGTTGTAAATTTTTTCCCCTGTTGGTTATTTACAGAAAAGGGCACCTGATTATCAAACATTAGATACCTTTATGTATACACAGAAACATTTCTCTGACATGCCTCTTTCCTACATTTAGCACTTTATATTGACAGCATTAGAACATTTATTTTTTAACTCAGTAAATTTTATGGCAGCCAATTCTTTGACAAGATTCGGGCACCTCAATAATTTTCTATGGCATCTTAAGCATATTTTTTGGAACTTACTTGTTCTCTTGTATTAAGACATGTGACCATTTATATTATATGATTCAGGTAGCAGAGTGGGGAGAGATGAGTATGTGTGATGCTGAGAGGAGACTCCTAGCTAATGCGTTGCTCGACATCTCAAATGAATGGTTTGTCCTCCTTTCTGAGGCATGTATTCCTCTCTACAACTTAAGCATTGTCTATCACTACTTATCAAGATCCAGGTACAGCTTTATGGGTTCATTTGATGAAATTGGGCCATACGGGAGAGGACGCTATGACGGGCGCATGGCCCCTTTGGTCAATCTCACTGAGTGGCGTAAAGGGTCTCAGTGGTTTGAGATTAATCGGAAACTTGCAGTTAGAATTGTAGGAGACACAACTTACTACCCTAAGTTCAGAGACTTTTGCAAACCAGCATGTTATGTGGATGAGCACTACTTTCAGACAATGCTTAGCATTGAGACTCCACATCTTTTGGCAAACAGGACCCTTACTTATGTGGACTGGTCAAGAGGTGGTGCTCATCCAGCTACATTCGGCAAAGCTGATGTTACAGAGGAGTTCTTCAAGAAAATTGCTGGAAGTGACACATGTCTTTACAACAACCAACCAACCTCACTCTGTTTTCTTTTTGCAAGAAAGTTTGCCCCGAGTGCTTTGGAACCTCTATTAGAATTAGCATCCAAAGTATTTGGATTTTGACATATCATTGGCTTCTAAACTACGTGTTTAGCAAAGTTCTGATGGGAGCATGCGAGTGTAGTTTTGAGTTAACCCCAGACCTGTCTGTTGAGATTGATTCCTTTTTACCCAAATTCAATAGGTTTTTTGAAACTTAATGTTAAAGCATATTGTATGTATAGAAAAATAGGACCTAAAAAGTAGCATCTTAGAAATTTTTCTGGTACAATAATGATTTATATCCATATCTGGTGGGGAATTGATTGAATGTAGTTCTACTGAATCATATTTCATTCAATAAATATCCTGACCTCCCATTTCTTTTTCTTTTTCTGAAATTTTCTTACTCCATTTCTAGTACTTAAAAAACAATCTCCTGATGCAATGCCAGCTTGTTTTTTTTTTTTTTTTTTTTTTTTTTTTGAAGCCATGGGGAATTCAGATGCAGAGATAATTGATATATCTGAACATAGTTTATATTACATGGGGGATAAAATATATTGAAAAGATTAAACTCCCCTCTAACTTTCTCTCTATTTAAACCTCATTAACGAAATGCCTGCAGCCTAGAGAAAGACAAAATAGTCACTTGTGTAATAATAGTTCATGCTGTTATTATGTCTCCAAGTTTGAGTCCTTCAAGTAGAATCCCTTCTAGTGCAGGGGCCTCTATAATGGTCTGAGGCAAAATGCTCATCGTTGTACAATTTCTGAACTCTCATCACGGAGAGAGGAAGACCATCGGTTTAGAAAGAGAATACCAAGACGGTACCCAAAAACCACCGTAGATCGTATTATCGGCAAATGCGTGTATCGTGGAGCATCATCCAACTTATTTGACAAATATGATCTCAAAATTACAACATCAATGAGAGCTAAACCTTGGTATATTTGTGTATAATTTACCTAGGAAAGAATCATTTTGGTGCACAGTTGCTGCAATATGAATCTCATCCTCCAATACTCAATGAAGACTTGGTAATGTTTGAACCAACAACTTAGTCACTAAGCCCTTTATAATTCATCATGGTATTCTTGTGCTGGCAAAGGAACTTCCTGTTGGAGTTCAAGCAAATACCTAATAGCCAAAGAAGCGTGAAGTGCAGCACCAAAAGGAAGTGCATCTTCATTGATTTGGAAGTGAGGTGAATGTGGCACATGCAGAGGTCCAAGTTTGTCATCTGCCATTCCAAGCAAGAAAAAGTATCCAGGTATTGCTTCTTGGTAATATGCAAAATCCTCAGATCCCATCAATGGTTGATGGTCTTTGACTCTCTGGATGCCAAGCATATCTCCAGCTACATTCTGGAAGTGTTCGTGCAGGTCCTTATGGTTTATGGTCGGGGGGGACAAAGGTTTCTCATCTTCAAGGAAATTGACAGTTGCACTGCACCTTTGTACAGAAGCTTGTCCCATTATGACCTGTCAAAAGAAGCAAATCAGATTTTTGTTGCCAAAGTTTTGGAACGTGTGGTTGTTTGTATTAAAAGAAAAACTATTTACACAGCACTTGAAGACGAAACCAAAATGAACAAAGTATAAATATGAAAATAATTAAGTACCGAACTAATTATTTTCTTTGAATATATTCAAGAAAACAAAGAAATCAATCAATCCTTTCATAATATACATATTACATGTGTGATTTGACTGACCTCCTTAATGCGCTGCTTAAGTTGCATTAAGCTCTCCCGTGTAAAGGCACGGAAAGTGCCACCAATTCTGACAGAATCTGGAATAACATTGAATGCATCACCTCCTTGAAATTTTCCAACCGTGACTACCTGAAAATATATACTTTAGTTGATTTGAGAGCATTTACAAAATAAATAACATTGCTAATCATGAATTAAGGAAGCCAAAACTTTATGCAAATGCACCAAGTTCTAACAGGAGCAGCACAAATGACATGAATTTCCAAAGGATAGGATTATTGGAGGATAAGAAATTGGTGAACAAAATATTTGAAAGTTGACGCTAGAGGAAAAGATTCCTTCAGTTCTCTTCTTCAAGAGAAGTTCAATAATATTTTATAATACTCTTGCATCATCAAAGAGTAATTAAATATCTAATGTATGACCACCCCTTAATGGCAGTAGGCAGGACAGGTCTGTGATTTTAATCTACTTCCGAATACCTTAAGTACCGCTAGGTCTTCCTGCAACACCCACTCCACCAAAAAAAGGAAAGCTCTTCCTCTGTATCTCAATGTTGCCATTTTCCTCATCACAAAGTTTATTTCTATACAACCAAAGACTGTAAAACAATGCAGTTGGGATAGTTTCAGACAGTCACTACTATGTTAGACTGCACACCAAAATGCAGAACACCACTGTAATAACTAGTGCTGCAGTCATTTTAGAAGGGGATGAATCTAAAGTAGGTGCTCAGTTATCATTGTTTAACAAAAGCAAGCAGCAAGCAGTGCCATCTATATTCCAATCAATTTTTCAGTGAGAACGGACGAGTGTAAACAATCTAAGTAAGAACCCAAACAAGGAATCAATACTCCATAGAAATTATGATAAGATTGGTTCACACTACATAAGAATGTAACAGGTTTTACCTGTGAGTCAAGTGGATCAGCTTCACGTGAAACAAGATGTTGCAAGCTGACAATCACATTTGAAGCTGCCAGTATCGGGTCAATCGCATGCTGAGGAATGGCTGCATGACCGCCTTTTCCACTTATTGTGGCTTCAAAGAAGCCACTTCCTGCAAAAAAGGGACCAGGTCTGGAGGCCACTTCAGCTATAGGTACGTGGTTTGCAACATGCAACCCAAAAATAGCATTAACATTCTCTAATGCTCCGCCATTTATCATTTTCTTAGCCCCTGCTCCTCCTTCCTCTGCTGGTTGAAATAGAAGAACAACTGTTCCCTGTTAAGACAACAATTTTTGGATGATATCAGGCATCCAGAAAATAACTATCTTATGAGAATAACAAAATTCGCAAAAACCTATGAAGCCGTTTATACATGTTATCCATATAAAATACACATATTTTCTCCTATGCGGACGTCCGGAACTTATTACTGTGTTGACGCCGTGTATTTCTACTTCCCCTCCCTGCTTTCCTCCTTGTTTACAATGGCAATGCATGGACAAAAGATTTTTCATAATCCCCTAATTCTTGTATGTAATTTTTGCCAATTAAAGTCAGGAGTGTTGTAGAGTAACTAGTGAACAACCACAGAATGCAATATTTCCTAAAAAATGAATGAAACATTAACTACAAGTTCAACAAAACAAACCTGTAAATCTTTCTCATGTTCTTTAAGGATCTTTGCCGCACCAAGAAGCATTGCGACATGAGCATCATGCCCACAAGCGTGCATTTTCCCAGGAACTTTACTCTTGTGTTCCCACTCTACCATTTCCTATAAAAACATTTGATCAAGTTCAGAACAAAAGGATGGGAATGGGGGTTTCAGGCTTTTATAAATTCATAATAACCAAACCTGCATAGCCAGAGCATCCATATCAGCTCTTATTGCAACAAAAGGCGGTTTTCTGGTGCCAATGAACCCTACAACACCTGTAATCGCAATTGGGTATTTATAGTCAATACCCATTTCATCCAATTCTGCTCTGACCAGCTTACTGGTTTCAAATTCCTCATAACCCAATTCTGGGTTTTCATGTATTTTCCTTCTGATTCCCACCATCCAATCAAACACTTGAGGTTTCTGGGCAAAATCAAGTAACTTGAAGGGGATTTCTGAGAGCCCATTTGAGCTCACAGAGGAACTTGACAATATAGTTGTTGGACCAAACACAAAAAGGACTATAATCAAAGAGACTTGCATGTGGAACTCCATGATCTTTCTGAAACTGAAAGCTTGGCTGATGATTGAAAGTACAAAAGAAAGTAAAGAAAGCCAAGTTATATAAAAAAGAGTGGGAGTTTAGCAAAATGTGTACAATAACATTGGAAAATTGGTGGCTGCTTGTGATGGTCACACAGACTGCTCAGTCAAACAGTTGATGTAGGACAATATATGAGTCAATTTAAGTGTGAAAAATTAAATAAATCGGCTCAAAGTTAGTAAGAAATATTGTAAACTGGGATTTTATTTTATATTTTCTATCTTTATCATATCATTAATAAATCATTGAGAATTTAAGCAACGATATAAATTCAAGTCTTTCAACTTCCTTGGCGTGATGAAGGAAAACACCTAAATAATAACTTACACAATGATAAAGGCTCATGACTCAGAATCTTCATGTGCTTGCAGATGCTTTTGCCACGTCTAGGTGGGGAAGTAAATGAAAGCTGCTGAAAGTCTTGGCAAATCTTGGGCTGAATTGTGATCTGGGTTGTAGTGGTCAAGCTAGGCCTTTATCTCTGTTTTGGTTTGGGCTTTTGCCCCCATATTTAACCTCAAAAGAGAAAATCCAACTACTATTATGTGTCGGGCAAAAAATTTGTTTAATCCCATTTGACCATATATTTAGGGAGCTGACTTTCCCACTTCTTTTTTGTTTTATTGAAAATTATATATTCTCATTCTTCTTTTATCTACTCCACAAAAGGGAAGTGGGAAAATCAACACCCTATATTTAGGGCTCGTTTGGGAGTGCTTTTGGATCAGCGAAAAGCACTTCTAAATGGGTGAAAGCGCTTCTGTCTTAAAAAAATGGTGTTTGACAAAAATTGCAAAAGCGCTTTGGGTGAGATCCAAAAGCACTTGGAGTGGTTTTGGAAGATGCACGTGAGAGGTGCTTCTTCTTAAAAGCGCTGCAGGATAAAAACAAGGGAAGCACTTGGCTCTCTTTAATGAAACTTATAAAATGCCAAAAATACCCATATTTAATTTTTAAAATGCCAAAATACCCTTCCTTTCTTTTTTTTCCTTTTTTTTAAATTTTATATTTCCTATATTTATTATAATATTTTGAGATTCTTTACATTTTTTAAAGTGCTTTTAAAAGCGCTTTTACTGTGTCAGCCAAACACTCAATAAAATATCAAAAGCGTTTTTATATAGTGTAAAAACACTTTTAAATGTGATATCCAAACGACAAACTACTTCTTTGTAGAAGCGCTTATGTCATAAGTACGACTAGCATAAGCACTCTCAAACGAGCCCTTAATCTCATTCATAGATATGGGCTTAGCCAAGTTAGCTAGATCAGATGTGCGGCCATTATGTATCCAAGTTCGAATCCCCTCCCCATAGTTTAGATTAGTTTAAAGTAGATTATCGCTTATATAAAAGAAAATATAAAAAAATCTATCTTGATTCATCAAGTGAAAACTTTACGGTTTTGATTTTTTTTATTCTTGTAATTTTTGAACCATAATATACTTGACAAGCATAGCATCGAAATTGTTAAAATTTTAAATTATGAGTATTTTAAACACAAAGCAGCTCAAAATGTCAAAATTTTCGCTATGGAACATAATAGTTTAAATTGGAAAAAGAGAAATTGTATGTAAACCTCATTCACAAAACACAAATTGTTCTATTTACAATTAATATCTACTAATGCCAGCAAGAACTTGTTAGTCTTTCTCGGATCTGATTGCTTCACCAAGAAGTAAAGGTCCAATTTGTAATTTTATCAAATTTTTGTGACGTTTTAATGATGCGACTTTAATCTTTCTGTTTAGCACATAAAACGGTCGTATCAAGCACTAAATAATTGATGGAGTTACAAACTTAACACTAATGCAAATTATAAGAAATAGGAAAATATTTCCCTCCTTATCATGCAAGTAGAAACTCCTATATTTCTATCAATAATGTAACATGTGTGCAGATTTTTTTTTTTTTTTTTTTTTTTTTTTTTGCAATAACGCTCTAATTTTATTCACTTTACACTCCTTTTTTAGTTATAAAACGAAGTGTAAGTGGATAAAATTAGAGTGAGGAAATCATCACTTATATATAAACTACAAGGATTAGTCACTGCTGTCGGCGGTGGACACCCTTGGGCATAACCAAAAAAAAAAGAAAAAAATTATTATTTTTTATTTTTAAAAAAGGAGGGGAAAGAAAAATCAACCAATACCATGCCGGTTGAATTGTTTTTAAAGAAACGTAAAAACCCTTGGCTACGGTTTGACTCGCGCAGAGACTCTTCTTGGGGAGATCGCAGACGAGGTAATTTCCGTAATTCTGATACCCTGCGTCTCCTCGCCCCTTTCTTCCTCGTATTCAATTGGATTGGTATTCGATGATCCTTTGTTTCATATTAGATTTTCATGTCGAAGATTGATGCTTTGTTTGGTTGCGAGAATATATATATATATATATATATATCTAAATTCTGAATCAGTGAATCTTGTTCTCATATTTTTTATACGTTAAAACTTACAACCCAATTGGGTTTTGGTGCAATTGCTTCTCTTAAACTCGTTTAGTTCATTAAATTTTGAGCTTTTCTTATCCTTTTTACTATTTAGATGATCAAGAACTGAACTTGATTATGGAAACATATCGTTGCCCTAACTCGATATGGTTTACATGGAAGATAATGTGTTTGATGAAGTTATGAACTTTATTTTGGTTGCTGTTAAGAGTTTTTAAGATGTTACGTTGTGTTCATTGTTTGAATTTCTTGATTTTTCTTTTGAGGATGAACAGTAATCGCGGATAAGACTGTTTTCTTTTATTTCTGTGAAATTTGTTATTGGGTGGCAATACTCTCGATGAACAAGGACCATAGTTCTAGTATGGGATGTGACATTCTGTAACCATTGGGCTGAAGCCCTGCAATCTGAAGCAAAACCCTATGGATCTTTATGTTTGTTTTTCTTGTAAGTTAGTCTGAATTTTGTTGGCTGATTATTTTATTTTATGTTCACGGAGAGATCAAACAACCATCTATAGTAAATGTGGCTTTTTGTTTGTGTCTGTTTGTGTTTGTGTGTGTGGTAGTAATTTTTCTTTTCTTGAACAGTATTTTTTAAGTATGGAAACTCTTTGGTCGTAACATGAACTATTTTGCAATTAGGTCCCTTCCAAGTAGCAAACAGATGATGTTGAAGAGAGCCCTGCAGAATCTGAGAGTACCTTCGGAAAGTAAAAGGAAAAGAATCTCTGGCACAGTATATTGTAAAACCTGTGCTATCGATTTGTGTGCAGAAGCATCTGGAGCTCACAGAAAACGAAAGAGAGAACAATTTAGTATCATTGACAAGAACGTTAAGCTTAAAAAGCAGCAAACTGCTAAAGATTCAAATAGCGTGGACAAAAGAGTTGCATCCATGGATTATATCTCACAATTGCCTGATACTGTCATCCATATCATCCTCTCTTTCCTTCGTAGTACAAAAGATGCTGCTCGAACCAGTATCTTGTCTAAGAGGTGGAGGGACATGTGGATCTCTTTCTCTGTTTTGACATTCGACCAACGGACTTTTCAAGAACTAGAGGGAGTTCAAAGTATGGAGAACTGCAATGAGGTGTTTAAGCAGTTTATTGATAAGTCTCTCCAGAGCCACCTGGATCGTAAGTTAGGTATATATAAATTTGTTCTACATTTAACCTCCTATGATCCAGCATTGGTTCATCATATGGAACGGTGGTTTGGAATTGCAACTGAAAATAACGCAAAAGAGCTAGGTTTCCATGTTCATGTGAAAGGAACTAGGCGCTACATTTTGCCCAAGAATGTCTTTGCTGCAGAAGGAATAACTGGATTAAGGCTGCAAGGCTGTAAACTTGAAACTTGCAGTATTATAAAGCTTCCTCATCTGCAAAAGCTATATCTGCGAAATCTTCGTGTTGATCAACAGATAATTATGAATCTCATTTCCAGCTGCCCTCTAATTGATGATTTGAGACTCATACAATGCTCGGGGTTAAGTTGTTTGGACATTTCAAGTCTTCTTAAACTTGATAGGGTTGAGGTACACTGCTGCAATGTACTCAAGAAGATAGATATTACAGCTCCTAGTCTTCAAGCATTTTGGTATTGCGGGAAGAAACAAGTGTCCTGCAAAATTAACTTGAAAGATTGCGAGTCTCTGAAAAGGCTGACACTAGAAGACAGTAGAATGACAAACAACCAGTTTCATGGTCGATTCTTCAGTTTTCCTCTCCTAGAGAAACTGGAGCTAAGTAACTGCCTCAAGTTGACGAATATAAGAATTGGAAGTCATCGGCTGAACAGACTAGTCTTAAGAGGTTGCAAGAATCTAGAGGAAGCTGAAATTGATACTCCAAATCTTCTTTCATTTGAGTATCAAGGTGATAAATTCCCCTTTTCTTTCTGAATCCTAAGTGTTTAAAGGAGGTCAAGCTTTCATTTGCACCAATGGAAGATAGGAAGCTCAAACTTAACCTCAAATCTGAGCCTCTTTGGTTTCCTAAGTTGCGAGAATTTCTTGGGAAGTTCGACCATAAAGGCTTGAAATTGGTTGTGCGCACCAGTAAGGTAATAGTCTCCTTTTATTATTAACATTTCTATCTCATTTACATCCACATACTCTTTTTTTTTTTTTTTTTTTTTTTTTTTTTTTTTTTTTTTTTGCTACTTGGCCAGAATGTCATCATCCATGAAGATTTTGGAGAAATTTTGCTTTCTACATGCGGTGGTCACAAAATTGAAATGGTCCAATCTTCAGTGGGTACTGAAGAACTATTAGATATTTCATTGCATAAAGGACATCCACAGACCCTATCTATAATGTCATCTTCCAGCAGTGAATTCCCAAAGGTATGGTAGTTTCCTTGCATGCTTTTGCTTATTTCTCCAATTACATGATCTGTAATCTGTATAATGTGGATGCCATTTTGTATTATGGACTCCTTGATTTAAAGCCACCATGTTGAGTGAGATTGTGCCATCAGATAATAAAGTGACATTTTGCTTTCGGGCTGTGGTTTTTACTTGAACTGCAGTTGGTACATGAGAAGATTATCAATAGAAAGGAGGATCCAACCTGCTGCACAAGTAATAATCCCAACAACAAGTGTTGGCGACACTTCTTGAAAGATGCCAAGATGGTGAACTTGAAAGCAGCTAAAGGCAAAAATGACTCTGAGTCAATGGCTTGGTTGAAGTCACGTCCAAATGCTAACGAGATTGCTTGTTTTAGATTGGATTGGAAATCTGACAAAGATGGTAGGAAGGCGTCCCGCTAAGATCTACATTTAACTTTTATTTCAGTTTTTCATTAAATTTTATATGACCATGAATGAATTCATTTTTGGATCCTATTTGAATATTACTTTTTGATATTATGTTTGGAGATTAGTTATGTTGTTTGTGGTCATTCTTTTTGATCTCCATGATAAATACTGGTGATGGAGATTTCCAAACGGAAAAGTAAACTCGCAGCTTATAGTTATGTTATTGTGGATGTTGTTTTTACTAGTTCCTTGTACAATTGGGGTACACAATAGCTTTGTGGGGAGGCTTACCTCTCTCAAACAAGCACGTTATCTGGGTAAATCCTGGGTTACATGCAACACCAGCTGATATTATAAGAATTCTACTATTGCTACAAGACATGCGATGCGACCTAGGTTGGGTTATAAAAATGATCATTGTATTTATTAGAAGTCAAATTTACAAACCAAGATGGTTTTCAAAATGCAATGTCGATTTTTTACAACTTTTTTTTTCCTTTCGGTTTCTTCAAGTGCCTAAGTTTTTCAGTGTTCAGAAAGAAAAGCTGGTAGGAGATTTTGACCGTCTTTGTACAGAACTTGCTGGTAATGGAGTGGAGGAATTTTCCTGCAAAACAAGTTAATTGAAAACAGAGAATCAGTTTGGACAGTTAATATTGGTAATTGGAGTTGGTGAGCTATGTACCCTATTCTTCCTAAGCCCTCACACAAGGCCACCAACTCCACAAAATTATTTGCTGTGTGAGGGGATCATCTGTTGTATGTCTTTGGCAACGAATCACTTGGCCTGCTTACCCACAATCACAAAAGCTGGAAAGCACCTAAACGAAGGCAAAGCTTTCACTCGTACACAATGCAATCGCATTCACAAATCTCTACCAATCATCACATGAGTGTCAGCCACTACTTGCTCTTATAGCATGTTCCTAATCCTTAATCGGATGAGGAGGAATTGAATTGAGGAGAAGTAGGATTGAGGAGTCAAAATCCGGATTCCATTGAAGTCATTATTACTAAACTATCTGGAATCGGTGTTTACTAAATTCTCATCAATCGGAATTGAAACCAGTTTGATTACTAAAATTCCATTGTTTTAAATAAATTATTTTTTATGTAAATTTTTGTTCGGTTAAAATGGATGGAAATTTTGAAATTTTAAAAATCATGTGACAATATAATGGATTAAAAAATTGGATTTATGATGAGCTCAATGAATTAGAATACCACATCCCACCAAATAGTTCAATTCCTCCAAAATAAGGAGTTGAATTCCTGATTTTGTGTGGGTCTCTCTTGCATTTTCATTCCTTTGTGTAAGTAAACACAAGAGTAATCCATAATCGGAATTCAATTACTTATTTTAATTCTCATTACAGATTAGCAAACATGTTAGTTTAATGGTATTGTTCTTCGAAGAAACTCCAAGTTCGAATTTGCTAACTCATTTATCTAACAAAATGAAAGATCGTGTCAATTTCTAATTGAGATGTTATTCTGGATTGTCATCTCATTCTTTCTTTCTTTTTCAAGAATCAAGAACTTGATATTGTAATGCATATATGCTTTTCTAGAATTAGGGGCTAGCTAGTGATGACCACAACCTTCCTCGAATGCGTAAAGAAAAAGCAGATATTTCTGCATACATAATGCTAAAATAGAATCAGATACTACTATCCATCAGGTGCCTGTTTGCACCATGCGTTTTGTTTATCTCTCCCCCTAAATTTGCTTTTTCTTCATTATATACCTCTATGTTATCTCATCTCTCTCTCCACCACCAACCATACTCATTCTAGCTTTTTCCTTGCTCTGCTTCTCTGTGTTAAGCATTTTGTTCAAACCTTCCCTGAGCCCTATGGTAAGCATATTGTTCTTAACCACTCTGTTTGTTGTTTCCTTGGCACTTTATCATTAATTTTACCCTTCATTTCTTTGCTAGATTGTAAGTATGTTACTGTTGTTTTCAACATAAACTAGTACTCTGAGTGAGAAAAATTGTATCTAAACATTTGAACAAGGAAAGTTCCTTTAAATTTTTATGTAGGATGGCAAGGAGCGTGCAAGTGGGAAGAAGAAGACCATTGTAGTAGGACCATGGGGAGGAAATGGTGGAGCTGACTGGGACGATGGGATCTACAATGGGGTGAGAGAGATCACGCTTGTTTACGGTCATTGCATCGACTCCATTACTGTGGTGTATGATAGAAACGGTAAGCCTGTCAAAGCAGAAACGCATGGTGGTCGGGGAGGCAATCAAACTGCTGAGGTACGTTTCGATCCTTGTATTCTTTTCTTTTAATCGACAACTTTCGTCCATAGGATTTGAACTCCGGACATCCTCTAACAAAGTGGAGACTGATGCCAATAGAGCAAATGGACAGAGGCTTCAAAACTCGTACTTCAAATTGGATTAAGATTGATAGAAAGTGTATCAAATTTGATGATAATTTATTTCATAGAGGCGAGATATCGATATAAATTTTTTTTGATCTTGGCCTGACTTTTTTCGTGCAGATAAAGCTTCAGTACCCAGATGAGTTCCTAGTCAGTGTAAGTGGACACTATTGTCCGATGGTGTATGGTGGCGGCCCGATAATCCGGTCACTCAAATTTCAGAGCAATAGAAGAACATTTGGACCATATGGAATTGAAGAAGGCACACCCTTTACTTTCACAGTGGATGGAGGCAAAATTGTTGGATTAAAGGGAAGAAATGGATGGTACCTAGATGCCATTGGGTTTCATGTATCCCCTCCCCCAACCAAAAAACTGTTTCAGAGTATTCAGAAGAGTTTTAGAAGGCTTGGGAGCTCGGTTTCAAAACCTTAGACTGCTCAAAGTTGAAAGCATATGACTTAGAGCTCATGCCTGCCGCCATACGAGTTCTTAAAATCACCAAAAGCTCAAAAAAAATTGCACATATAATAAGCTACTCTTTCTGCTTGTGATTATTTCTTTCCTTTGAAGTACACTAAAGCCATCCAAATAATGTTTAGTGTTTTCTGTACCATCAATGGAGTATTAAGTTTCACTAGTGGGTAGCGAAACATGCGTCGATTGTTCCAGCAATCTAAAAGGATTAAAGGAAAGGGTTTAAAGACAAAACAACGTCTCTTCACTCTCCCTCACTCCTTGAAGAGAATGGGTCATCAGAGTAAAGAGATATGCAGTATCTTCATGGAAATACGTCAAGGTGATGGTGATACGTCAATAAACATATCATTTTCACTCCCCCTCCCCCCCTTGAAGAAGAGGGGAGGAGAGCACTTAAATTTCAAGAAGAACGCAAGCACATGTCACAAGAGAACTTGACTCTGATACCATGTTAAGATTTCAGAGGACGGACCCTTGGCCCATCACTAGCAACATCGATATTGGTATCAGAGCCAGGTTGTATAAAACCCCACACCTGCTAAACAGGTGGTTAAGTTGAGGACAATATTGAGGTTGCTAGTGATGGGCCAAGGATTTGTCCCCCTGAAATCTTAACACCCCTAGCAAATGATTTAATATGAAGTAATTATCATGGACACAGTGTCTCCTCTTAACAGCACACCATACACCAGTTTCATGCATGTACACAAAATAACAAAGGTGCATCAATAAAAGAAATTCCAAGGCATCACCAGCCAAAGACAACAGGCACAAAGGTTCTCTGATCACACTGTACAGTTTTCGTACCAGATTTTTGTAACCCATATTCACTTACCCTAAACCCACACATTGTCTTAACACTTTTTTTCTACCGGTACATTGCCTTGACACATAACAGCACATGTTTCACCAGTTTTATGCATGCAATAAAATGAGAAAATAATTGCAAGGCATCAACATGAATATAAAACAGGTAGAAAGTTCTCTGGTCAGATTCTTACAAGCCACTCTCAAGCAATTAAAAGGCCATGACCATATGCAAAAGCCCTAAGCACAAAACAGAGTAACAAGTCATCAAATCATGTCTTTACTAAAAAATCTAAGGTTTACATTCAAGGATAAACGCCAATTCAGTCAATTAACATCAATATACTTCGCAGTGTACTCTAAAAGAACTGAAGACATTGGTACCAATGTATAACAATCAAATCTCAAGCAGCAAAAGAAAGTAACATCAAATACTCGCCATCCATAGAGTACTATCGTATGACCCATATCCCAATCGGCCAATGCACTCAACTTAGACAAATTACCAACTTCAACCCAATAAAAACACACACACACACAGACAAATTCCCATTACGGATTAGTAAACATGTTAGTTTAATGGTATTGTTCTTTCCAATGTCAGAAAAAACTCCGAGTTCGAATTCGCTAACTCATTCAACTAACAAAATGAAAGATCAACCAAGTGGCAATTTCTAATTGAGATGTTATTCTGGGTTGTCATCTCATTCTTTTTTTCTTTTCAAGAATCAAGAACTTGATATTGTAATGCATAAATGCTTTTCTAGAATAGCGGCTAGATAGTGAGGACCACAACCTTCCTCAATACATAAAGAAAAGGCAGAGATTCCTAGTACCTGCATACATAATGCTAAAATAGAATCAGATACACCTACCCATCAGGTCTCTGTTTGCACTATGCGTTTTGTTCATCTCTCCCCTAAAATTTGCTTTTTCTTCATTATATAAGCCTATGTTATCTCATCTCTCTCTCTCTCTCCACTTCCAACCATACTCATTATGGCTTTTTCCTTGCTTTGCTCTTCTCTGCGTTTAGCATTTTGTTCAAACCTTACCTGAGCCTATGGTAGGCATCTTGTTCTTAATCACTCTGTTTGTTGTTTCCTTGGCACTTGATCATTAATTTTACCCTCTATTTATTTACTAGATTGTATGTATGTTACTGCGGTTTTCAACATAAACTAGTGCTCTGAGTAAGAAAAATTGTATCTAAACATTTGAACAAGGAAAGTTCGTTTAACATTTTATGTAGGATGGCAAGGAGCGTGCAAGTGGGAAGAAGATGACCATTGTAATAGGACCATGGGGAGGAAATGGTGGAGCTGATTGGGACGATGGGATCTACAATGGGGTGAGAGAGATCAAGATTGCTTACTGTCTTTGCATCGACTCCATTACTGTGGTGTATGATAGAAACGGTAAGCCTGTCAAAGCAGAAACACGCATGGTAACCGCGGAGACCATGAAACTGCTGAGGTACACTTCGATCCTTGTACTATTTCTTTTAGTTGACAACTTTCGTCGATGAGATTTGAACTCCGGACATCCTCTAACAAAGTGGAGACTGATGCTAATAGAGCAAATGGTCATAGGCTTCAAAACTCGTACTTCAAAATTGGATTAAGATTGATAGAAAGTGTATCAAATTTGATGATAATTTATTTCATAGAGGCGAGATATCAACTAAAAAAGATTTTGATTTTGGCCTGACTTTTTTCGTGCAGATAAAGCTTCAGTACCCAGATGAGTACCTAGTCGGTGCAAGTGGACACTATTGTCCGATGATGTTTGGCATCGGCCCGCGGTTAATCCGGTCACTCAAATTTCAGAGCAATAGAAGAACATTTGGACCATATGGAATTGAAGAAGGCACACCCTTTACTTTCACAGTGGATGGAGGCAAAATTGTTGGATTAAAGGGAAGAAGTGGATGGTACCTAGATGCCATTGGGTTTCATGTATCCCCTCCCCCAACCAAAAAACTGTTTCAGAGTATTCAGAAGAGTTTTAGAAGGCTTGGTTGCTCGGTTTCAAAACCTTAGACTGCTCAAAGTTGAAAGCATATGACTTAGAGCTCATGCCTGCCGCCATACAAGTTCTTAAAATCACCAAAAGCTCAAAAATATTGCACGTATAATAAGCTACCCTTTCTGCTTGTGATTATTTCTTTCTTTTGAAGGACACTAAAGCCATCCAAATAATGTTTAGTGTTTTCTGTACCATCAATGAAATATCATGTTTCACTAGCGGGCAGCGAAACATGCTTCGATTGTTCTTATTAATTGCATTGGGTCGATAATCAGACTAAAATAATTGAACAGCAATCTAAAAGGATTCAAGGAAAGGAGCCAAACATTTTTCTTTCTACCAGTAATACAATTTACAAAAGATAAACACAAGCACGCACTGTATCTTTTATTTCACTTTATATGCATTCTGCAAGTCTGAATGCATATAAAATTCTGTCAGAGAAACTATTTCCAGACCAGAAATATGCTATATAGCTAATCTAAGAATCACATTGACATCAACTATATAACCCCAGGTTTGAGGGAACTTTACTAGCTCTCATTCGCATATCAGAAATGCGACCATGACATGGAATATGTGAAGCAGAAAAACCATAAAACTGAATTGCAGTCAAGTACACAAGATGAGAGGATTCAGATCTCAAAACTAACTACTTTTCATTTCAAGCTATTGTGAGAAAACAATGACCGGACAATGAACCAGCATATAGCCATAAGAAAGAATTCATTATAAGCGCATGTTGGCATCCTTATGAAAAGTCCCAGAAGAATTCTCACAACTTTGATAACATCACCCATGCTGCTGTTATCATGGACACAGTGTCTCCACTTAACAGCACACCATACACCAGTTTCATGCATGTACACAAAATAACAAAGGTGCATCAATAAAAGAAATTCCAAGGCATCACCAGCCAAAGACAACAGGCACAAAGGTTCTTTGACCACACTGTATAGTTTCATACCAGATTTTTGTAACATATTCACTTACCCTAAACCCACACATTGTCTTAACACTTTTTTTCTACCGGTACATTGCCTTGACACATGACAGCACATGTTGCACCAGTTTCATGCACGCCATAGAATGAGAAAATAATTGCAAGGCATCAACATGAATATAAAACAGGTAGAAAGTTCTCTGGTCAGATTCTTACAAGCCACTCTCAAGCAATTAAAAGGTCATGATCATATGCAAAAGCCCTAATCACAAAACAGAGTAACAAGTCATCAAATCATGTCTTTACTAAAAAATCTAAGGTTTACATTAATGGATAAAAGCCAATTCAGTCAATTAACATCAATATACTTCGCAGTGTACCCTAAAAGAACTGAAGACATTGGTACCAATGTGTAACAATCAAATCTCAAGCAGCAAAAGGAAGTAACATCAAATACTCGCCATCCATAGGGTATCGTATAACCCGTATCCCAATCGGCCAATCCACTCAACTTAGACAAATTACAAACTTTAACCCAATAAAACACACGCACACAGAGACAAATTCACATATCTATTGCACGTACATAACAAAACAGATGCAAACAGTCTGACTAGAATGTAACAAAACCCACATAACAACATATCGCAGCGAATTAAAATTCGTCAAATATACACAAATATCAAGTTTCAAATTGTTCCACCAAGAGTCATAACTCTTAATTAGCAATCGGTACAAACACATAAGCATATCATATATATATATATATATATATTGAATTCAAAACCCAATCTGATCGCCTTCCCTATTTTAACCTCTAGCCTTGAGCTCCGCAAGCCTCCTGGAGAGGTCGTCCTCGTCGACCTTCTCGGTTTCCTTGGCCGGCACGGCATGGGCAGCTGGCTGAGGTAGGCCCACAGAAACCTCAAGCCCATAGTCATCGGCGACCTGTTGCATCAAGCTATTGACCTCACCCTCGGGAGTCGAAAGCGAGGTGGAGCCAGCCATGGCGGTCTCCATGAACTCGGCCTGGACCTCCATGTTCACGAACTGCTTCTCGAACGAGTCCATGGTCTCCGACATCTTCTGGAGGTTTCCGGTGGCCAGCGACGATTCGAGTGATTTGACGATATTTCCCATGGACTTATTGATGGTGAACATCTTGGCCTGGGTGTCGAGCCGAGCCACCACAGCGTCGAGCCGGGAAGCGAGCCGGAGATAGTTCATTTGCTCTGTGCGCTTTCGGATCGCGTTCTCGGCGTAGATCCGAGCGCCGTCGACGTTGCCTTTTTCCATGGCCTTTTTGATCTTCAGCTTCTCGGCTTTCTCCTCCTTCTCGCACTTTCTGGATTGGCGCTGAAGCGACTTGGACGTGAATTTCAGCTCCATGATCTGGTTCATCAGCTTCTCGGTGTTTCCCATGGTGGATTTTGGGGATTTGATTTTCTAGGGTTTTGGTTTTTTATCGGAGAAAGGCTTCCGTATTTGTGTGTTTTGGACTTGTGATTTACGCGTTCCGCGTCTGTCTCAGAGGGAAGTCAACAAGGCGAAGTTTCCTACTTTTCCTTGTTGGGCCGCTGTTTTTGTGAAGTATCGGATATGTGACTTGGGCTTTGCTACTTGCTGGTAAACCTAATATGTTTTGTTTTTATTTTTTGAGTATAAATGATAGTCTAAACTACAGGGGAGGGGGATTTCTCACACACGCATAATTATAATGCTATGAGAATTCGAACTTGAGACCTCTAGTCTGCAAGTCAATGCCATTTTTCATTGAGTTAGACCTCATTGGAAAAAACCTTAAAAATTATAGGGAGCTTTAGTAGTTTACCCAAAATAGGGGTTGAAATTATATTTTTTTAAAACCCCACACGGAATGCACTTTAGAAACATACCCAAAAATCATTTACTACATAAGACATGAATGTTGAAGTTTCCATAAATTACATGACTGTCATTAATAAAAAAACAAACCAAACACAAAAAAAAAAAAAAAAAAAAAAAAAAAAAAAAAAAAAAAAAAAACCCAAAGCACATTGTTAATGTAACATCTCACATCGACCAACGAAGAGGGGATGATGTGCCTTATATGTACATTCCCACCTCCATCTAGCACTAGGCCTTTTGGGAGCTCACTGGCTTCGAAGTCATGGGAATTCCAACGTTAAGCGAGTTGGGGCTAGAGTAATCTCAAGATGGGTGACTTACTGGGAAGTTGCTCGTGAGTTCCCAAAAACAAAACCTTGAGGGCAGAGACAATCGCAAAGGCATAAGGAAATACATTTACAAGAAAAAGTTAAAAAAAGTACATTGTTAATACTATGTCATAGAACCATCTTCCTAGTAAAAATCACATTATGCATATCATAAACTTCAAGTGCACAGCTATATATAGAGCAAAATATAAAGCATGCTTTGTTACTGAAAATCTATTAATACTATGTCATAGAAGTCAACTCAGTTGCAGGGTATTAACAATATAACAACTATTCATACCACTTACTAGAAGTTAACAACTACATCATTTCATTTGCATAATAGGTATGATAAAGAATCCAAACAGTACCAAACGTCAAAATCAAGTCAACACTAAACAGTGTTTTGCGCATAATGTAAATGATTACCTGGCATTGGTGTGTATCAATCCCAATTGATCAATAATGAAAATGATTACCTGAGCATCAATGTCAAGGTCCACCTCATCAGCAGTAGCCTAGAAACTTGGATTATTTTGTGCAACAATATCTAATGCATTGACGAGATCCTCATGCAACAATCTGGTAAGGGCTATCCCAAGTTTTCTCTTCTCTTTAGTTGACATTTTTCTGAAACAATGTTCTCAAGATAAGATATGGCTGCTGGATAAGCATTCATATGCAACTTTGTTCATGCACAAAAACACACAGAGTTGCTCTTTCTATCCACATGCACTCACACATGGCCATAACACGCATACACACATCAATAATACAGATTTTACATATAAATTTTTATTTCATTGCATCAACATGTAGATGTAAAACATATTAAACTAAGATACAATGTTACTGTACAACCTGCACTTTTGAACAACCATTTCTCGAGTTCTTCCAAATGCATATCAACCTCATAAAGCTGAAAACAAGAGATCATAACGAAGTCCATTATAAGTTTAGTCGTTGAAATAAACTATATCTACAAAGGCTTCCATTCAATGTTAATCATATGCATATAAGAAGGTTTGAAGTCATAAATCAACCAAAAAATAGTTAAACAAGATGCTTTAGTTTATCTCTATATACCAAACAAACAACATTATTGAACCCCAAATCATATTACACTATCTGTTCAAGAAAGAGCGCATCATGTTGGGATATACCTCTTCAATAACTTTAGGAAGAAGCTGCAGCCACTTCTCCACAAATAACCTAGATCACTGAGAATCTAAATCCAAGAATAGTAATAAGATGAGTTCTTAGTTCCTTCTCCGTCCGAGATCGACGAATGTTATCTAACGAGATCGACGAATGTTATCCAACGATCTCTGCCTTCTTTGTCGGGCTCATTCCTCTAGAGGAGTTCTTAGCTCCATCTCCGTCCTAGGTTGCTGTGGTTGACGTCACTTAAATTCGACGGTGCTGAAGAAGGAATTGGAGGTGTGTCGTCGGCCGACGGAGATTAAGACGGAGATGATTGCGGTGGCGCTGGAGGTGAAGAAGGATGTGGTGCATTAACTGGAGCGTCCAATGGAGGAAGGGAAATCAGAGATGGAATTTTAGGCGAAGGTGAATCGGCAGCGGGTTGTGATGATGAAGTCGACGAGGGCTATAGTGGAGACGATGAAGATACAATGGAGAATTGGAATATGAGAAAAGCTAAAAGCATAGCTCAATGAACCTCGCCATTGTTGAAGAAGAAGAAAGTTTGAGATGCTCGTTGATGAAGATTAAGTTGATTAATAGACAAAGAAAAAGGGCAAAACAATAATCAAACATAGTTGTTGAATTTAAGAAATCAATAGCTATTAATTTTTGGGTTTATTTTGGGTGTGTTTATATACATCGAATAGTATAGGGTTTCTTTATATAACTATGTCTAGGAATTGGTATTTAACTCATTTTCTAAAAATTATAATTATAAATATTTTTATCACAAAACGTCATTGAGTTTTGTGAAATTAGTATTTTCACCGTATTTGTGAAGTAAAGGCCGCATATGCGTGTCACATTAGCACACTTAGAATTTTTAACGAGATTAGACGATATAGACAACATTGATGTGTGCAGAAAAACGTGGATGGCCAAATTGAATGCTAAGGAAAAAAAAACTTAACTTAATAATTTCGCAAGCTTGTGATGTTTTGTGATAAAAGCTCAAAAAAAACATATTAGATAAAATTGATATACATAACTAAACTTTTATTTATGTTTTTACATTGAAAAAATGGTAGGGTAGTTTTTTACACCGCTAAACCCAAAAAGAAAACACTTATTTGCAACATCCCCTCCTTCATAAGGAAGAGGGAACAAAGGGAAGTTGCCCAAAACTGGTTTCCCCTTTCTTCTTTAAATATTGCAAACAAGTACAAACACAACTGCCCCTGGAAAAAGTAAGATAAACAATCGTTGAAGAGTTCTTGAGTCTTGACATACACATCCCCTCGCCTATAAGGTTAGTTTGTTTTTGCAAATTATTATTGTCCTTTTGAATTAGAATTGAATCAACTACTATTTCTTAATCGATCTAATTCTTGGGTTTGCATGCATTCGATTACATAGTTGATTTCGTAGGTGTTAGTAAACGCAAGAAAAATAAAAATAAAACCGAAAAATTTCAATATATATATATATTGAAAATCGTGAATATGAATAATTTCAATAATGTTCCCAATCCATTCATGCAACTAAACATGTCATGTAAAAGAATGATATCCATAGATAACATCAGTGTCGCTATCCCTTTCACCATAGATTTTAGTGTTTGTTCTTTCTGATTCTTGGTTTTGTTCCTCAAGGAGTTGGGAATTAGACTGACAAAAGAAGAAATATAGGCCATGAAGTTTGAGAGCATCTAAATGTATGAATTTGCTACTGGACAAGATAATAATAACGACGTGACATTCATATAAAATGTCAAAACTGCATTAGTTTACCTTTTTAATTGGGTGACATTCAAAATTTCAAAATTTCAAACTCTTCCAAAATATAGAAAAAATTAATTTATTGGCCAAAAATATGAAGTCAAATTGAACAGACCCAAGGTAACATGGGAAATCGTACCGCTTCTCCTTTCCCTGCTTCTGCGAACCGCAAAACATAAGGAACCGCCAAATATCGGAGCCCACGTGTCTTCCTCCTTCCATACCATCCAATGTGTCTCTCCCTCGCAACGGCTCGCCCATAATAGCCGACTGCTCGGCCATCTGTTCTCTCTCTCTCGTCTGCTCTTATCTTCCAAGAACCCACATTTCCAATTCCATTGGGACACATTTATCTGTATGTTTGATAAACACAGCCTTTCGTTTGATCTGCACAGAGAGCAACGTTGGTTCACAATTTATAGACCCATTTAGCAATTTGAGCCATTTCAACAGAAAAATCTTGTCTTTGGTGTTTGCAAGCTTCTGTTGTTCCAAAATACAATTGCCCACTTCACTGTTTGAGCCAGTTTCTGTGAAAGTTTACCTCTTTGGTGGGTTTGGGCATCATTTGGATCTTAAAGACAGAGATCCCTTTGGCTGTTCTCAGGTGTTAAAGTTGTTTGGTGGGCAGGAAATGAATGTGCTTGAGGAGGAACAAACTGCTTTTGAGATTGGGGTTGTGGTTCCAAAGAGAGATGTGAAGGAAGAAGATAAAGCTTCTGACTGTGTGGAGGTGTTGGTAGATGAGTTTAGAAATTTGGGTTTGGTAGTTGAGAGAGTGCATGGCGTTGTTGATGAGTTTATCAAGGTTTGTCTTTCTACTTTTGCTCTTATTTTCCTGCCGTGATTTTTCGTTTGGTTTTTCAGTAATTGATTTATATTACCATACATTGTTTCATGCAATGTGCTCATGAAAATAGATTCTGTGAATAATTTCTGATACGATCTCTCTCTGTATTTATAAATCTTGCTTACTAGGAAATTTTTTTAATTAATCCAAGTTAATCTTTGTATTTTGTACCGATGCATGTAGACAAAATTTATGAAATTGAGGTCTTTTTGCTAATGGCAAAAAAAAAAAAGTTCCCTTTTGCTAAAATTTGTTGTTTCTATTTTTTATTCTAAATTGCAAATGAGCACTATACTTGGCAATTTATGATAACCCAGCATTATTCATGTCGTTTTTTGTTTATGCTGAATGAAAATGGTACATACAATTCGCCAATGTTTTGTCTATATGGTTTCTTGAATTTGGTTGCTGGACCTTAGATTTCTATCTTTCAGTTGGCAGCACCTTTGGAAACACTGGGGAGGGCTGCAGCTGAATTGCATATTAAAAAACGAACTCCTATTGGTAATGATCTTGCAGTTCTATTCCAGTTGGCTTTCAAATTTTATTATTTTTCATTTGAGGTTGTTCTGTATTTTAGATGCTAGTATCTATTCATTTTCCACTTCGGTAATACTAAAAAACTAATATGCTGCACTTGGTTTCAGGGATGGATTTAGAATTTGAATGGGAGGAGGTTGATGCTTTTGAGAGACAGCCTGATGGTTCTTTGTTCAGTTGGTGTGAGCGTTTTCGCTGCTATAGGCACTTAATATATGGAATTGTAAGTCATTTAACATATTAGGATCTTATGATGTTCCAATGCCATTTTTTCTTTCTGATGTTTTGGTATACTACTTCTAATAACAGAATGCTTTTGAATTTTTTTTTAATTGTAAATTTATATCGTATTAAGGTTATATGTCCATTCAATTTGATTTTACGTTACAATTTCATGTTTATCTCCATCCCTTTTTTTGTCACTCTTTGGTAGAATACATCCTACCAGTTGACCTCTAGTGTTTTGTTTTTCTAAACTTTGTGACAGTTGATGTACAAACAACTGAAACCCTTGGAACATTTTCCCTTATAATTATATTTCTGTGTGCAAATATTCATCCATAAGTTTGTGCCGTTGACAATGATAGAACTGAAATTTTAACAGATTAACAAGAGTCAGTCAAGTGTAACATTAAGATTTGACGGCAAAGAATTCCAATGGGAAGTCGGGGAGTTTTTACTTCAGAAATTGGAGTCAGAGAGGATCGTCAAAGAAGTGTTTCCTTTGCATGGTATGTTTACAAATTCACAAAATGTGTGCATCTCTGTTAAACTCTAAATTAAGATGATTTTTGACTGATAGATGAAATAAAAAGGAAGGAGCTCCTTCAGACGTGGGCACTACACTGGTGGGACTTCACAAACCAGCCAATAGATGAGATTTATTCCTATTTTGGAACAAAAGTGAGTTAGTAGCAATAGAAAATTATATTTCTCTCTATTTCCTAACATTAAGCAAGAATTTAATGTCTTTGTAGATTGCCATCTATTTTGCTTTCCTTGGAATGTACACTCGGTGGCTGCTCTTTCCAGCTGCATTTGGGCTTATTTTGCACATGTTTGATTTTGGGTGGGTCATCTTCCTTATTTCTTAATTTCCTTGTTGGCTGTCAACTTATTTTATTAGTGCTGCTTATTGAAACTGAGGTATGTTTGCTTAATGTTTTCCGTAGGTCATTGCAGTTACTGGTGCTCCCCATTTTCTTCATAAGCATAATATTGTGGGCTATAATGTTTTCCCAGTTCTGGAAACGTAAAAACAATGCCCTTTTAGCCAGGTATCTTGGTATACAATGAAATTGTCTTGTGGTTATCAGATCAATGCTTATTCATTTTTGGTTATATTTTTACTTTTTCTAACATACTTTACCTCTTTCTCTTTCTTGGTTGTGTGATTAGATGGAAGATTCGTTACCCAATTAGAGCTGACCTGGGATATAGGCAGGGCATGGAGTGGAGTTCCTCACAGTCTCTTGAAATCGCAAAAAAATGGGGGACTGACAAAGCTAAAGAGAAAGAAATGTTCCAAAGAATTGAGTGGTTTGGACGACTCATGAGATTCCGAAATGATGCTATCATTATCTTCAGTATTATATGCCTCCAGTTACCGTTTGAACTAGCGTATGCTCATATTTACGAGGTTATTGGGTCTGATATTATGAAGTAAGACACCGAGTCCTTTTGCATTCATGTGAATGTATACACTTGCACGTTCATATAATTCTATTTTCATCAATGAAAAATCATTTTTAACATTCCAGAGTTTGTGCTCATATTTTTCTTTTTTATGCATGATAACTCGGTGCATCAGTTGTGCATGAGTGCTATTGACAGTTGGATGAGAACTATTGCTGAGATTGACTCTGTTCAGGTTGCATACTAGACATAAGATGGAGGAAAATTTTGGGTTTATTGGTTTTGACATAATGGGTTTTTAGAGTTTGTATCTGCCGCTGCACTTTTCCTCATGCTTAGAAACTTTGGACAAGGAGAGGGAAAGTCGAATTAGAAATGTTAAGTCAAACAGAAACCCAATTTAAGGGCACAACCAATTCTGATCTGTAGCGTTCGTTTAGACACAGCATTCATTCTTTTTCCTATGGTATTAATTCTTTGGAATTATAGTGTGAGAATGACACTTATCCTTTCTCTTTTTTTCAGGTTTGGGTTGACTACCATTTATCTTTTTGCCATTCAGTTCCTTACACAGATTGGGGGCAAGATCTCCGTCAAGCTCATTAAGTATGAAAATAATGAAAACACAGAAAAAAAAGCTGACAGCTTGGTCTACAAGGTGTGTTAAGTGGAGATCGATCCCTAGTGTCTTCTTTGCTGTTTCTTAGAGGAGTTTTCTACACTTCAAAGTTCAAGGACTTATTTCATGTTTTAATTTATTTTGCAGGTGTTTGGTCTTTATTTCATGCAGTCATATATAGGAGTTTTCTACCATGCCCTTTTGCACCGCAACTTTTCAACACTCCGCAAAGTCTTGATTCAACGCCTGCTTGTGTCTCAGGTAAAATGAGTTCTATTTTATTCACTGTTTTGCTTGTTTATACCTCTCTTCTCAGGAATTGGTCTATGCTTTCCAGGTGTTGGAAAACTTGTTGGAAAATACTTTGCCATATCTCAAGTACAGTTACAAGAAATATAGAGTTCGGTAAGCCTATACTATGTTTTTATCTTCTGGACCCTTATGTTTTGGGGTGATTTAAAGTTTATCTGAACATGACCTTATCTGCCATTCTGAATTCAAGAAGCAAGAAAAAAAGTGAAAAAGGTTCATCAACTGGGAAGATCCAGTTTGCTTCTAGGGTAGAAAAAGAGTACCTGAAGCCTTCTTATTCCGCAAGCATTGGCATGGAACTTGAAGATGGGTTGTTTGATGGTAATATGTCAATTATATCGGGCGTTTTTAAATTTTGCATTTTCCTCCATAGTTTCAAGTAATCATGAGAATTCTTGTATGTTTCTTTATTCTCTGCTGATTAGCACTGTGATTTGACCTGCAGACTTTCTGGAGGTTGCATTGCAGTTTGGAATGATAATGATGTTTGCTTGTGCATTCCCCCTTGCTTTTGCTTTTGCAACTTTGGTAAATTATGCTTTATGGTTGTTTATTTTTTGGAGTTCTTTATGCTTTGTAGTATTTTGTATTTTAATGTTTGAGTTGTACTTTTCACAGAACAACATCACCGAAATTAGGGCGGATGCATTGAAGCTTCTTGCCATGTTGAGAAGACCAACTCCTCGTTTTTCCACAACAATTGGAGCTTGGCTGAACATATTTCAGGTACTTATGGTTTATGGTTATGTATTGTGAAGAAAATATAGAATTCATATAGCTCAACCTTGAATTCTGGAAAGTTCAGAATGGATTGATTAGGTAAAGAGACGAATTTGTTGGGAGCTGTATTAGATTTGCTTTCTTCTCTGCAGTAAATATAAAACAAGGGAGAGAAAAGGGTTGACTATGTGTTCCATTTACTCTCTTATCGTCATCTTTCTAATGTCAGGTTGTCTGCAATTTGTAGTTTCTCGTCGTTATGTCTATATGCACCAACTGTGCGCTTCTAGTATGGTTATATGATGAAGAGGGCAAATGGAAGATAGAGCCTGGCCTGGCTGCAATTCTGGTTATGGAACATGTCCTCTTGTTGATTAAGTTTGGATTCTCCCGCTTTGTTCCCGAGGTGATTTAAATCCCATCCTTGTGAACACTTACTCCAAATTTACATCATCTCTTGTTATTATAACATCTAATGGTTAAAAGGAAGATGCTGATCATTATATTATCATAAAACTTTCTTGCAGGAACCGGCTTGGGTGAAGGCTGACCGTGTGAAAGATGCAACAACGGCTGAGAACATGTGCTCTAAACAGCTTTTGAGGAGCATTTCTGGTGAGAGGGCAACATTTGGTGAACTTAAAAAGTCACAATAAGGTCAGGGAGTTGAGGTTTTATCGTTGCTGTCTTCTTATTAGTTAGAAACTAAGCCACAAATAGGCTTTCTAGAGTTGAGCTGCAGTAGCACAAAAATTTTGGTTTCGTTTTTGTTTGTTCTTTTGGTGTGTTGTAATGGTTTTGTAAGTAGATGTATAGTACTGGCTAAAATTTCTTTTTCCTTGGATGGTTTAAATTCCAATTTCAACTATATACAATATACAACAGAAATGTGCAAAAAAAATTGTTTTTGCCTTTTGTGAGTATTAACAAAATAGCATGCAATTTGGATACTTGGCTTGACACAGGCCTTATTTTGGATGGAAAAATAAACTATTTACATCATTGGGCGCATTTACATGCAAGGACCAATCAATCTATCATTTCTTAATCTCCTATGTACGTTTATCAGCATGGAAAATTGAGTTGCAATTTAAGTAACTCCATCATTTTGATCTTCACTATGTTCAAAGCACAACTACTTCCATTAGGCACTTACAGTTAGGCGTGTGATCAGTCAGCCACGAGTGCCTCCGAAGCGGCCGCTGACTTGGCGGGCGTAAGCAACAACAGCCTTAGCCCACCTCCTGATCCCAGACTTCAACTTCTCCGAATCCATGTCCTTGAGTGATTTTCCTTGTTCTGTTGAAATCTCCATGAAAGAAAAACATCGATCAAACCGCCCGCGCTTTGCTGTAACTACATCACGGCCGTTCCCACCATTGTTTAGAGAATAACTCTTCTTAGTCTTCTTCGTAGATGCACCACCCTTCCCAGCTCCGCCATCGTTGAGAGAGATACTCTTCTTGACAGACATGGCTTCTGGGTTTGGTTGGCTGAGAAATGAATGGTTGAAAAGTGATGCAATGGTTGCTAGAAAATCAGCAACCTGGTCTAATTTATAGGAGATAGAGAATTGTATTAAGGCAAGTAATTAACATTCGTGTGTCTAGAATCTAATGCGTGTGAATTCCATTGACTAAGACTCTTTCAAAATATTCCATTGATAGCGTCCACCAAAGTTAAATCTTTTGTGGTTTTAACATATAAATATGTTCCATTTTTTAACCATGGGGTGCATGTGAGATGAGATATTAGCACATGCATAAAAGATTAATTAGTTAAAAACCTTCCCGGCAAAAACATTGACCATAAAACTGTAATGTTGACTTTTTTATAATGGAACTGGTTGCGGTTCTTTGCACGATTGGATTTGAGGGTTTCTTGAAATGAACAACTTCTTCTTGTATATAAAACTTGCTCACCAAGTTCTGTCCATATTTTAATTGGCTCACCCAAAAACAACAATATATATATATATATATGAAACGAGCGTTCTGCGTACTTTCCAAGACCTTAACCTGCTACTGTGGGCATGTGACAGGCTAATGAGTTATATTCCCAATCTGGTGGCAAAAGTCTTTGTAGTTTGCTGATGTGATTATTATTATTTTTTAAAGTTGGACTAAAAGCATCTTCAATTATGCTCCTTATTTTTTAGTTAAAATTTAACGAAAAACACATAAAAACTATTTTATGAGTTGTCTATAAAATTTGAACTTTAATCATACTCTAGTTTAGGAAGTCGTAAATATTATAATTAGCATTAATTAAAAGTTTAAAATATTCCTAAAACAAAGTGACATTAAATTATAATGAGCCACTAGGAATCCTTTCTCTCTTTCTCCTTAGAATTAGGAGCTCCTAGAAGTCTCCCTATTTTATAAGGTAGATAGAGAGCAAAGTTGGAGTTGTATTTTTCCAATTCCTCACTAAAATTTGTCTAAGGAGGTGGTTTAGGGAGCTCATTATGAATGAATGCTCTAATATTATTAAACAATAAATTATTGGTGGGCTATTGAGTAAATTCGAAGCAAAATTAGTCCCAAGGTCTTGGAAAGTTTCCACCATCATTGTTGCAAGGAATATAACTTTGGCCAAAATTCATTTTTGGTCCCTATAGTTTGACATTGTTACCACTTTTGACCTTGTACTTTCAATTTGTCACTTTTGACCCTATAGTTTCATATTTGTAGCAATTCAAGGACATGTTAAATTCAATATCTTGAACAGAGCAATCACGTGCCCCTCACATGGAGGGGCAATTTTGTCAGCCAAAGCCCCACGTGCCACTGGGCGCGCGAAATTGACCATTTTGAAGTAGATTAGGATTAGGGTTCCTAAAAATTTAGTGAAATTCGTCTGGGTTTTCAATTAAGTGCAACAAGAGGGTGTGAAAAGACTAGCATAACTTCAATCGGTTGTTGTTTCCTGAAGAAGACATGTGAAGTCAGTGGAGGCTTCAATAATCCAAGTGAACTTAAAATCTCTAAAGGTACAATTTTCTGTGCGAAATTGTTTTATAACATTTATTTGACTTTTCAATGCATATAAGTGGGTTCCAACGCTTTTGTTCCATTCTTTTGTGGCCTTGTTTTGTTCTGTAAATTTGGGTTTGGAAAGTTATTGCTTTGTTGTTTTGTTCTGAATTTGTAGGGAAAGAGAAATGGATGGAGGAGATAAAGATTGGTTAGGTGCTGGGAATTTGGGATAGTGAAGGAGGGAGGATTTTGAGATTTTGGTTGCCCATTTTCACACCTAGGGAAAGAGGTAGAGACCAATTTTTAGAGTGGGGTTTTGGTCTAACAAAATTGCCCCTCCACGCGAGCGGCACGTGGTTGTTCCATTAAAGAAATTGACATAAATTTTATCTTGTCCTTGAATTGCTACAAATATGAAATTACAAGATCAAAAGTGACGAAATTAAAACTGTAAGGTCGAAAGTAATTGAAGTGTCAAACTACAAAGACCAAAAGTGACTTTTGGCCTAAAACTTTCCACAATAATTGAACTCTTATTGTAGGGAAATGAAAGCTCATTTGGATTAAAAATCACACCTTCTTTCTTTAATTTTTTAATTTTTTATTTATAATAAAACCCCAGCTTTTTTATATTATTATTTAAAGCAAGAAGAATGTTATCACTAAAGTTAATATATTTAGAGCCCGTTTGGGAGTGCTTTTGGAAAAGCTGAAAGTGTTTTTTGACAACCAAAAGTGCTTCTGACTTCATTTGGCTGAAAAGTTTAGAAGTACTTCTAGGCCATAGAATCGTTTTCTGAAGAAGCACCTGCCTTGTGCTTTTCATTTAGGAAGCACTCCCAAGTGCTTTTGATTTCTTATGAAAATTTCAACACCTTTATAATAAAAGTGCTTTTACTAGAAGCGATTATTAGCAAAAATGATTCCTAGAGAAGCAGTTCCACCACAAAGAAAACAAAGACAAGTCCTTTGTAACTATTTGTAAAACAAAACTAATCCTTACAACACACCCGTCAACTTTTTTACCCGAGTTTTGAAAATAACATTTGTAACTCATTTTACAGGTGTGAAAGAACTCACTTAGCTAGAGTTGAATAAAATGTCGAACATATATTTTTATTACAGAATTAATCGAATAAAGAGTCGACAAGTAGACGAATAATTGTTGAGTGAGATTACCACAGTGGTTGTGTCCCTCCTCCTTCCCCCCTGCTTACTTGGCACTTAAGATCGAAACTCTAGGGTTTCTTTTCTCCAAATGTAACCCAAGAAAAAAAAGTAAACAAGATAAATGGGCTAAGTTGACACAAGTGATAAGACCCTCTTCACTTAAAATTCAGGCCTTCCGAAATGGGCTTGTAAACAAACCTATAAAAATAAACCAACCCAGAAAAGAAACCAAAAAAGTTGTGTGGGGTCAGGTTCCAAGCTGGCGGCTGAGTAGGAAATAGGAACCTTTCAATGTGACGCAAACTGTCCACCCATATATATATAAGGCACAACAAAGTCCTCTCCTTCAACTTCTCTCCCTCGTTTAAGATTCCATTTTTACGTTAATTAGACCCAGTTGAAAATTTCCACGCTTTCTGAAACTTCCTCCTCATCGATCAACCCAGTCATGATCCCTGAATAGTAATCTCTCTCTCTCTCTCTCTCTCTCATGAACAATTGCATGCATGTCTACATGTTATCACCTTTTTTGTCATAGCGTAGTTTCTGTGTGATTGTTTTATGGCTGTTGATAATGTTAACCCTGTTCAATTTGATTGGATTTGGATTTTGGTCAAACCCAGAAATTTTTATTTTTGTTTTTTGTTTTTATTGAAGGGTTCTTTTATTTTCAACTTTTGGGTATGTGGTATGGCTTTTGATTTGGCCATTTGATTAGAGATTGTTTGTTTAGTAGTATCTTAAAAAACTGGAAGAAAGTTCTTACGAAAATCAATTTTTTGGATCCTTTTTTTTTGGGATCACATTTCATTTCAAGAAGCTATCTGCAATTTTGATTGTAGTGAATACAAAAGCTGAAAAAACAATGTATGAGATCCATGGACTCTGGTAAATAAGATGAATATGTTAGTCATACTTTTGAAATGATGATTCTTTCTGCTGTGGCTTGGTGTTTTCTTAGGCACCTATAATCTCCTTGAGTTATTTGGATGACATGCTGCCATGGAATTCATATCTTTGCTGCCTGTATAATTTTGTCTCAATTTGAAGAAACATTAATTAGATATGCAGGGCATAGTTGTTCTGACAGAGTAGGTGTTTTTGCTAATAAGATTTGATGATATGTTAATGTTTTATTTTAGTTATTTCCCTTAGTTTACCGTATCGAAGCATAAAGTTTGAGGTTCTAATTAGTTATTTTCCTCCATTTTGCAGTGACTATCTTTTCAAACTTTTGCTCATTGGAGATTCCGGTGTGGGCAAGTCATGCCTTCTACTGAGATTTGCGGTAAAAGTTCAACAATGTTATATATAGGATGATGGTTTTCTTTTTGACACGCTTCTCTTATACACACACATTAAATTCTTATACCTTCTCCTGCAGTCATCTCTTTGTATTCGTCCTAAATTTTAATCATAATTATTGTGTAACACGCGATACATAAATGTATGCTCGTGATCTGAGTTGGTTGAGCCAAATGCTGATGTCTGATTTTCTTTGATCTTTTGTTGACAATTCCACTCTCACCTTGTGTAGGATGATTCTTACATTGACAGCTACATAAGTACCATTGGTGTTGACTTTGTAAGTACAGTGGCATAATATAGCACTTCTGATGTTTGGTTATTTTGATGTCATGGCAGTGATTTCATCTCTTTGTTTCCTCTATTTAGAAAATTCGAACAGTGGAGCAGGATGGGAAAGTTGTCAAACTTCAAATAGTAAGTATATTTTTTATTAAGGCTAGATTGGAATCGAAGTTCCTTAGCTGATAAAATATGAAATCTCCATTTCTTCTGAATAGTGGGACACTGCTGGTCAAGAACGTTTCAGAACGATTACAAGCAGCTACTACCGTGGTGCCCATGGCATCATCGTAAGTATTAATTCACCTCTTTGTAATGTAGATTTTTGGTCCTGCAAGCTTTTCATAGGATGATCTTCATGAATGTGGTTTTTGAAATTATTTGCTAGCTTGTCTATGATGTGACGGACCAAGAAAGCTTCAACAATGTCAAGACCTGGCTGCAAGAAATTGATAAATTTGCTGTTGGAAATGTGAACAAGCTCTTGGTTGGAAACAAGAGTGACTTAGCTGACAAGAAAGTGGTCTCCTCTGAAGCTAGCAAGGTATCTTAGCTGCTAATTAATCTTATTTTGTTATCATGCCGTGATGAGTTAAATAAGCATGCAACATTGATCAACTTTACGTATTCAAACTTGATGTTGTTCACATTCTTCTTACCCCAAAACCCCGCTGTTTTTAAAAGGCATTTGCAGATGAGCTAGGAATTCCATTCTTGGAAACAAGTGCCAAAAATTCGACTAATGTAGAGCAGGCATTCATGACTATGGTTGCAGAGATAAAGAACAGGTGAGTTCATCTCCATGTTACTTTTTTCATATTTCTGATTGATAAGGGCATTTCAGATCAAGAGTTTAAGTAAGATAAATCTGTGATCTGTAGTTGTACTGGAACAACTGCAATGGTAAAACATCAGTATTTTTATACAGCGTCGGTAAATATTTTTTTCTTTGGGTTGCAGGATAGCTACCCAACCAATGAGTGCCAACAAACCATCCACTGTGCATATGCGTGGACAGCCAGTCGTCCAAAAGACCACCTGCTGCTCATCTTGATTTATCAGCGAAGATAAGATGAATGTGTTCTTGATGGTGGTGGGAAGCTTGCAGTATCCTGTGGTGTTGCATTGGACCCTTATTTGACTGCAAGCCTCCTTATAATATGTACAGCAGATTGTCATGATACTTGGCTCCCCATTTATTCGTTGGTTTAGAAAGTCAAGAAATTATTTGAATAATATAGTCAACGAATCTTTGACAATTGTATGTCATATTATCACAGTTCATTTTTAAGTTTATCTATATTTGATTTGATCAGCTACAATTTCTTCATTCAAAACTGAACTGGTTTGTTTGGACATGGTGATTTGTTGTTCTGAGAACCTCTAATGTCCCCCGGTCAAGAGTTTTTGCTGTTGGTCATATGCAAAATTACCATATGAAAATTAACGGAGTATTTTGATTGGTTATTGATCAGTTGGTTGTTATGGTCCATGTAGAAATTTTGCTAAATGATTGGTTGAAAAAAAAATTTCATATCCAGGAATCTTTTGCAAAACAAACTAAATAAAATCCCCAAAATCCGAATACATCTTGAGTTTTCAAGGACGATCCAATCAAATCCAAAATCATGAAAAGAACACTGGTGTATCAGCCCCCTGTAACTCACTTCCTGCCATAGACTCTAACAGCTTGCCTGTTCCTCTTCTTGACACCAGACTTGGCAACCTTGAGGCTCTTGTGAACAACACTCAACCTTGCAAGGGCTGCTTTTTTCAGATCTGGCCTGTAGTAGTTATCTGCCACCTGCAATGAGGAATACAAAATGAATAACAGAGAAACAACAAAAGGGAAAACCTAGATAAGGCAAATATAGATTCATGCAATCAATACAATACAAATACATTATCATCCTTGAAGGATACCAACATATGAGGGACCAACAATAAAAGAACTAAACCCTAAAAACACAATGCGTGCAAGAGTAACAAGAACATTTCATCGAAGAAACCATTATAAATAGTGTATCTTACATGTTAAGGCTCATCACTGCAATATAAACCTACCAAGTATTTTCTTAAAAAAATAATCATTCAGATCCTTGAGATAAACCAATTTCAGATTTTGACCAGAAAAATAGTGAAGGTTACCTACATATAAGAGATTAACAAGGAGAACCCAATCTAAAGAAGACAAAGGATGCTCAGAAGCCAAGCGTAACAAGAGTATTTCACTGAAGAAACCATTACACAAATGATCCTTCTTACATGTTAAAGGCTCATCACTGCAGCACAAACCTACAAACTTCTTAGTAAGATAATCATTCAGATCCTTTAAAAAGCATGAAGCTTACCTGCATATAAGAGATTAACAAAGAGAACCTAATCTAATAAAAAAGACTATTCCTACTCCACTATACTGAGGGATATGGCTGCTGCTGTGGTTTGAAGTGTTTTTTTGCATCTTGTTCTCTTTGGGTCTTTCTGGTGTAGCAGTCTCTGTGTAGTTTGGCTGGTGTCTTTGTTTTTTTAGTCTGTTTTTTCTGTTGTTCGTTTGGCTTGTGGATGCCTCATCCACTTGTGTGTTCCTTTTCGTTTCTTGCAATAAATTTCGTTTCTATTAAAAAAAACAAAGAGAACCAAATCTAATAAATAAAAAAAGACAATGCACGCTCAGAAACTAAGCGTAACAAGAGTATTTCACTGAAAAAACCACTACAAAAATTATCCTTTAACTGCAGGTACAAACCTACAAGTATCTTCTTAGAAAAGTAATCATCCAGATTCTTGAGATAAACCCCATTTCAGATTTTTCCAAGAAAAGGCATGAAGCTTACTTACATCTAAGAGATTAACAAAGAGAACCCCATCTAATTAAAAAGACAATAAACGCTCAGAGGCGTAACAAGAATATTTCACTGAAGATATCATTACAAATGATTCTTCTAACATAACATGTTAAGGCTTATCACCAAAGCATAAACCTACAAGTATCTTCTAACACGTTAAGGATCACCAATGCAACAAAAACTTGCAAGCATGTTCTTAGTAAAATAATCATTCGGCAGAGCAAAGCTTCAAAGTTTATTTACCTGGTTTGCGACTGCCTTGGCCATCCTGCGAAACTCCTGTTTCATCACAGACTTATGGAGCAAAGCAGCAGGTTTGTTCTGCTTCTTGGTCTTAGTTGTTGCCAACAACACAGATTGATCTTTACCCACAGCCTCAATGGTCACAGTTTTCTTGTTTGCCAGCCCTGATCGAAAATCATCTCAATTTAAAAACAAACTTGCTCGGGAACCAAACAGAAAGCAAACAAAATGGGATGCAGAGAAATGTACCAGAGTGCTTGTAGGTGTTGAGGTTGAGGAGATTGTTGGGCTCCTTGCTGAACCGCACACCGGCGTGGCTTCTCCCGAACTCCTTCACCAGAAAAGAGTTGTTCTTCTTCACTATCTCCCAGATCAGTTGCCCTGGCACCGTCGCCATCTCCCAGATTTTGCTTTTGCTGCTCAGATTGGGGGTTTGGGGTTTAGGGGGAGAGGAGATTGGGGGGTTTAATATTTAACCTTTTATATATATGCTGAAACCCTAATTCATTTATTCTTTGGACCCGAGGGGTATCATTTATTTTCACATATTACGCTTATGTCCTCTGTGTTGTTGACCCGGTTCGTATTGGGCTGGTTATAATTGGGTCGGATAAGTCGAGATATCGTTGAATTATATCTTGCATCTTGATCACCAATGGGTAAAGGAATTCAAAAGGAATTCGAATTTAAAACATCATCTAACATTTGAAAGAAAATGCAATTGGGTCAAGGGCTAGTTGATTTACATGTTGACTCTGTATTGACAAACTGTACATCCATAAATTAAATTCATGACTAATGATTCAAGTTAAACTTAAATAGGTCCATATAAAAATTACGGATTAAGATTAGATGATTTGATAAATTAATGAACGTGGTCAGACAAGTGTCCTCTTTCAAGAAAAGGGACTTTCTTGCATGATTGACTTCACAAGTGATAAAAATTCGTACTAAAATTACATGGAAAGGTTCATTCTTCTTAATTGACAAATCACAGTTTGACATATATGTGGATATTTTTCTTTGTTTCCTTTTAGTGAGCTATTTTTTGCATAAAACAAGGCCCGAAAGAACAGCTTCCTGTTGCTAGTTTCTTCTTCTAGTTTCCATTCTTCCAGGGTATCAAGAAGGTTATGAGATTCTGTTAGGTTCCAAGAGAGGCCACACAAAATGCAGCAGGTTCCTACTAGGGTTTATGACATATGCGAGTTAGCTCTTTAGGGTTTTTGATGTTAACTTGAAATTAATCTAGACAGTCCAAAATTATCTATGTTGTGGCATGTGGTAGACTGGTAGCGGTAGGTAAAGTAACGTGGTATTGTGATTATTTTCTTATTTTGCAGAACAATATCTCTCTTCTTTTTTTGGAAACGAAACTTGTGGTCTCTAATTGTTTGTAATTCGAAATTCTTGCCAATCTAAAATCTAAAATCTAGCTTCCAAAATAGATTTAACCTTTTTTCCTGTTAAATAGAGGCCGAAGAGGAGAGGAGAATCAAACTACTCTCAAACCACTTGAGCTATAAATCCCAAAAATATTCAGCTGCTACCCTTCATTTGTAAGCTAAAAACTCAAACATAGTGTGCCAGCACAAACACACACAGCAGAAACGCAACAAACAAGAAGAAGCAGCCTAAAATGATTCACAAAGGCACACAGGAAAGCTGCAACAGTACGGTTCCGAAGAATTCGACTTTGTCACATACATCACACAAACACAAAACAAGATTAAGTAGCAGAAGAAAGTGCAATGCATCGATTTTAAGCAAAAATTAAAATTTGATTGTCTTAGGAATGAACTGTTAAGCATGTCCAACAACAGAAGCAAGCTGGGAAACAAAGTTATTGTCCCTCCTGATGAACCTGAATTCATAAATTAAATAACCAAATATCAGGTCATCAAATACCTAATGCTATTACACCTCAACTAATGTTACATTATATACAGAGAAAAAAGCAGAGCCTCCATTGACTGACTGCTCCTACAACAACGCAGTATCACGGAATTGTACAGATGGATTCAGCCTTAAAAGGCAGCAGAGTTAATGGTGCTGCAAACTTAACACGGCCAAATAAATGAGAAGCAGCAACTAGGCTGCAGAATTTAACCAAAACCCCTGAATAAAGAACTACATTCACAGGAAGAATCCATCCACTGCAACATTTCTTTCCCCATGAGAAACTTGTTCAAGTGTCACTTGATTTTAAAACCCGATGTGTTGGTCGGGCCAAACCATTCACTGCTTCATTTATCCTACTAAACACTAATTTGAGGGGGATACAAGCTATTACAGGACCCTGTGGCTTCACAGCCAGTGGCTTCGTCACTTCAGATTGCTTGTGACCAGTCAGAGAAGATAGTTTCCGAGTCTTTTTTGGCTGGAGCCCAGATTTCTTTGTTTTGGGAGATTTATTTGGTGAATTTTGTGGTTGCAATGCCAAATGCTTGCCTGGATTTCTTCCAATTTCTGCTTTTGGCTGAATTGCATAACCTATTTTACCAACTTCCCGATCACATTCCAGTTTGCTCAACATGATGTCACAACAGCCATCACCCAAAGCCTCAACTGTTAACGGGTGACCAACAATGGCTTTACCATTCAATTTACTCATAAGAGAAACCAGCGGGACATGCTGCGGCCGGTAATTTGATTTCACCTCAAGTTTGACATCATATAACGAACCATCAGAGCAAAGATTGCGGGCAGTAGAATCTGACGTCTGATATCTTGCAGGCACTGTGAAGCGGGACTGCCGATAGGGAAGTGACCTTTGAATTGGTCCATCAGCCAATTCAGTAACCTGTTTGGACTTTGCTTGTAATGTGCAATTATATGCACCGGAACCACTAATGCCTTTGCAGTTGACTTTCTGGTCAGAATCCTGAGACAATCCATCAGAATGCTCAATGCCTACCGAATAAGCATTGGATTCTTCATCCACGTCCATATACCTTCTTGAGTCATGTTTTCTATCTTTACTTGTTTGTCTTGAATTCCTCTTTCCTTTTGACTGCCACTTTGAACTACCTTTTTCTATACTTTGGCCAATATCATGCAAGGCTGCTGAACTCGTAGAACCAGATTCATTAATTCTCTCATCTCTCAAAGATAAAGCTTCAGCTTGACTGCTTTGACTAGATTGCCTTCCCAATGCACCAATTTGAGGCTTCCCAGATGAACAAACTGCAATTATAGGAGAATAACCTGGTAGATAGAGATGACAAATCAGCTAGGGAGAACCAGACCTATTTTTGTCAGGTCCACATCAGGCACAAAAGAAAGACAAGCTAATTAATTTGCTGCAATTATCAAGGAAAGGATAAAGAAAAAGGAGAGGGTGACAGAGTTGCAGGAGCACCTAAATGTAAACAATGCAGGGAAATTTGAATACTGCAAGACATAATTAATAGCAAGAAAAAGGCTAAAGAGAATGGAGAGAGTAACAGAGTTGCAGGGTACCTAAATGTAAACAATGCAGGCACATTCAGATAAAAAAAGACATAACTAATAGCAAGAAAACGCTTAGAGAGAATGGAGAGAGTGACAAGTCGCAAATGTATCTAAATGTAAAAAATGCAATAAATAGATAATACAAGACATCATAGTTAAATCCATATCCTTACCCAACAACATAGGGTAACAAAGTTCCTGAAAACAAATGTATAAGTGTTTGAATTACCATTACCTGAAGGGTCTTTTTCCTCTCCGGCAAATGGCACATCAAATAACCTATCTGAAGAATCATTCTCAGCTAACCCAGATATGCTGGGAATCTCGTTCTCCTTGATTTTGCCATTAATACAGGAAGCACCAAAAGCTCGTTCAGGAGCATTTGTAGAGGCTCCATTCTCACACGAAATTCCATTGTGGTCCACAGATAAACTCCCTTTTGACTCATTTGATTCTAATCCAGAAACCCTGCCATCAGATAACCCTTGAAGAGGTGAACCACATGAATTTTGAAATTGGTCACACGTAACTGGAATAGACACCATTGCAGTACTCTCCAACACCTTTGTCAACGGTCGGCTGCGGTTTTTTCTTTTCAAGACTTCATTAGCATTTGCAACTTGAGATCTCTTCCTTTTCAGTGATGAAATACCTTTGCTTCCATTTACAGGACTTCCATTAGGCACACCATTCCGAGTGTTTGAATCTAAGAGTGAAGCACTGTCCTGTTGAACTAGTTCAAGAAGCCCTCCAGTCTGGACTGACTTTTTTGACACTACACCCATTCCCAGGTCCTCAAGTCCTCTCATGCGCTTAACTCCTTCTGTTCCATCATCCTCTGAATCATTTGGCGTTCTTCTTCTCCTTCCCTGCACAGTTTGCAACTTAGAAGAACTGATATGATTTGGCTCTTCAAAAGATATACCAGATTGAGATAATTCTGGTGCCGAGTCTGAACTGTTTTCAGAATCACTCACATCATCAACCATAACTTCATTCTCCTCGCCGGAATGAGACATGGCAGGTGATTCTCTTGCTGAACAACCATGCTCACCACCTGAATTACTCATCCGAGCACTGAAGTCCAAATTATCCTTGCCTAGGCGAGCATTCTCAATTTCAAGAGCATGGATAATGGCATCTTCCCTGCGTGCATATTTCACTGCTTTTTTATTGGAGCTAGCTGCATGGGCCTTTGCTTTTTCAATGCATTCATCATACTCCCCACAACGAAAAGCTTTCACCCTCTTGGATCTTTCAAGGTTATACCAGTCCCTAAATCAATAAGATCAAGATCAGACTATGTTCATATATCAATATTAAGCTAAACACCTATACAAGGAGTTTTAAATTTGTTTTGAAAACAAACTTTCCCATAACCCTGAATCACAACGACTAAATACACCTTGAAAACAGTAAACCAAAACCTCTATCAATGATTAGAGACCCACAGCAAGGATCTATTACTGTTTATGTAAAACAATCCAGAGAGAACAAATATTATTTCCTTGGTAATTTTCCCTCATGTCATGTATGAAGCCCCAGTCTAATCAACCTACAAAGCCTCAAGCTTCAGCAATGTGCCTTACAAATACCTCAAAATCTAATGCTCTTCTCTTCAAGGGAAAATCTCTATACATCACTACAGCACCACATAACGGAAATAATGTTCCGGTCCAGCAGTGCCCTATTCTCACTGTTTGAATTCCCCACATAAATTAACTCCATAAAGTGCTCATGTAACGCTATCTCAGATATAATGACATTAAAGATTGAATTGTTCCAGAGCTACAATTAAAATCAAGCCCTAGTTTTCTTATTTCAGAGCATGAAATAACATTACATCCTTTCACTCCTCTGTCCTAGTAATAATCAGATCTGAGAATTAAACCATAGATTAAGACTCTCATTCTCCACACATTAGGCCCCTAAAACTAGGGCCCAATAGAAGAAAAGATTAAGATGATAAAAAACGCCTGAAGTGAACCATAGCAAGACAGTTTATGACATATTTGTTGCTACAAAACCACAATCTCCAACTTAATATTTATCCTTTCAGTGCAAAAAAATTTCCTCTTGAATTCTATCCCTTTTTCCTTTAAAATTGTGTAAAGAGAGCATTTTCTTCTTCCTTTCATGCATCACAAACAGTAATTATCCATACATCACAAACTTGTTCAAACTTTCAAAGGTTATTTTCCAAAAATAATCTTACAAGAATGTATTCTCAAGCTTCAAGCCTACCATCCTTTAATTTTTATTGGAACCACCAACCTACCATCTAAGAAAAAAAAAATTTGTAGAGAGAATGCATCTTTTCTGACTGCGTAGTGTTATAATGCCCAAGGGCCACAAAGTAGGTAGCAGAGAAAACTTAACTAATATCACAAGTAACAAATTCACACTTGGTGTAAGTTAATCGACATCATTAGCTTAGTATACTTCAACCTATAAACATAGAGGAAAGAACAAACAAACAGTGAATGAAGTGAAATGATAAGCCAGTTGAGTTCAACCCTTCTTGAAACACCAAAGGAAACAACAATCCCTTAACCCAAACATTAAAAAAGAGAAATAAGAAGCCACAGTAAACAAACAACACTAAATCCATGAACCCATAAAACCAAATCTCTCCCCCAACAACACCTATGAAAATCTTAAGCACAAGGCATTTCCAAGTGTGGTAAATCCAGTTACACAAAAATGTAAATCTACTTAATCGAAAAGCTGAAAAACAAAGACTATAGTACAAATTCAAATCAGAAAATGAAGCAGACAACCGCGTAGGGCTTTAAAAAGAAAAAAGAAAGCACTCACACGCTTGCGTCGTCGCGGCCCAGAAGCTTTACCGGGGTGCCCGATCTCGGAGAAACCGCAGAACTGTCGGGCAACTCGTCCAGACCCATTATCCGACCGGGCCACCACGACCCGTTTCTGCGTCGGACCCAAACCAACCCACCCACCGACGCATCAATGCTCTTGTTACTAGTCTCACTAGAACTCCCCATCTCAACCATACCCACCAGAAAGAGATAAAGAAAAAAAAAGTTGAAACCCAATAAAACTCTGATCTCAAAATGCAAAATTTCAATATCCGCCTTCCATTCTCAACCAAACACGAGTTTTGAATATCGCCCAGAGCCTCAGTTTCACGGAAAAATGCATAAACTCTCAACCTAAATCACTATAAATTAAAAAGAAAACCCATAAAACAAATAGATAATTTTAAATCTGCATGCAACACAAACCCCAGAAACAAACAAGGAACATCCAGAAAAATTAGGATTTTTTTATATTAAAACCCAAGAGAGAAGAAAATGAGATAGAGAAGGAGGACCTAATATGAAGGGTTTATGGAGAAAAGAACACACAGAGGGATCTAAAAATGATGTTTTACAGATATTTTATATTTTTATTTGTTTTCTGGGTGTGGTTTTCTGATCTTCCACTAGTGGATTTAGCTTTGAAATCTTTTGTTCAAGCTCGCTTGTGTGGGTCTGAGAGTGTACGGACACACAGAGAAGAAAGGGGGAAGACAGAGAAATATGAAAAATGCTTTGTGTTTGGATCAAACCCGCAACTTTTGGTATCTTTTTTTCCAACAGAGAGAGAGGTTCTCAGATATGAGAGAGAGAGAGAGAGAGAGAGAGAGAGAGTGGTTGCAAGTGAGGTAGAAAGAGATACAGAGCAAACATAAAAGAGAGAAGACACAAATGGGTTATATACGGTTACCTGTATACGGTTTGTTAGGTTTCAATACCATGTCAGCATAGAGGTCTTGAAACGAGGACCCATACTCAATGATCATCGTAATTTGATATGTTATTTTGTTAGACTGTGAATTGAATTAGTAAATTTAAAAAAATTATAAGTTTCACAATATATATGTCATACGATACTAACTTAGATTATATATTAACAATTTATGCACATATAGTATTCATTTTTATTCCGTATGTATCTCAATATATTTCTATGTGATTTAAGGATTTAGCTACAATGTGATCAACTTAGGTTCTTGTTCAAAAGTTAGTATAGAGAAAAAATGTTTTTTTTTCCTTCTAACAACTCCACACGTTATCTTATCACATTGTTATTTTGAACCGTATATAGTATAAGTTTAATTTTATGAATCTAAAATTATTGTGTATTCGAATAGTTTAGCAATGTATCATGTTAGATTCTTTCTACGTCGGCAATGAATGATATTAGAACATTACAAACTCTTTGGTTGCGTTTGGTTTATGGGAAATAAGGTTTGGGAATAAGAAATCAATTGCTTTCCCATGTTTGGTAAGTCCAGACATAGAAAATGGTTGTTTGGCACATGAAAAAATAAGGGGAAAATGTAACTCTCCTCCCCCCTTGGGTTTCATTTTCCCTCATTCCCCCTTGAGTCGGGGTGGTAGAGAGAGAGTAGGTGGATAGGTTGGTTGGGGAGCGTGGCGAGGAAAGGTTAGGGGACCGGTTGTCAATGGGAGGATAGGGGTTGATGTGAAAACCAGGGTGCAAGGAATGATTGTATGGTTTATTTAGGTTGTTTTGTTGCTTAGGGCTTCAGTTATGTTGGGTTTGTGGGCTTTGTTTGAGATTATACTTAAGTGTGTGGAGATGTGGCTTAGTAGTTTTAGTGCGGCTTTTGTCCATTTTAATTTTGTTAAATGTCATGTTGATGTTTTTGATTGTATTGTTGAAGTTTATCTAATAAAGTTTATCTTTAATCCAAAACACAAAACTTAATATTTTGAGGGGGGGTGTTGTATGCAATTGATCCTTGTAAGAATGATTTACAATTGAGCGTAAAGGTCCATCACACTTCATTCCTTGCCTCAACTCAAGTTACCCTGCTTCTCTACGTGTCTTCCTATATCATTTACATGTGCGTGCTTTGGATTTTATTTGAATTTGTCATTTTATCTAAAATCGTCTTCTAATACTTGTTTTCTTTATTTGCCTTTTCAATCTTTTTACCTTAATAGAATTTGATTTTGAAATGATGAAAAATTAAATAATAAGTTATCAAATTTGTAATATTGAGAAAGTTAACAATTATAATGAATTCTTTTTTAAATATATAGACATTATAATGAATGCTTAAGTATGTTATCCTATAAAGTTAAGTTATTTAAGGTTAATCCTCCTTGATAGAATATTTGGCTCCAGTCACTAAACATGCATCAACAACAAAAAAAGAAAAAAAGAAGTGGTTAGCTAGTCTTTGTAGATTCATCTTTCACTATGATATGCATCCGTCTATTTATTTGATCAAAGTTATATAAATAAATCATGTTTAATTTGGTTAAATTTCCGCGAGAATTATCAATAAAGATGACTTGAAAAAAATAAATGGTTCATAAAATGCGATTGCTAATTTAATTAGAGGAAAAGGTCCCTAAGTTAATCCTCATTCCTTAAAATAAAAAAAAATAAAAAAAAAAAAAATAAATATTTTTGTTTTGGTTCTGAATTAAAAAATCTTAGTTTGTATTCAAAAATATCTTTATTTAGGTTTATTTTAGAAATAAAATTTGGATGTAAATGAAGAAGACAAAAGAGGACACACCGACCCCGTTTTGGTGGTGAGATACAACACGGACAGGTATATATTAAAATCCCTACACTTGTCCCACATGCGGGCCAAGGGCCCCACCTTTTTCATAGGATGGCGTTAGGTCTTAGATGGACGGCTCTGATTAACTGATTGCTTCCAATTTTGATAAACCGCATCATATGCTTTGAAAACAAAAAGATCAAAAAAGAAAAGAAGAATTTATAAACTTAAAATAATCGATAAGAAAATAACAAGAGCAAAACGCAGCGTCTCGAGTGACATAGGTTTTCTTGAGCTCGTGGAGTGTGGCTGATTTGGTTCGGAGACACCTCTGACGAGCGAGAAGAGCCAAAATCAGACAAGCATATCAAGATTATGACGGGTAATTGATGTTAATTATACTCTTCTGCTAGTAAAGTTTGTTTCTTTATCGATTAGACGAACTGAGGGGTCTCCGTTTAGAGATTGTTGTATGACTTTTAGCTGCGCAATCAAGCCTATATCTTCTAAAAATGTCTTATTTTTATGTTGTTTTGTAGCTTTGAAATTTAAAATTATGAAATCTATTGATTGTTTACTTGGTTGTAGTTTGTTACTGATTTTGGTGATGTATACTGTTTTTTGAGGGAAACTACAAATACCCAGAAGCTCCAATGGAATGCTTGTTTGGTGATAAAAAAAATGTGCTTTTGTTTATTTGGCCAATTGTGGAGGTTTTAGGGATATGGGTTCGGTGGAAATGTGTGAATTTTATCAAATAATTATGGAAGTTAACTCATTTTATGTTTAAAGCTATGAAATTTACTTCACTGTATGTTTTAAAATTATGTATACAGACTATATACAAGAGCAGGAGATGGAAATTGAAGCGTTGGAAGCAATACTTATGGATGATTTCAAAGGTATGTGGTGCTTCTACAGACCAGCATTATGTTTTTTTTTTTTTTTTTTTTTTTTTTTTTTTTCTCTTGCTTATCAAACATTAACATTTAATAGGAATTTTATGTTTTGTTGTTTTTCTTTATACCAGAAATTCACTCGGGTGAGAGTGGATTAAACACTTCCAAGAGGTGTTTTCAAATAAAAGTAACTCCAGTGGTAGGTATCTCCGTCTTTAGGCGTATCCATTTCCTTTTCAATTCTAATGGCATAATAATAAATTAACCCCACGAGTAGCAAATGCAATATTTTTATAATTGTTGGACGCACACTTAAAATAATTTATCGTGGTTCATACTTTCTTGTACTTTAGTTGGGTAAAAGTAGACTAGAGTAGTTAATCAGCCATGTTTGTTGAGCTCCTTTGTCCATTTTAAAAGCAAAAAGCGTAATTCCTGTTAGTGGCATTAGCTTCCTCCTTGTACAAGAATGATGTGATGTATCTATGTAAAAATGGATACAAGTTCGTTATCATTCTCATCTCTTGGAAGTGGATAGAAGTTTATTTTTTCTTCTGGTTGACTTCTATCCACTTCCAAAAGCTCAGAATGGTAACGAAGTGTCCAGCTTTACAGCGATACATCACATTTTGGGGAATATAAGGTTTTGACTGGATCACTTTTCATAATTTTGGGGCATGGAAGAAATTCCTTGGAACTTGCATCTTTTTGCCTGTTCCTTCATCCAAGCATATTGGGGTGTGATCTCAAATGCCAGATGAGATTTTTTAAGATTCTCCAACAGATCATGGCATTTCGCATTATTGTGCGGTAAACAACTTGCTTCTCACCCCATATCTGGTGCCCATTTTGTCGGATCAAGGTTAGTGATATTTGAGTAGTTAGTGTCCTACTAGCACCCTGACACATCTTTTACTTGATTGTATTGGGAGCAGGGTTCACGTAGCTTGTAAGGGATGGGCGTAACTAGGAAGGAAGCATTTATATCATTAGAAGTAACTGGATAAATCTACGGAAATATATTTTTACAATCAATTGCTGCTTAGATGCGTTGAGGTGGTCGCTCGTGTAGAGCTTGCTTCTTCTCTAGAAATCTGCATCTTCCTGTATAAATCTCTTTATGCATGTCAAGCCGAAAATTAATACCATCTCCCAAGACATATGTCACTTGACATATAACTTTCCTCTTATGCATTTCCTTGCTTTCTTTTTAACAGGATGATGAGGCAGATGAAGTAACAACTGCTCCAGGTTATTGTTTTTGCATTATGATGTTTTGAAGAATGTCTTTTATTTAGAAATTTCAGGAGTTCCCTTCTTTTTTTCTTCTGGTTTTTGTAGTTTGGATCTTTTACCTTACATTTGGACATAAGTTATTTTGGAAACTTCTGTTTCAGTTCAGCTGGCTTTGATTTTCTCACACACAGAAAGATATCCAGATGAGCCTCCGCTTTTGAATTTGAACAGGTATCACATTCCCATGCATAACATTGTGCAAATTAGTACTATGCTATTCTCCACTCAGTGCGTTCAAGCAACTGCATATTATACAGACACAAGAAGTACTAAAATAAACCTAAAAGAAACTAAAAGAAGTTTGGAAAAAACTACTCTTGGGTCTTATGAGTTCAATGGTACAAATTCATTTTGATGGTATCCCTCTTCTATCAACGTTGTATTGTTCAGGTAGATTAGTTCTGTCAGCATTGTGTTGTTGAGTTAGGATGCTGGAAAGTCAGAACTGTGAATGCAGGGTTGTTTATAAAGGTATTGTTGAAGTTCCAACTAATAGTTGATCTTTTCCCTCCAGTTTACGTGGTATACAAGGAGAACATCTTAGAATTTTGAAAGAAAAGCTTCAACAAGAGGTAATTCTTAGGCACTCTTTATTGCTACTGATAATTAAATAGGCAGCATATTTTGATCTGTACTAAGGTGAGGTGTAATACAACTCAATGAATTATGTGAGTTTATCCAAATAATTCTGATTTTGATTCAAAACTTATATTCTACAGGCATCTGAAAATCTTGGTATGGCTATGATCTACACACTAGTTACATCAGCTAAAGAATGGCTTTCTGAGCAATATTGTCAAGACACTAGTATTGATGATGCTGAAGCAGAAGAAGCAGCAAAGGATGATGTATGGTTTTTCTCCTCCGTCTTGAATTCTAATCATCTTGTGGCTATTTGCTTTCTAAGTCCTCAGCATAATGGAGCTTGCCTCCAAGAGTTCCTGGAAAACTATGAAATATCCCAAAACCTTGCAAACCTGTTGAATGCAATGTTTTTGGTAAATTGTTGAATGTACACTGCATTGATTATTTATCATGCTCCTATATCAGCTGTCTGTAGTTAAGTCTTGCTGAGGTTTTTATTTAAAATAGCTGGGAGAATTTTTTGTTTTTGGTCAACTAGCTGGGAGAAGTTATGTCATGAAATCTTTGAGGCTGTTAATATGAAACTGCTAGCTATTCTCTCTGTTCAAGAGAACAATCCTCTCCCATTCTCTGTCCTGGAGGAATGGTAGTTGTGTATCTGGAAAGATGAAGCTTCTAGAAGATAAATCATACTTTGGTAGTTGTGTATCTGGAAAGACGAAGCTTCTAGAAGATAAATCATACTTTTTAAACGTGTTAATCTTGTTTCTTCTGCACCCTGCATTTTTCCCTGTGATTTCAGCTGAACTTGATAATGAATATTTGTGAAAACTGCATAAGCAGCTTCAAACTTTCCCATGGGATTTATTTCTTATTAAAAAATGGTGTATGCACTATTTGCATCTCTGATAATGAGCATCTTCTTGAAAGACATGTCTTAAGAAGCTGCTTCACACTTTTCTTCTCACCTCTTTTCCCCTTTTAGGTAATTGTACCACATGGAGAACCTGTTACTGTTGAAACATTTCTGGCATGGAGAGAGATGTTTGAAGCAGAATTGGCACTTGAGCGAGCCAAGTAAGTTTTTTATTTATTTATATATATAATTTCAAAATAAGGTTTGTTTGGTAACTCTTTGAAGTTTCGTTGTTAGAAAGCATGTGAAGGTGGTGATAGTAATATCATTAGCTGATTGTAGGTGATACAAATGCTTTCCTTTCTGGTATCTTTTCACCAAAAAGTTAGATGTATAGGGGAAGAAGAAGCGTGTGACAGATTAAATTCATTTCTTAAGTTTCCTACTTGCACTTTAGGCTCTTAGGTTGTACATGATAGATATATGACATTAGAGAGGGAAAGAAGGGAACCTGGGTCTTGGTTTAGCAGGTAATGCAGTGGTACGATTACAAAATATTCTTTTTGAGAAAGCAATGACAGTTCATAAGCACTTTGACTAAGACTTCCCAGTCAAAAAGGAAAAAAGAAATTCCAAGGAAAACTTTCTTGAAAGTTAATACTTTCCAAATAGTAGATCATTGATATGTCTTTGCGTGTGCCTTTATTTTTATTTCTAACTGATGGTGATTGATTTCTAGGTTAATGCCTGAGGCTGCGCTTTCAGCACCCAAGGAAAAGAGGCTCACAGGTAGACAGTGGTTTGAAAGTGGAAGACATGCTGTGGTAATTTATTTTCCCCCTGATTCTACCTTGCTCTCACATTGATCAGTTTTGCACAAAACAAAAACCAATATGTACAATAAAATATGTACTGGTTTCATGTTGTAAACATAATACAAGTGAAAATTATTGGCTTATTACACTCTTACGTCAAAAGAATTGCAGCATTTTCTTGTTGACACATATAATGGTCGATTTGCAAAGAATAAACAATAAAATAGGTGAATTTTTCTCTCCTCCACAGAAAGGAGCAGCCCCAGCCACTGAAGGGTCTGATGAAGAAGATGTGGAAGACATCGACTTCGACGATGATGATTTTGAAGGTGATTCTCTCTCCTCTAAGCCTATTTAGTCTAATGTTGATAATACCAGAACCATAGTCGGACTGCTTAATTTTGTAAACACGGATTAGGCTGATGAGTGTTTTTGTGTTCCAAATCTGATGAAGAAACCCTCTTGTCTTGTGGTTAATGGCAGATGATGAAGACGATATGCTTGAACACTATTTGGCTGAGAAAACCGACTCGTCATCCCACTCTTCCAAGAGAGAGACTAACTAGAGCACTATCTGACGAAGTATGCGCACGCATTTGGCTTTGTCTTCATATGCATTTTGCCGCCTGGCTTTAGGCCTCGAGGACAAAGAGGAGATGTGGTTTTACGACTGCCATTATTTTTTGTAGAGAGCTGAGAGAAGTGGATTTTGCAAAAAGGAAAATAATTGGAAAACTTGTTTTTTAGGTGTGAATCAATATTTTTCATATTTATAGTCTTGTAACAAGTATCGATGTTAGATACATACAATATTGTTTTCGTATATTTTTATTTAAAATTTTGATCTTGATTTTATACAAAATTTGCTTATGTTATATATTTGCAACTAGAGAACACGAGGGTTACCCCATGGATTAGCATGTGTGGTATCAAGAAAGTCAATGGTACGAAAATTAACCCTACCACGCCAGATAAAAAAGAAGAAAGAAAACATGAAATTAATACTGACGTTCTCATTGGTCGGAAACCTGAATAATAGAAAATTTTACACATTATTAGAATTTATTTCCAATCTCAGTCGCTATCCAAAATATTCCACCAGGAAAACATCGAGTACTTTATGAAGCGCTCCCTGCTATGCACATTGAGGCCCTTCCTATCCTACCACTGAGCTACTACACAATTTTCACTTGCACTCTGCCTATTATAATTTATCCTTATCCCTTTTCCATGTCAGGGCTATTACAACATTACATATTATGTTACAACGGAATCTGCGATATCTCAAATACCACCTTGATCTTGAAATCAACATGGGAAAGCTGGTAAAGATCAACAACTTGCAACGGAGAACCGCATGCATGTCTCAAAAATATCGTTCATCGTTGATGACACCGATCAGCTTTTGAGGAACATGCAAATAATTGTACAATTTTCTTCAGTTCTATACACATCCTTGATCAGTCATGGCTTGAGCAAGAGTCAGAAAAGCAGAAATGATAGCTCCGTGTACCAAAGCCCTGTCAAGCACGTAAAATGAAATATGATATTAAGAGAGTTCGATCTTATGGGAGCAGTGCAATGATGAATCATTAATCAGTCCAGGTACTGACAACATAATGAACAAAGCATTGCTCATCGCTGTTTAAAAGCCAGTGTGCATTTTTTCTTTAATAATTAACACAAAAGGCACCAGGCACTATATGCACAGCAGTAAGACTAATGGGTTTCAGAAAACAGTATTCTCATGACAACACTAACAGGAAAAGAGAAGGCAAGTGTCAATTTGATAATGTACTTACTCAGGACTTTCTTTCTGGTAACCCAAAATCAGCTGCGGCTTTGAGGCTTCTCTGATAAGTCTGTTTCATTGCTTCCTGAGAGTTACAGATACAAAGGAAATCAGAAATCATTTAAATAAGAAAATTTATTTATTTTTTTAAAAACAGCTCAAGACCTTCGAGGAAACTTTAAGTTGAACAATGAAAGGGTTCACAATTTAGCTTTTCTAGAGGATATTTCTCCATGCTACTAGAAGTCATTAAGACAGACTCTTTTAGTTCCTCACAACTCCAACACATGAGAAACAGAATGCGTGGCTTTTAAAAACTGCTCCAACTACTTACGGAAAAAGGTTATACCAACATGATAGAATATAGAGAGCCTCACCTGTAATTTAGATTCAAAGTCCTCGGGGGACCAGTTCACTGAATTACACTCGTGGTTCAATTCAATTCTCCAGCCACCACCTGCTACCAAGCAAACACAGAGAACATAAATTTAAAGGGAAACGAAAGTAGTAGATAATCAGAAGCCATACTGATATAAATATTTGAAATTATTAACTCATGCTGTTTCATCAAATGCCTGAACAAAAATAAATTACTTTTACTTCCCACATATTCTCCCAGTGCCACTTCCTTAAAAACCCAGATGTTAGATCTTGAACCTGTTATTGGAGAATTCAACCCAAAACCAACCGACAAGAAGTGGAGAAACATGATTTTATAAATTAGATGCAACCCGATGTTAAATTTTTATATTCAATACTCCCTCCACTCAGCTAAACGTGTGAATCAGTTATATTGGGTGATGTTGAACATGCACGTCTATATTAGACCTAGCACGTCGATGAATTGTCCCCTCTGATGACATGTTATAGCCAAGGATAATGGGTGGATAGGTTCATGATTTCACATATTGAGATGAATGGATTAGAATACTCGATGTGAGATTCTTATATATGATGATCCCACGGGCTGCTGAAATTTCTTTTTTTTTTTTTTTTTGTCCTGGAAGAATTCCATATTATTTCAGAAAAGAAAAAAGAAAAAAAAGCTTGGCTTGAATTTAGCCTAAATTCGGACCAAATAGAAACATGAGAAGAATAAATTTCACAATAGCAGCATTGTTCCAGCACATATTAAAAGTATATCTATCAAGCATGAATTGGAAAGATAAGATCATACTCCACCAGCACCAGCAGCCACTGCAGGAGCAATTAGAACATTAGCTTTTCTCAGAATATCAACACATCAGGTGAACAGGGCATGTTTGAACCTAGAAACAAATAAGAACGACAGTAATGGTGAAATAGAGTTAAAATAAGTGAATACAAAAACAAAAGGATAAGAAATAAAAAGCGAGGATGCATGTTGTCACGAGTAATTACTACCTTCTACTAGTATACGACAACCTGAATTAACCAGACTAATGGCGTCAGACTGATCAATTTCATTCTGTGTAGCACAAGGAAATGCAACATCACACCTTTCAGTCCAAGGTTTCGCTTCATCATAATACTTAGATCGAGCATAAGTCTTTGAATAATCTCTGCAAATGCCACATGTAGAATTAATGAAACCTGAAGGTAACTAAAAGTCCATATAGTAATTTCACAAACAGATGTAAAACAGACGGCAAGAAACACATACCTCAAACTTCTATTTTGCGCTTTGATCTCTCTCAAAAATGAGATTTTCATATAATCAAATCCTTCCTCATCCACCAGATAACCCTTTGAATCTGTGCAAAAGTTTTGCAGATAAAAGGCATGTAAGCCATAAGAACTGTCAAAACCTAATAAAATACTGCTATTCTTCTTCATATCTTTTCTCTTTCTTCAGATGCAATGAGAATGATAATTCATTTCTTATTTTGATCCCAACTCAGTGACAGATGTTAATCATACCATCTTTACAATATAAGATACAAAACCAATCATGTCCAAAGAAGATACAAACAAATTGACCACTAGCAATCTATGGTTCTAACTTACGTGCTAAGATCATTGTTGAAAACAAGATTGTTCTTGTAGATCATTCATGACTCGCGTACCTAATAGATGCGATCGCATAAAAAATAATAATAAAACGTTTGACCTTCTTAGCAAGTAAATCATGTCAGAGTAAACTTGGTGGAGTAGGCATAGCATGGATAAGAGAAGAATTCTGCTTATGGAAGCCCAAGGTTGATTCTCCTAATCATAGGTTATTGTCCAAGAACAGGTGTCCATGACAGTCAATTATTAGTACTTTCACTTTTCTTGAAGTTTCTTGAGTTCGGTATTCCATAATTTCTGCAATTGCTGGTTCTAAGACATTGTTTTATCTTATCATTACTTGAGTTATAATGGCCCATGGTTTTATCATATCATTACACGAGTCTAATCAAATAATGGGCCTTTCTATGTGGCCTCCTGAGAGTTTACTAGTCCAGTTAGGAGTTTGTTTGAGTCTTGACCAATTCCAACAAGGAATATACCTGCCACATTAACAATCCGTTGGCAGGTTTCTGAAACTGTCCACGTCAAAACTACATTATTATAATCATATATAAAAATTAGCTTTTGGTGTTCTCAAGATTGATCTATCATCTATGACCACCACAGCAGAAGTAGGAGGTTTATTGAGCTATAGCCAGGATATCAGTATAAGTACTACAAAGTTCAATATTATTGTATTCCATCACTTTCAGTAACAAACTGCCAAATGGCTGAAGGGTCTTGCATGCTGCTCTGTATAAATATAAACAAAATTATAAAAAGCAGAAAAGAAACAACAAACTTCTCACAAACATCTGTAAGCAGAAATTCCACCAAATCAAGATGTTGAGTCAAAAATAAATAAACCGCAGTGGATTTCCTCCTTTTCAGCGCACTCTAAAGTCTATGATTCTACGTTTGATGCATATTCAGCACTAGCACTTACCAAAATATTTTACCTCTTTTTTACACTAATATTAATCAATCAGGCCAACGGCATTATGATTAAACTGTGGGCACCATTCGGTGATCTAGTATGAATACATAAAAAATTTCTATGACGTGACATAAGTAGTTCCAAAAATACTTGTTTAAAAGAAAATACCAGAAACTGTAATGGGAAGAGCACCATATGCAATAAGCTTCTCCAGGACATGCAAAGCAATCTTTCCTGAGCCGCTCACAACACACCTGGAGAGAAATTCATACAAGCATCTTCAACATTATAGATTTGCAAAACAACCTTTAGACAGTCAATTACAAATTTTAAATTTTAAGTTCTCTCTCTCTCTCTCATGAATAGATACATATATACCCATAGCCTCTGCATGCTTTACATCATCTTCATAAAATTGAGCATACACAATTTCTCATATTTACATGAAATATAATAGTTATCAAGTAAAACATAAGGATTGGAGTCTTCATAAGGCTACCTAAACAGAAAGAACTCACATGCGCTGTTCTAAGTCAATATCCTAGAGTGTTAGTATGCTATGAAATTGACTATTAAAAAAGTTTTTAAGTAAACGTACCTTAATCCTTTGAAATCTTTATTCAGGTCTGCAAGTAGGAGCTGTGCAAAGAAAACCTGCAGAAGCATGGGAACTTTTTTAACTTCAAAGGAAATCAAGATGAAAAAGGAAACAACGAGCATGGGAGAATTGTGATATTAGTTACCAGCCCATATCCAGTCGCTTCAGTTCGAAGGCTAGAACCAGACCAAAATATCCTTGGCCCTGTAAAACTTCCCTGCATAAGTAAGGCATACATATGAAAAAATAAAGACATTACTTAATGTTCTTCCCATGAGAAACGCATAAGCAGAAACTTGACTTTTGTATGGACAGAAAAGAACACTAAATAGATAAAGACATATCACTTAATTTTCTTCCCAAGATAAACAGATAAGCAGATCTAGACATTTGTACGGATAGAAAAGAACAATAGAATTTGTTGGGATAGAAAAGAACTACATGTACTTTCTAATTTAATTACTGTTTTCGGGATAGAAGAGAACAATAGACTTTGTCGGGATAGAAACAAACAATGGACTTTGCCAGACCATAAGAATCGCAAACATATGAAAATATAAAGACATTACTTAATGTTCTTCCCATGAGAATCACATCAGCAGAAACTTGACTTTTGTATGGACAGAAAAGAACACTGAATAGATAAAGACATATCACTTGATTTTCTTCCCACAATAAACAGATAAGCAGAATCTTGACTTTTGTAGAGATAGAAAATAACAGTAGACTTTATATGGATAGAAATAAAAAAGAATTATAAACTTTATAGGGACAGAAAAGAACAACGGGCTTTCTAATTTAATTACTAGTTTCATCCTTCCCAATACAAAGCAAAAGGAGGCAAATATTCACTGTTTTGCTTCTGTACCCGACCTATTCACTATTTTCTTTTATGACAGATATTTCAGCAATATATTTCAATACGCACCCTCATGAACTTCACCGCAAATATCATCCTCAATTAATTGGACATTCCATAAATGGGAGTTGCAAGAATAAAATTTCCATAAATGTTGGGTACATGTGGATATAAATGAGTACTCTAAACGGATCAGTGGGCAACTTGTCCTCTACTTTGTAACTTTCATCTTTTCTTTTAATACGACCATGCTTCCTGTTTTTTTTTTCTCTTTTCTAAAAAGAACATGTTTCTGCTCTAACACAATTAACACGTTCCTCATGAATCATGATACAAGTTACACATGCTTCTCAGGTACTAATTATATCCACAAAAGGCAAGAAGATATATTCAGAAATAGTTTTGTTACCGGTGTTTCTGGTACCTGAAAGTGACCAGCTAGACGTCTATATTGTCCGAAGAGATATCCCATCTCCCGAGTACCAACACCCATCTCCTCTGAAGGAAGGTCCTAAAGTGTATACGCATTAAACCAGACATGCAGGATAAAGCATCGAATTTCCATATATAGAAGTAAATATTTATGGAATGAAATCTTCCTGAAGTTACCTTGTCAATACCCAAATAGCGATACATCTCATTCATAAAACTTTGGCAAAACGCATAACCTGCCAGCTTAGAAGACAATCATTCAGAACTCCCGAGAAGGCTACTAGAGACCACATATAACAGAATGAGGATTTTACCTCATTATCACTTTTTCCCTTTGGATCAAAATCACTACCGCCCGCTGCCCCTCCGATTTTGTATGGTGACAAGGCATTCTTTAAAGTCTGTAGAGAAGGGAAATAGCACAATGTAAAGCAGTCACAAAACTTAAAGTCACTTCCAGTCTGAAATTTTTTACCTAGTCACTAGTATTCATTATTAAATTTGGTGTTCTTATGAACACCTAGCATTGGATACACAAATCAACAGAGGGTAATGAAGAAAAAATTTGGCCAAATTTGACACAAACTTTGACACAAACCGACCTACAGAAGATAAGTCAATTAACAAGAACTCCAAAAACAACCAATACCTGTTTCAAATCCAAGAAACTTGGTAATGCTCAAGGTCATAGAAGGATGAAACCGGAAACCACCCCTACATGGACCCAAGGCCTGGTTAAACTGTACACGAAAGCCTCGGTTAACGTTTTGTCTCACCTCTATCATCCACCCATGGCACTCGGAAAACAATCATACGCTCAGGTTCTAACAAGCGCTCCATGATGCTTACATAACTGAAACAGTTTAGAGCCACTTGATCAGATTTTACATGAACCTGGAATAAGACTTTATTTTCTTTAAATAGTGTGCCATTAGGTAACTCACTGAGAATTTTTTGCAATCACTCTTTCTAAAGCATGAACTACTTCTTGCAGCGATTGTATGAACTCAACCTCATGAGGATCCCTTTTCAGTGCAGCTTCAACGATTGATCCAGCCGTTTTTGACATAAGAGCTACATTTTAAGAGTAATACCAAAGAAATACCAGCCAAACAGGAAAACTAATTAATAAATTAATCTCATCATTTCTTTCCTTCAATCATGAGAAGGTATAAAATATATGCAAATATCGACACATTAAAGTTTAACTAAAACTCCATATAATGCCGGAAGAAGTATATAAACCCTAAACCCTAGGTGTACAGTCATGTGTATCTTACATAAGCCCCCTTATAACTTAGCAAATTGCAGATTATAACAGTTCACCGTAACCAAAGTTTTCATTCAGCAACCAGTTCAAAAATCGATATATTAAAGTTAACTAAAACCCCTTATGATGCCGGAAGAAGTATTAAGGTGTGTACAGTCATGTGCATAAGCCCCCTTATAAGTTCGCAAATTGCAGATTATAACAGTTCACCGTAACCAAAATTTGCATTCCGCAAGAAGTTCAAAAATTACAAATCCTAACTGCAAACAAACCTTAAGAGATTACTTTCTATAAAAACGAAAACTAACACTAAAGTAACACTCTGCAAAGAGAATATTTTGGGTGATACTCCACAAAAGGATTAATGCAGATTTTAGATGGTCAATATTTTCAAACCATACCGTACAAATAGAGCATAATGTGCTAACCTTTGACATAAATGGGTTTGTCAGCAATGATCTTATCCTTGGAAGCCATTTGAAGGCGAAGTGCCTCTTTGTGAAGCAAACTATTGTTGTGTTCCTCGAGTGCACTCATCTGCATATTTCGGCTACCCTCATTTCCATAGGGGTTTCTTCTATGCTTCCGGCCATACTCCCTACACACAGAGCAAAAAATCCTAGCCGTCCCTTCCTTGACATCAACATAAGCCCATTTGTAGGTATCTGCCCATTCCTCTCTCCATCTTTTCACAACCTTTTTCTTCCTTTTTACTGGTTGTCCCTTTGACATATCTTGGTCATCACTAGGGATTTGAGAAACCATTACCATATTCTTGCTTTCATCATGATCCTCAGCAGAAGGTTCTCGTGGCGGACCACCAATGAGGGGGGTGTTAGCAAATGCAGGATCATCATCCCCAGGTCCAATTTCTAAATCAATCTCTTCTCCAAGCTCCCGAACCACCAAGTGATGCCTCTGTGCCTGCTGAATCAAATTCATATCATCCATCATGGAATTCATCCCTAATCCACCACCCGGTAGCAACATTCAGCATGACAATCTTAACTGAAACCTGAAATCCTGCACTAACCGTTTGTTAACATGGATAAATTTATCGAACTCCATTTACAAAATTATCTAAAATTGATAAATTAGAAAACAAAATAACTTCAGAGAACATGATAACTAAAACAATTAGAAGAATCCTAAGACATCACCTTGATTTGAAACCTCTAACGTAGCAAAACCTTATAACGCTAGTAGCCACCAAGTTGAGGTTTACGTAAAATAAGGTGTGAATTACCATATAGCATGAAATCTTCTATTTATATTTTTCAGTTATCCTTATTACCTTATACTCAATAGAAAAGTATAAGTGTACAACTTAGTTTACAATACTCATTTCTCATACAATTCAGAATATGTTCCCTGCAAGCATTCCTTTGTATTTCCAAGGTAAGGCAAGAAAAAACCTTTTGTAAATCCTATAACTTCCACTACAGAGGAAATGAAAAAACTCCACCGCACTGAGACTAACACAAGCATAACTTTGATAACAGTTATGACCTCCTAAAAGCCAAAACAACAAGAACCAAAACATCAATTATCTAAACATCAGTTTTCTCAGCACCCTTAAGAACTTTCTAAACCCCATATAAAGTAACTGCCCATCGAGAATTAATCATTCAATTACACCCAAAATACATCCATTGCACCTAAATCCAAAATCACTTACGACTAAGGAGTTCTTAGAGAAGAATAAAAAACCCCAGAAAACCAAAAAGCAACAGTATTTCATTTCTAATCATTGCTAGAAGTTATTTTTTGCGGAATTCAATAACATCCATACGTTAATTGTCAATTTTGAAGAATACCCAGAACTTAGAAATCAAAAAATCCATCAAGTACCGTGAGTACAGACGATGAAAACGATGAACTTGAACGTTTCAAGTTGCAGTTTCAAACTGGTCTCTTGAGCAGTTGCTCTTCTCCAAAGCTGGAACCTTTATGCAAACGGTTGTGGAAATTGTTGAAGAAGATGACACAGAGAGTGAGATCAACACGTCTGGATAGTCGGGCTCTTGTTCGATCAGATTTTTCAGTGACGAGAAAAGATTGTATGGTACAACAGTATGTAAAGGAAAGAAAAAATAAAGGAGAAAGCTTTTATAAATATATTTGAGAGATAGAGAGAGAGAGAGAGTATACAAGTTGGGTGAATTTCATTTCTTAAACTGCAATTATGAGTGTGCAAATGTTATTATCGTAGTGGATAGTTACTTCTTCTCCGTGGCGCGCGTGACACGCGCTCCCTTAATAACCCTTTTCTTCTTATTTTTCTTTTTTAGGACAATCAAAATTCGAAAACTAGTGTAGTGGTTGGAGTAATTATCCCTATGTAAAGTTATGGGTTCGAGTCTTAACATACGTGTTATGTGTGTGAGTTTAATATATTATCATCCCATCTCAATAAGAAAAGTTTTATAATAAAAAATTCAGAAAAACATTTTAGGGCGAATTATGATTTCGTAAAATATTTTAAGACAGATTATGATTTCGTTTGTAAGTAGATTTTAGCGGAGAAAATCTAGATTAAAACAAAAAAAATCTAGATCCTTATAAATCCACACTTTTCACATATGAGGTGTTTCACATCCAATTTACTTTCACATCTGTCACTCATTTAATTTTGTCAAAACAATGTCATTGTCTTTCAATCTTTTATTAACTACTTATCTTCTTGTTAAAAGAAAAACCATTTACAAAAAAGTTTTATGCTTTCTTATCGCCGACAAGAGAGACAATCTCAAAGGATATTCAATGACAGAAATTTGACAACCGTCACCATCTTTGTTTCTGTTGTTGGCGGTGACGAAGAAAACACAGCACCAACAAAAGCATATCCAAGAATAATAGAATTTGAATTTCACCATCCGCAAAGGGTGAATAATTGAATTTATCTGCATGATCCTATCAATGATTTAGTCTTATTTGATTCTCTATTTGAGTTATTCTTCCCACCCAATGTATGTATGATACACAAATATGCACATAAAGCACAACATCAAGGAGCCCAATAAACCTAATAGGCTGAATAGGTCAGGCAAAACAAAAAACAAAAAGCCGGACCTGAGTACAAAAGTAATATACACAAAAATCAAATAATAAATGTTATGTACGGATATACTAGGTAGGCACGGCCAAAACCCTACGACACTCTCAACAGGACATGGACATTTATCTCCAAAGAAAGGACTGCGTTGTGCGTTGATCATATCCATCTTCACCCTCAGGACCTTAAAGAAGAGGCTTCAATTCTAGCGAATGAGGATGAGATTCTCTCTTCAGTCCTTCATATATGAGACTGCAAAGTCTTTAATCCTTTGCTTAAGGTGCTGCAGGCAGACGAAACATATTCAGAATAATTGTACAAAAAGATGTGTTTAAATAAATAACTAGAAGGTTAAGAGCAAATGCATAGTTGCAACAAGTCAAAGATGGAGGTCGATGGGGTTGGGATGAATTACCTTCAATTCTTCATGAAGCACCACAAATATTTTTTTCAGCCTCTTATGTCTCTGCAAGTGACATTATTAATTGGGTCAAACCGAAAAGCTCAACAAGATAAAGTTAGTTATTATTTGAAGAAAAAATAAATCATAAATGCTAAGTTTAAAGTACTGGGAGAACTGAAAACAAAAAAAATCCCAAAGCGCTTTTTGTATTGTAAATACTCAAGAAAAATAGAATCAGAGGTAAAACAGTATCTACACAAATATTTGAAATATATAAATACCAGCAACACACTGTCAACTATTTATATATGACAACATTATTTTGATCAAATTTTTCCATACTCACCAAATAAAGGATTAATCCAAAAATCTGGTGGCTTGTTAGGGTAAATTGTACTTCAAAACTTGTACATGTACAAGAACGAATTTAGAGTTGTACAAGTTCAAAACAGAAAAGCTGCAGGAAATAGTACAGCGAAAAAATTTTATTCTTATCATATCATCCTTAATTTTTTTAACTGTTTTAGTTTTCCATACATTGCAATAGTCATTAACATTCACAAAAAATAAGCCACTACAATTTCTAATAACTATTTTCAGGTATTGTTATTCATCATTCAAGAGGTACACAGGTGTAAATAATTGGATTCCACCACAATATGCTCAGGCGTATATGTGTAGCATTGAAGTTAAAAGAGTGCATTGATGTATAAAATTTTCACTGATACATCTACGAAGCCAAATTTGAAGGCATGCAAACAACACTGAGCAAAATTATGAAAACAAAATAAGCGAAACTGAAGTTACATAATCAAAATAAGAAAACAGTGAGACAATGTCTTGCTGAATTACTTCACATTTCAGGCATCAAGTACAAACTGGCAGTGCAAAAGGTATTTAGAAAACCAAGAACAAGGCATACCGTTCCACACTGACGATAGGATTCCTTCAGCTGCCCCAGGATGTTATAATGTCTATCTGTGCCTGTAGCATAGTCAAGGTCTTTCCCTAGCTTCTGGAACTCATTCCTACATTTAGCAGGAATAAATTGTTTTGAGATGCACAGATTTGAACGAAATCAACATAAACCCATTAATTAAACAAGTAACAATAAATAAGAAGCAATATTGCCTTAAAAAAGGTGAAAGGAATCTTCAGATTACCTGTAACTCTCTAGGATCTTGTTCAACGAGCAATAGCTATCATACTTATCACGATATTCTTTCACGTATTCTTTGTACCTAAGACAAGAAAAACCAAAAATACAAGGTAGGTCAGATGGCAAAAACAGAAGTAAATACAAGAAGGCCAAAGCATGGTTAAATTAGTTTCACTGGAAAAAACGCTTTTTGTTCACTTACTGAGAGAAATCTTTTATTGGTCCCTTCAGCTCAGGCTCAGTCTTCTCATACTTAGAATAAGAACAACTATTCTCATCTGAAGAAGAATCCCTTTTTCTTCTATCACTGTCATTGCCTTCTGCCGGCATTGAATCCTTTCGTACATCAGCCGAATCCACCATCATATTGGATGCCTGTCTTTTACTTTCTTTTATGGCGTGGGAAACTAGACCTCGTTTAGAGTCATGCTGTTGAGCAGCATTTGGGGTTGCTTTTTTATTGCTTTCTCCATGTCCATCCACACCAATCACTTGTCTACCTCCAGCTTCATTCTGCCTAGATTTACTACTAAGATCTACTGATTTACTAAATGGGCGCCCCACATCAGGTTGATCTACTCGTGAAGGGTGTTGCGACTGGGATTGCACAGCTCTCGGTTGAGACCTTGTTAAATCCTCAATGCGATCTTCATAGTTCCTCTTTTTATTTGAGCCTTCCTGATTACTAGGAAACTTTGAGTTTAAATCTGGTGAGAGTGACCTTCCCGAATCAAAATTTGCCTTTCCTGCAGGTTTCACTTTACTAAAATCAGAAACCCAGTTTTCTGAAGTGCTCGTTTTGTTGTCTGACTGCTTAAATGAACTTTTTCTTTCAAACTGCTTCTTAACTGTTGTTTCCTCAGGCAAGGGTTCACGAAGTTCACCCAACTCCAAGTCTGAAAACTCTCTTTGGAGTTTACTGCCTCTACCATTAACAACAGGAGGTCCATCTGCACCATTTCTGCTGTTATCCTTTGGCGAAGAACCCAAGAACAGGCTGGAAACCTGTCCACTCCCCTTGAACTTTGCAGCCATATCACCATGTTTCTGGTAGTGGGAGTCCAAAGGAACTGATTGTTTGGCTCGGATACCACCTTCCTTGGAATTTCTTGGAATCTTTTTCTCATTCGCATAATCATCGTCATTTTGATTATCTCTATGAAATTTATCTTTTTGTAGGGGTAAACCTTCATGCACATGAGAGCTCCTCTCAGAATACATTCGGCCATGCCCTAAACTCTCAGCATATCTATCATGTCTTTCTGCTGGATCAGGAACCTTTGCCTGTGGATTATGATCAAAGGACTTCCGACTTGATTGTTTAAACTCGGAACTATGTCTCCCAGAAGATGATTGGTGGCATGCCTTTAGAGAGCCAGATTCAGTATTCCCACCCCTATCAGCTCTATTCATCGCTTGAGAGACAGGGTCTTTATGAGAGCCTTCAATGAGTCTATCAGGAGACAGATTGTGAGAAGCTTCTGGAAAATGGACACCTTTACCCACAGAAACAGGAGGTTGCTGTGAGATTTCTGTTTTTGACCTTTTTTTGCGTTCCGATTTCTCATCAGAGTGCTTTACCTCAGAACTGCTTTTGGATTTAACTTTAGATATCCTCTCAGAGCTGTCAGACTGCTCATACCTGAAGTCATCCTTGACAGTAGTGTCCCCTCCAAACAAAGGGTCTACCAAACTTTGGTGGTCTTGGAGCTCCCCATGCTCAGGTGAACAGGGTTTTGTTTCTTCCGGAGGCTGTTCACCTTTATTACGATTAGAGTTACCAACTACAGCAAATTCAGTATTCTTTTCCACATCAGGCAAGTGTCTTTCAGTCTCAACTGCGTCAAATTCAAGATCATCTTGCTTCTCATCATACCCACTCTGCACAGGCCTGCCATCAGGAGTTTTCCATGGGACGGGCAAAGTAGAGAACCCTGGTTCGGAGCCTTGCAATTCATGCTTTGGTTCTTTATCATCTTCACTTGTCATAATATCCACATCCTCATCAGAACCCTCCTTGCTATTAGAAGATGCATCGCTTTCACTATCACTACTACTTACACTCCCGCTTCCCCCTGGGCTTTTACTTTTGCTTCTGCTTCTGCTACTGCTAGGACTTCCACTGTCACTTCCGGTATCACTGCTGTCACTATCACTGTCACTGTCACTTCCGGTATCACTGGAACTGCCCACTTGAGCCTCAGTATTTTCGGACCCCCTTTTATCACCAAACAAATCAGGTGAATGCTTTTGGTTATCAATTTTTATCAATGCATTTGGTTCTTCTCCAATTGTAGCATTCAACTGTCCCTGAACCCGTTCTTCCAACTCATTAGGAGTAACTTTCTCTTCAAAGTGTGATGCTCGAACAGGCGTTTGATCACGGTTCTCATTATGAGCCGGCGTCTGGCGAAGTTTATCCTCTGGGGAACTGGAAATTAATTACATGCACATTAAAATACATGCAGAAAGAGAGACAGAAAGTAGCAGCTTATCAACCACCGAACAGACTATATAATTCCACAAGAGTGGTCATTATGTCGTATACTCAATGACATAACTTGCATCAAAATCTCCAAGAGGAAATCCTTGCTTGATCCACTGTCAGTCGGCTTTTAAAAACAAGGATACAAGTACAACCAGGATAGACTATAAAGCTAAATTATAGTCCATCTTTGTTGTTAAAGGTTGGGAAATAAAAGTAAACGAAAGGATTCTAGGTAAAGTTGTTTGGGATAAGAATAAGTAGTTTAGCATAAAACTTCAGATATAAATGAATGGAGTTAACATTCAAGCATCATATAAATAAATTCAGTGTGACATAACAACCAATAATGCATATGCACTTATAAGTCCAGGGGAGAACTCGTAAAGCATCTCTAATGACATCATGCAAGCTCAAAGGGGATACAAACAGCCCAAAAGATACCCATTTTCCTTCTATCTTTCTATACACAGGAGCCATTAGGTTTAGTATTGTGTAGTAGACCCAAGATTCCGTATATGCTAAAAGGCAAAGAGAACAGGAAAACAAATTTGCCACTAATTGACTTCATCATGAAGAGTAGCCTTTGGAGAAAGAAAAAAAAACTTGAGTACCTTCCACTTTCAGACAAAGGTTTCTTGGAGGATTCTAACTCCACTCCTGGTTTCAAGAGATATCTCCCTGGAGCTCGGTAATTAGCAATCTGATATCAAATTGAATGAGAAAACATAAAATTACTTAATTTTATTTGAGTAATAGGCATCAAGGATTTCCATCACTTACCTTCTTAAGAATGGGATCAATTCTCTTTACAGAGTTGGGATACGAATCTCCAATAGCTTTCTCCAAATCCTATAAACATGCAAGACAGAGAGAGTGAGATAAGTGGTGTGAGAAGAAAACAAGACATTTCAAGAATTTATAATAGTTGCTCAATTCTGTAGGATTCCAGAAGCACCGTATTGGCAAATTTGATTGTTCATCCCATGCATATAAGGTTTTGTGTGATTAAAATACTATATGTATTATTGTACGATACAAATTTATAAAAGACTTTAATAAGTACATAATTTAAAATTGATTTTAAAAAAATAGGTTTCACAATCAATTAAAGATAATGTAATACACCTATACTACTTTGAGAGAGTTTTGTACCTATAGTATGGTCATCACACTCTACTGATTTTCCACTTATTGTGATAAAGTCTAGTTGTGAGGTACTTAAAAAACAGTGACTACAAAAGGAAATAATAAATTGTCTTCCAGAAATCTTTGTAACTGAGTAAATGAAATGTATGGTGGAGGCTGCGGGCTAAACGTCGATACCCTTGAGTCCATGGTCCTTAACCCCTAGGGAGGTTGTCTGGGTGTGTCTATGGCTAGGGGCTTCACATGGATATTTTGGATCAAGCAACGTAGAACTCTCTTCTGTTTTTGTCTTGTGTGAAGTGGTGTCACCCTTAAGGTTGAGGTATATGTCCTTTTGGGAAAATATCCTTTACGAAGTGGCATTAGTCCACTTGGAGTAATGGTGATATTTAAAATAAAATAACATAAAATGACCTTTTATGATAGGAAAATTGAATAAGAGACACAAGGCTAATATCAAATATATTAAATGTCATTAGTTAGTGCATACCTTTATGTTCATCCCCTTAGGATTCTCCATGAGCAAAGAAATCAACATATTCTGCAAATCTGTAGGATTAGCTCCATTATTGCCTTTGCCCACTGTTTTCCGTGCTGTAGTAGTACCCCTGATTGGAATTTCTTTATCAGAGCTCGGAGCAGGTTTGTCTTTACTAGTCACCTGAAAGGGTACAATATCTTCTGCACTTGCATGACTCTTTGAAATATTTCCAGTTCTTAATGGAGATGATGGAGCACGGGATTGCTCAGGTGGAGATGGAAGAGGTGATGATGAGTACCTGCCCTTCACAGTAGTTGTTGCTGACATTCCAGATTTATATGCTGATTTAGGGGGAGCTGAAAATCCTATAATATTGAAGGCAATTCAATTAACAACTTTAAAACTGGAAACCTGGAAGAAGAAAGATTTTCAAACCATAAAAAGGAGGGAAGAGGGATAGTGACACGGTTTTCTTTTCTGGCCGGGGACAGTAACAAGGTTGAGTGGGCGGGACAATTGCAAGGGAGATTTCCAGTGAAGTTTATTATGAGGAGCTAACCGGGGAGTAGAAGTAGATTCCTAACAGCTTGAATTAGGGTGGGAAGAGTAACGAGAACACAGTTTTTCTTGTATGGGCAGTGGCGCAAAATAAGTGTCTAATGGTTGATCATTTAGGTGGTGAGGTTTGACATAAAGAATAACTGCATCATGTGCAAGAAACCACAAGAAACAACGAACCACCGCCCAAGAAGTGTGGTACTATTGTTATTTGGTTTTTAGTATCCAGTGGGTAGTGCCTATTTCGGTGACCCTTGTCGTGGGGTGTTAGCAAGTCTCCAGTAACAAAACTGTGACATTAATTTGGAAATTTACCCCCAAACTCAGAGTTGTGATCTCTGTTGGAAGGAGAGGAATAAACAGATTTGTAGGGCAAAGAAGTTACTGTTGTGCAGTTAAAGAAAATATGGTGTTAGTCTTCTCTTTGACTGGTTTAAGGCCAGAAATAGATTCACTACACTTGTAAATGTATACTGCGGTCTTTTCTTGCCCCATATTATATTAGCACAATCAATTTACTTTAATAAATAAAGTAATATGGCAATATATACACAGATGTCACTTGTATAAGGGACCACCCCTCCTTTTTTTTTTAAAGAGAGAGAAAAAAAAGGGTTAGGAAATAAAAATGTCTAGAAGAAGGCTCCACTCACCTTGAGGCAGTTCAACTTTCTGCTTTTTAAATGGAGGCTCTTTCTTTTGTTTGAAATTCCTCCACTGATGATTAGCTGGAAACAAGTGAGGTATCAGAAACTTCACTTGAGTAGCTCAGAGATTTCAATTGTGATTCTTTTTTATAAAATTAAAAAGCAAAAAACAGTAGTTAACTGAATATATATATATATATATATATATATATACGATCAGCAATAATTTAAACAAAAAGAAAAACAACTTGAGTAATTAAAGTATATAATTTTTTTTATTAATGCTCTTCAATTTAGGCTGAGCACTTAAAATCTATTAATCCTCATGGCACTACAGCTCTAGCTAGTTCAATCTGATTCGCTTATAAAGGCAATGCAGACTACACAGACTGAATTTACATACATCTCGAGTTTTTCTGCTTTGCACTAAACTATTGATTTCTGTACAAGTTAGAAAAGGAACTCTATCATTTAATAAATAGAGAAATACACGAAACCGGCATTAGAAGCCTTACCAGTTCCAGCAGCATATTGCTTTAATTGATTCTTCATAGCTGTATTTTGTTCTAACACAATGGCTCTGTTTTAAGGAACAAAAATAAATTAAATTGATACAACAAAGGAATAAGACAACAGTCTAAACAGCTCAAAGACATAACCGAGATGCACCACAAAGGACTTTAACCCTCTCATAATTGTACTTATAAAGTCTTGAAACAAATAACCAAAAGCTAACCAGAGCTACACAAAAATGATCGCAACTGAAAATAAATTTTAAACATGTACTATAGGAAGAATCATCTGGAATGGATGAAAAACAATTTTTTCTATCATTTAGGAATGGGTGTAAGGGTGAAGTAAGATACTTTGGTTGCATGTTAAATGCAGGTATAATGATATTATTAGCATCTAAGTACCACCTAAAATGGTGTTTTATTTTGTAACCATTAAGACAGCAACCAATGGAGATGCGGGTTAAAAATATAATTGGGACACAATAAAAGAAACCGAAGATTATGAATATCAACACTGCATAATGATAAAGTAAAGAAACTCCGATATATCAACCAGATTACGTACTTGCGGGTTTTATTCTTGCGCTCAGCTTCCTCTGACCGCATTTTAACATGGTTCTTAGTTGACTCATCTAAGATACGCTGCACATTTACTTTGCGCCATGCACATCCTGATTCAACTAGCAATCCATTTCCACTTTCACCACTTTCACGCTCTTCATAAATGTCACAGAGGTCACCAAATTCCCGCGACCATGTAAACGTAAACTCCTTCCCATCCAGATCAATAACCTGATGCAATGTTGGACCATTCAATGCAATGAAAACGTTAAGATAATTGCTGCACCTATATTAAAGACTAGCTACTATGAAGAAAATTCCAAATATCCCAATGGAAAGGCTTAAAAGCATTCAAATTTTATCATATGGGGAGCACAAACTATCCCAAAAACTCTGAAAAACATCAACCCCACCAGATGAATAATTTCACAGGAAACCCAATTAGTTGACGAAGTAATAATTCTACAAAAAGTAACGAAAGGAATATGATTTGAACTATATAAGCTGCACCTAACCAAAAGTCAGCTCAACGTTGCCTCGTAAAAGATAAGAAAAAATTAAAAGTAAGAACGAAACAAATACTCCTAAGTCTGCCAATAATAAATTTTAAGGATTTAAGCAAAACCCAATTGAAGAATTACTCACAAACCAAGTACAAGATCATCAGAAAAATTATAAAATATTCCATAACCTACTGAAAATAGTTAAAATTTGAAGAAAATGAGCAATGCACAATCCGAAACTAACCAAGGAGAACACAGACCAAAAGTACAAGCACAAATTTTTTCTCTATGAAACTTCATAAAACAACAGAATTTAAAGAACAAAATGAGAAATCGAAGAAATTGAGCAATGCCCAATTGAAACACGACCAAGAGACGCATAGGCAAATCACAAACACTAAAATATAAATTTCCAGAACCCAACAAAATTAGCAAAAATTAAGCAGTACTCAGTTCAAATACTGCCCCAGATACTCACATTGCCAATGGGATTATTGGGCAGAGAACCAAATTTGATGCGGGGGGCCCCACCTTGGGCCTCGACGCGTTTGATCTCTTCGGCCAAGTCGGGCGCCATACGAATGATCATAGAGAAAGCAAGTGGGTTATGGCCGGCGACTAAACTGAACTGCTCTTCAACGGCAGGCGCAGAGGCAGCTGCTGACGTGGCGGGGCCTGAGTTGCGGCTTCTGGGGTTGGAGCCACCGCCACCGAGGGAGAGGCGGCTGGTTTGGGCGGAGGAGCGGTGCGGTGGAGGGAAGGAGGCTCGGCCAAGCTTGGCCGCTCCGGCTCCTCGGCCAGAGCCGCCGCCGCCAACTCGGCCGGGCTTTGATGAGCCTCCGTACATTGGTGGGAGGTTTAGAGAGAGACGGAATTAGCGTGGAATTGGGATTTGTTGTGAATTTGCTCGGGTCACAAACAGAGCGCACCAAAATGCCTCTTCTGGTTGATCTCGTGTTTATGTTGAAAGCGGCGTCGTTTGGTGAGGGCTTAAGAATCCCCTAATTAAAAGAGGAGTTCCTTGTGATAAAAAGAAAAAGGGCAACGTTGCTCATCGATTTAATTATGAAATTGTGAGGTTATTTGATTCCTTGTTATCATCATAATCGTTGTGTTTATGAAAAGCATTGTCTTCCTCGGTTATTATAATCATAGTTAGATATTGGACCGCCAATTGATATGATATTAAAACCTAACCGATTAGTTACAAATCGAAATTTTTTAGTTCATTACTTGAATTTTAAGATTTGAAAATCGAAGAATCCAAAGGCAAACGGGTTGGTTTGATTTTAGCATAAACCGAATTACCAAACAAAATCAAAATACATACCAAAATATGTTGAAGTATTAACTAAAATATTAGTGAATATATAACAAATATTGTACATATTAAACATGTCAACGGGGTTTAATTTAGTGAAAAATTTATTGATTTGCATATCAACGGTCTCATACTCGAACTCTCGTGGTATTTTGGCAATGTGTGTGTGAGAAAAGCCCCTCTATCTTCCTAACTTTGGCAACAACAAAAACATAGTAATATTAAAACAGATCATATATGTATTGCATGAAGGCATATTCATTATGTTGGGTCCTAAATGATATTCCTCCACCTCCATGTCCCCTTGATAAAAGAAAACATATTATTTATGTAATCATATGAGTATAATTAAGATTAAGAGTAAGGATAAGCATTTCATATAGGGATTTCAATTCTTTGTGTGGAATCTCTAATAACAAAACATATACTCTATTCTAATACTAATATTCCTATTAACAATTTGGTATGTCCCAATTTTTATAATCATTAGGCTTGTTTGGAAATACTTCTTTTTGAAACACTTTTGTTCATAAAATACTTTTAGCGCTTATATTAGAAGAACATAAAAAAAAATTATTGAAAATCCAATTGCTTCTCATAAGCACTTGAAAGTGATACCTAAAAAGGCACCTCTATAAAGCATTTTTGTGACCCACAAACACTTATAAGTTTTTTTGCCAAACACTATAAGAAGCAATTATGGTTGTCAAAAAGCACTTTTAGTTTTTTTTTAATAAACAGTGATGAAAAAACACAAGTACAAAGCAATAATGGTGCATGAATACGGATAAATCTTCTTTAGTAACCAAACGCAACAACAAGTTGAATTAATCCGAAGAGAATCGCATACAACCACTAAGTGACTAGAAACACTCCCAAACAAACCTTTAGTTACATTAGATATACTAGTTCCAATATAGATATTAGTTTTAATGTACTAATGGTAACACAAATATTATATTGAATTCATTACTATTAACTAATATAATTAATGAATAAACCGTAATACTAGGTAGTTTATCTTAAATAAAGTAGTAATAATGTATTAATGGTTTATAATATATATAATATATAGTTAAACTATTAATGGTAAGATAGACGGTACATCACACTCGCTACTTGATTGTAGTATTAACGAACTAGTTGTCATAAATCGAAAAAAATAAGACACAGTTCGCACACAACCCATAATCATCATCACCCACCTAGGATGGAAACCCAACTTTAGCAACATATGTTCCAAAAAAAGGCCATTCAATAGGTCATAAGCCTTAATCATGTCAAGCTTTAACGCCATGGAACCCTTCTTCATTCTCCTTCTCCTGTTTGTTGCATAAGCAAGCTCAAAAGCGATGATGGTATTATCCAAAATCAAACCCCCAGAACAAAAGTGCTTTGACAATCTGATATCAAATATTTAAGCACCAATTTCAATCTATTGGCTACCATCTTAGCTCCAATACAATATATGATGTTACAAGGGCTGATTGGCCGTAATTGTGTCATATCATGCGATTCTAGCACCTTTGGTATGAACACTACATGAGTATAATTAACCTGTCAGAGCATATCTTCGGAATGCAAGAAGGCCCGAACAGCTGGGCAGACATCCATTCTTATCAGGCTCCAATATTTTTGGTAGAAAAATGGATTCAACCCATATGGGTTGAGGGCCTTTGACAGATGCATCTGGAAGGTAGGGCTTGTCAATGGGCTAGGCTAGTCTTCAAAGAGAAGAGAGAAAATAACAAGCCGAGCCAGGCTGGGTTTTTAAAGAAAATTCAAAGCCTAGGTCCGACTCATGGGCCGTGCTTGAGAAAGCCCATCGGGCTGGGCTGGGTTAAGCCCAATGGGCCGGCCTAAAATGGGCCTATTTCATTCGAAAAGAAGAAGAAGAAAAGGAGAAGAAAAAAAACAATATGCCATTCAAAAAGAGGCACTCAATTGCATCATAATTAGACCGTAACATGTTTTAAGAAATAATTTTAAAAAATAATAAGTATCAAATTTTTTTTTATTTTAAAAGGATAGTATGAATAAATATGCAAATGCTTGGTGACGAGTTCAAGAAAAACATGATTATATTTGGTGGTATGATTATATTTGGTGATATGATATGTTGTTCGTCTTATTCTTGATTTATATAATTGTTGTATTAATAATTGACACAAATTAATGTTCTAATCATCCAATTATAAACTGGGAATGAGTAAAGAAAATAAATTAAATGAAACAAAATAAGAAACTCAAAATAAACACAAACAACCATTTCTATCACCCCTTTATCACCACTGGATTACCAGTTTATCACGTTTTAGGTAGAAACGAATTATGAACTTCCTCTATTTTTCAGTTTCGATATATGTCCAGTTTTTGACCTATAACTTTTCACCCGTTTGTGCAAATTTGTGTTCTTTATATGGTTGGATTCAGCACAGCAAAATGAATGAGACTAAGCAAACAAAATGTAAAAAATGGATACAAAAATGAGCAAAATTCAATGGAAATAAACACAACGTTTCAAACAAGTCACACAAAAAAAAATGAAATAGGGGGTTAGTGATTCAAGTGATATAATCCTAATCGTAAACCTTTATTTATACATAATTATATATGTATGCGAGCCTAATGGGCCGAGCTTTTGTGGGCAGGTTGGGCTGGGCTTTATTGGGCTTAATAGAGCTGGGCTTATGGGCCGAGCTGGGCTTCAGACAACCAAGCCCAAGCCTAGCCCAGCCCAATGCGGGCCGAGCCATCCAAAAGCCCATAACGGGTCAGGCCGGGCTATTTCTCGATGGGTCAAGCGGGCCCCCATTGGCCCATGAGCCCGCGTGCCAAATGATAAGGCCTACTAGAAGGTCGCCACCAGAATCTCCTCATATGTTACCTCTTCCACTAGGTGATTATTCATCTCATATGTAACCTTAGCATCCACAGTGTCCAAAATGGCATGTGCATCTAGTGGAGAACTAGAACTAGAATAGAACAACTCATCAAAATAAGACAACACCACTCTTTCAACCCCCATAATTGATGTGTGCCATTAACCATGCACATCAGGTAAGCCATGGATTAAATTTTTCTCCCTCATACTAGTTGCTTTATTATGAAAAAAAAAGTGTATTATGATCCCCCTCATTCAACCATCCCACTCCAAAACGCCTCCTCATGTGCTAGTAAAATATTCAAGTGTTTTTGCACCACATGTTGCCTTTAAAATTGCTAGGGTCCATGGTTGCCTGAATAGTATTCCGAGCTGCGCTTGCAACTTCTGAGCCTACTTGATTCTCCCTCCAAAAATCTCCTTACTCCATTTAGATAATTTATCCTGTGTAGCCCTTACTTTCCACACAAAACCCTGTATTAGGTGATCGCCAAATACAGAATTTCACCCCTCTTGAATGATGGTTTCACACCCTTCATGATTTGGCCACATTTTTTCAAATCTAAATCGTTTCACCTTTCGATGGGAATTAGTAAATACCCCCCGAATACTCACTAGAAGAGGAACAGTATCAAAGTTGCTAGGAGGAAGATGACGAACTACCACATGAGGAAAGAGGTCACGCCATGCCTGGGTCGCGATTGCTCTATCCAGTCATACTCATATATCACATGGCTGATGACTACGCCACGTATACTTATAGCCCACAAAACCTGAGTCATGTATTCCACACTCTTCTAGTGCCTCCATGAAACCCTTCATTTGCCTTTCGTGACGTAGGTTACCCCCAGCTGCTCATCCTCACGGAGCACCTCATTAAAATTCCCTACACAACCATGTTAACCAATTCCCTTGACCTAACATCGACATTAGCCCCCAAGACTTAGGACGATCATGTACCACGAGGAATTCATGGAAACCTGTTAAACTCCAATCGCTGGCCCCTCCTACAACTCCTACTTCCACATCAATAAAATGGGATGAAAATCATTTAACCCTTATAACCAACTCTACTGGCAAGAGAAGGCAATGCCCCTCAGAACAACCATTATTGTTGACTGCTAAAACATGGGGAAAACCTAATTTCCCCTTTACCCTAGCCATATATGCCTTTAAGCATCGACCACTTTGGGAACTTCACGACGAATAACACATTTCAGCCCATTGACTGCCCAAGGGTTCCCAAGCCCTTGACAGTTCCAACTTAAAAGATTCATTGTGCTCGGTGGGGTTGCTCCTTTGCAACCTTCGCCGATCCTCCAACACATTATTTTTTGGTATACAGAGCGAACCCCATGTTGGCTTGGTCTTGGTCCCCTCGCATGTGTATGTTGCCATGTTGCACAACATCTGTTTCCACCCGACTGATAACTCCCTTCCCATTAGTCTTTAAAACCCTATCGCTACTTGACTTACGTGTCTCATGTTGCACTGACGCCTTAACTAAATTAAGGCACATCACAATTTCACGTGGGGTTATCCCTCCGCGCCTAGCCCACTACACTTGTTTGCCCTTGGCTGCTAAGCCATAATAGTTCTTATTAATGGGCTATCTTGTGCAGGCCCGCGACCAATGATGCGTCGGCAATCTCAAACTTGCCCTAAGAAGATTTATCAATGCACCTTGTAGGGGACTTTTTCTTCCTGCAGCTATAATGGGCTGGGCTGCCGTAAAGGGCAGACTGAGGAGACTGTCCCCTTTGTTTAGGTTCGAAAATTAAGCTCCAAAAATATTTTGAAAGGGCAGCAAAGCCTTGGGAAATATTTTGGCTATCTTCACAACCAGAATAATGGTAACTTACAGATGATTTTGGCATGCTTACAGATAATCCTTTTAGCTCAGCGTGAGTGACATGTGGCATAGGAGCAAAATCAACATGAGTTTAGCACTAAGAGAGAATTTAGGCTTGCTTTATGAGAAAAGAAAGTGTTAAGGTAAGGAAGGAAATGTTTTGTGAAAGATTTGGCTAGGAAAGGGAAAATGAATAGCAGAGTTCTTCTGGCAGCTGCTAGAAGAACAAAATGGAGAAAGAGATGAATAGTGTACGAGGTTGCTGGGTTTTTGCAAGTTAGAGAGAAGGTCTGCTCTCTGAATCTGAGTTGCCCTCATTAGGTAGAAGAAGCCTCAATTTATAGCCGCTGGAAACCACCATTTTTCAAGAAACCCTAATGGCTTCTACCCATTTTGGCTAAGCTTTTTCCTCGTTTCTCCTCTTCTTCTTTGACTTCCCTATCTTGGCAAAAATTGCCTCTGTCTATTTGAACGAATTCAGGAAATTTGGGAGCTCAATGCCCCCTTTCCTGCAGCTGTTCAGTGGGAACTTTCATTCTTGGCTACTGTTTTTTCTTCTTTCCTTCCCCATTCTTTGGTCAAATCTGATGAAGGAAAGGAAGTGAAAATATATGCTGGTCCAAAGGGTGCTTCTGACAGCCTGCATGCTATATTCCTTGGTTCTTTGAACGTCTCTGACTTGGAACTTGCTCCCTGCATGTGATGGAACCTCCCAGCAGCTTTGCTCATTGAATCTGCCAACCTTCCTCACGCGGCTTCTATTTTTTTCAAAAGGGTTGAGGCTTTTGTGGGTTATTTTTTTGGAGTTTTATATGGGTCAAGGTGGTTCCCTAAGCAAATGGGCTTTTTGTTAAACATTGGGCTTTTTGTTTGTATTAATAGGCTACTTTGCTTGGGCTATTGAGCTATTTTCTCTCTTATGCTTACTCACATGTTTGGGCCTAAGAAATGGGCTTGAGTCTCGAGGCTCCCAAGCAACCCGAGACTTTCCATTTCCCAGCCCATTAATGGGTCTCATGTTGATTTATTACCGTCCATACCACAATCCACTCAAGCAAGCCCCGGTGTTTGAGTGACTTGGGCCCACTTAGGCTTGTAGCGTGGTTGGGTGTAAGATAACGATTTCGTGCTTGGCATGGCATGTCGCTTGGCATGTTTTAATTTATCGTCCTGCGATGTTTAATTTTTGCATGGGCTTGTAGACCCGGTATATTTTATCTTAACCCTTAGCAAATTTATTTATTTAGCGTGGCACATGAACTGTAATTCGCATGTGATGGATTTTTGTGTACTCTTCCTTAAGCTTTTTCTTAATGGACTGTCGTTTCGGGCTGATAATTTATTCTGGCCCAATCATGAATTTTTTGGGTCTCAACACACTTGAAGGCCTATGTTCGATTCTTCCCTCCCCCAATATTCCTTGTATAAAAAATAAAAAAACACCAAAATCCTTCTTCATCACGAGCAATTTTTTAGAGATTTTCTATTTAAACCCCACACTTCTCTTTGTTCACCCCAATATTTAAATCATTAAGCTGTAAGTTTTATTATTATGTAAAAAGACAAAAAAGGTCATCCAACTTAATACTTAACCCTAGTACATCTATATACACATCCCATACACCCCACCACTCTTCATATTAAGTTTTAGAAAAATTCAAAGTGTAGCACCTGAAGTACCAGTTTTATCTCCTCTCCCATCGGAACGTTCGTACCAACTTCATTCTCATTGTAAATTTCTCTCATAACAACTTCCCTTGACTTACTCTGTATGCTTGCTCTTGAATTCATCAACCTGCCATTGCTTAAAATTTCCAGCATGATCTCCCCAAAGCTATATACATTCCTCCTCTAAGGGTAGCTTGTGGGGTTTAAATAGAAAATTTCTTTTCTTTCTTATTTTTTCAGATTGTGGTGTATTTAAGGGTAGTTTAGGAAGATAGTGGGGTTTTCTTAGAAATCGTGAAATTTTAAATTAAAAGTTGGAGTGAACTTAGAACATGAGGTGAACTAAGAGAAGTGTGGGGTTTAAATAGAAAATCTCATTTTTTATTTATTGAAAAAAAAAAGGATTTTTAGGTTTTAGACATAAAAAAATTTTCACTTTTGGAAAAAGCCAAAGCTTTTTAAAAAAAGACAAAAAAACCGCTCAACTTTCAAATTAAAGACATGCATATGTATTGGATTCCTTAGGAAATCTCAAAAATAAATAAGGCCATTTTTGTTCATTTTTGCTTCTTTTAAAAATTTTCTCTCTCCTTTTGCTTTTTCCAAAATATCCCAAAAAAATATCAAATTTTAGTATTTTTAGTACCGTGTTTCCAATTGTGGGTTATCCGCACCGCAAGTAGCCGAATTATTCATTTTTGTTACGGATCCGGGCTCGGACTCGTTCTCTATAAAGCGAAAGCCAGAAGCCTAGAACACACAAGCACAGCAGAGCACGGCACATTTGTCTTTGCCTGTTCTCCAAGCTAAACTCTACAAAAACCCGAACCTCTGTCTCCTACCGATCTTTGAAGTAGCAAAGCTTTTCAACCATGATTACCGGTTAGAGGGCCTGTCGAGCTTAATTTCTCATCTAAGATATATTAGATATTGATTTTATTTATAGTCCAAATTGGTATTTTTACTTGTTCTTTTTAATTTTGATCATTTCTGTTCACTTTGAGGGCGCACTTAGGGCTTTTCATTCAATTCTGTGATCTAGGTAACTGGAGATTTTTGATATTTGATACGGTTAAGCATTTTGTTCATCCGTCTTTCTGAGCAATTTGAGCTCGATTTGCGGCCTATTTTTGCAAATTAGGATCTGGGTCTTTCCGAGCTTTGGATTTCTGATGTGGGTTTTTCGTATTGAAGTGGAGTGATTCAATTTTCGTCTTTAGGGCGTAGAATGGAACGCATATATATTTCTCAGTCTATTTGGCGTCTTTTGCTATTTTCAACTGATGTAACAATGTTGATGACATACTGTCGAAGAATCTAAGATGTTGCTGAAAAATCAGTTTTCCAAGACTCCAGACTCTTACCAGAAATGAATAAACTAGTTTTAGCTCGGTCGCAAATTTTTTCTAGATTCTGTCAGGTTAATTGGAGGACAATAAAAGCATCTAAATTAATAATTGTGTTATTCATTTGATGTTCTGTAGATTTGTAACTTGTAACTTGAGTTTGTAGATTCTGTTTTTGACAACTGTGATTTATTACCCATTTGTAGTTAGTGTAAAATGGCAAAAGGAGATGTTTAAAGCTGTGGAAATTGACACTACTCAGCCCCCTTATGTATTCAAATGCCAATTATACGACTTAACCGGGGTACCTCCTGAAAGACAGAAGATAATGGTTAAAGGTGGTTTATTGAAGGTAAACAGATGGCTTTGGGCGTAGTGAAATTGTCCCATTATATATATATATATATATATATGTGTGTCCTTCTTCTTGATACTGTGTTGATGAAATAAATCCTTCTGCACATGTCTAATTAAAACTTCCTGTAATGTGCCCAGATGAAGCTGTCTAGTATGTGCCTAACTTCTTTTGTGTGTGTGCGTGTCTTTTTTTAAATGCAGGATGATGCAGAGTGGTCGACATTAGGAGTAAAAGAGGTGGGTTATTGTTGAAGTGAATTTGTTCGCTTCTTATTTATGGTTTAATCACAAATCTATAACCTTTCATAGGAGAAAAAGAAATTATCGATTATATATCTTTGTATAGGGTCAAAAATTGATGATGATGGGGACAGCAGATGAGATTGTCAAGGCTCCAGAGAAGGGTCCCGTTTTTGTGGAAGATCTCCCTGAAGAAGAACAAGCTATTAACTTGGTAAGTAGTAATTCTGCACCTTTGAATGGAAGCTGTCTTTTCTTTTCAGTTGTAGGAAACATAATTTTTTTCCTTCTTGTTCTCTTTGATCTCATGCTGTTATTATGATATGCTTGTGATACTGTTTGCAAACTTCCCCTATTTCTGTCATTTAGAGTTTTGCATTGTCTTTTGTGTGTGTGTGTGTGTGTGGCTCTGTAACATTTGATTTGTTCTTACTTTTCTGTGATTTTGACCTTCGTTATGATGTTGTACTATTGTGGTAGGTGTCCTAGTTGACTAGTAATACCAACAGGTTATTTTCTTCTTACCTGACATGTGAATCATTATCAGAAATAATGGCTTCATTGAATTCTCAATTATGCCACCTTATGTCTTTGGAGGTTCAGTCCTAAAAGGACTTTTTTTTTTCTTTTCTGTCTTTGTAACTTACTTAGACTTTTTTTTGTGTTTCTGAATTCCATGGTTTTATTTTGGGTTTCAATATTTGATTTTTTTTTCTTTTTTTCTTTTTGCGTCATGTATAAATTATCTCACCCTATGTTATTTATACTTCCAGGGTCATAGTGCTGGTCTATTTAATTTAGGAAACACCTGTTATATGAACTCCACCGTACAATGTCTGCATTCAGTTCCGGAGTTGAAGTCAGCTTTGATCAAGTAAGTTGCCTTGTTCAGTTAAAGAATGCATGTCAATTTACTTGCAATATTTATGTTTTTTTTGTAATAACCTTAGACTAGTAATGAAAATATATTTATTTCTTCAGGTATTCACATTCTGGAAGAAGCAATGATGTGGATCAGACTTCTCATATGTTGACTATTGCAACTCGTGATTTATTTGGTGAACTGGATAAAAGTGTCAAGTCTGTGGCACCCATGCAATTTTGGATGGTTTGTTATCTTTATTCACTTTTTAAACTAATTTCTCTAACTACTTTTTATATCTCTATGAAGCATCGGAAACTCCTATGAGTATAATCTTAATTTTCTTGCATTTTTACTATCAAAACTTTCAGAGAATCTATGTCAGGGAGCCTGATAAATCAGTAGTTCTTGGATTCGTAGTTTCTTACTGATAATGAGTTGATTTGCTATTATATTGCAGGTATTGCGTAAAAAGTATCCTCAATTTGGTCAGCTGCATAATAATACCTTCATGCAACAGGTTTTCAAATGATTTTTTACCGTATTGTAACACCGCTTGCTGCTTAATGCTAGTTACTCTGGTAGTTTATTGATAATTTTATTCTAAATGTGTAACAGGATGCTGAAGAATGTTGGACACAGCTTTTGTACACCCTTTCTCAGTCTCTAAGATCGTCGGGTTCTAGGTAGGTTATTATTATCATTTTTTGGGTTCTATATGTATTGTAGGAACTGCAAGTAGTTTTGAACTGAGTCCCCACTTCAATTGTTAACCATGTTGGAATTGAGTCTTCTTAAGCTAATGATCTATGGAAACTGATTCCCCACCTCAATTGTTAACTATGCTAAATTTGGTTGGTAATACTTTTGTAAGCTGTTTTTTATTCTTTCAACTTCTTAGTCCTTTTAGGTCTAGTAGCAATTTTTGTGTTCTCTTTGTTTAGTTGCCAGTCTGTGTTCTGCCATATAAATACGTGCAGGAAAATTATAGTGTATGATGTTCTCTTGCAGTGAAAGTCCAGACACAGTTAAGGCCCTTTTCGGCGTTGAACTTGTTAGCAGGTTAGATATCCGCAACTTATCAGCTACTGTATTCTGATTAGATATTGGTTAACACTCAGTAGCAGTCTCAGATTACCTTTTAAACAGTTTGCTTGTTTATTATTATGAGATTAACAACATATTCTTCATGATTCTGGATGGATTGTTCTGAAAAATAAGTAAATTAATGTATGAATAATTTGTTCAGTTTGTCTGGCTTAAGCTAACGTTTGTTACCTTATCGATTGGGTGATTTTGTTTTTCTTTCTGGCTTGATATATTACTAACTTGTTGAAGTTCATAATTGGTTATATATTAATATTTCTGAATCAGCCTTTTACGAGTTTTTCAGTTTATTTTATGAAGCTGAACTTTGCTACCATTTCATTTATTTATTGATTTGGTGGGATGCTAGGGTGCACTGCGTAGAAAGTGGGGAAGAAAGCTCAGAAACAGAATCAGTGTATTCCCTTAAATGCCACATATCACATGAGGTGAACCATTTGCACGAAGGGTTAAAACATGTAAGTGTAATCACATTCACAACTATATAGGAGATCTTATTTGTGTGTGCTAGAAATGCAATGATATTATTAAGATACGAGATAAAAATTACAAGGTTCTGATTTATTACACTGATTCATGTAGGCTTTAAAATCGGAATTGGAAAAAAATTCTCCTTCTTTGGGGCGTAGTGCGATCTACCTGAAGGAGTCTCGTATCAATGGCCTTCCAAGGTACGAACTATCATTGTAGCTTGTAACTCACCAACATGTAATCTTGCAGTCTCCAACTATATGAATTATACACTATCACGTTGTCCATTCAGTAACTTATGATGTTACAATTTCGATGCATTAGATTACTTTCTTTAAGTTTGTCTATTCAGACTCCTTTTGTCCTTTATTTTCTGGGTATGTGGCTAAAATTGAGTTGTAGTCTGGCCTTTGAATTTAACCCAAAGAAAAAGAAAGAAATGAATATCATATAGTTAACCCTAATTTTCAATTTTATTTTTCGCTCAAGGTACTTGACCATTCAGTTTGTCCGTTTTTTCTGGAAGAGGGAATCAAATCAGAAGGCCAAGATTTTGCGGGTAATGCCTATTTTCTTTTCTCCTAATATACAGATTTGTCTTTTGTCTCTTTCCATATCATTTTAGGAGGAAATTAAAGTATTTTCTTGGAGAGAATAATGCTTTGCGGATTTGTTGAGCACCCTTGACAGTTTTCCTTGCAAATCTAGTGCACTTGTATCTTATTATACAAAAGTTATTAGAATCACTGCCTATTAAACTTTTTTTCCCTTATCTCAGAAAGTGGATTACCCTTTGCAATTGGATATTTTCGATCTCTGTTCAGATGATCTTCGCAAAAGATTGGAAGCTCCTCGCCGGGTATATACTTCACTTCAATTTTGATTAACTTAAGTTAATATTTTCCAAAAATATTGGTTGTTATTTCTTGTGTCTTTGTCCTAATTACTTCCAACCTCAATTATCAGACTCTGAGAGATGAGGAAGGTAAAAAACTTGGTTTGAAATCCAATGAAAAGAGCTCTGGTTCAAAAGACAATGATATCAAGATGTCTGATGCGGAGGTGACTACGCAACCTAGCTATAGACTTACAAAAAACAAATGAAATGCCTATTTGATTATGTCAAAAGCATCTCAAACCTCTTTTCTGCATACAGGGATCCTCAAATGGAAGTGGAGAAGCATCTAATCCTACGCCCGATGAAGGTAAAAGTTAATGAATCTTCTTAGCTCAACCTGTGGAAGTTTTTGCTGTGTTCTGCTTGGGTTCTTTGAATCCTTAGTTTGCACTTATTTCACTAAGTGGCTGTCCTTTAGCTGCAGGTGCCATGACTGGAATTTATGATTTGGTTGCTGTGCTGACACACAAGGGTCGTAGTGCCGACTCAGGCCATTATGTTGCCTGGGTCAAGCAAGAAAGTGGTCAGTTCTCTGGAATAACTTCTACTTTGTTTGCATGTGATTAATTCAAACCTTTTAACTCATGGACTTCTTTTGTTGGTTCAAGGGAAATGGATCGAGTATGATGATGACAATCCCATCCCACAGCGGGAGGAAGACATCACCAAACTCTCTGGAGGAGGTAAGATTGCCGAGAGCTCTTAACGTGTATAATAGCATGAATTTTACTCAGGGCTGCCATGTGGTTCTCTGAATGACCCTAAAATTGTGCGTTACGCTAAACAATTTTTTGGTGCTGCTTGTTTCAGGTGATTGGCATATGGCCTATATTTGCATGTACAAGGCCCGTACTGTCCCTATGTGATCTTTCCTTGATCTCATCTCAATCAAATTTGAAATACCCTTCCAGTTTACATTTCACAGGGGTTAGATTCTACGAAACTGTATCTCGTGCAATTGAAGTTTGTCCCAAATGTGTGTTAGAAAGAAAATTCTTTGATATTTAGATGTGTTTTAAACATGCGAGGGAATTTTTTGGTCACATTGAAGTTTATCCAAAATGTGTACTAAAATGAAAATTCATTGTTATTCAAATGTGCGTTTTCTTGTCTTTCTTTTGGGTATTATATTATTCGCTTTGATGCTTGAGTTAAGATAACAAGTGGAGATGGATGATAGTCGATGACTGAGTGAAATAGTATCAGGTCCAGGCCGGTCAACATCATATACAAATGAAAGAAACAGATGGCTTGAGAAGGATGTTAGCACTCTTCTTTTATTTATTTTATTTTATTCAGCAAATGCAAGAGGCCCGAGCTTATCTTTCATGGCCATAACAATGTGTATTGTTTCTACTTGTCTTTTATGGCCTCTGATTTCATTCACAGGGCCCAAGCTGCCCCTAATGTCATATTTGTTTTATCTCAATCACTTCTATAAATAAACAAAACCCTTATGATTTACATTTCACTTTTTAAAATTAAAAAAAATTAATAAAACCCTTATCTCAATCAATGTTAAATTTCATATGAGAAAAACATTAGAATTTTGTTGGTTGGTTCGTTTGGTAATGCTTTTTTCTCTCTTTTATGTTTACTTCACGGAAAAGAAGATTTGAACTTTGTGTAAAAAGAGAAACTCACTACTCTGACCAATCGACATGACGCTTATTTCTTTCTGCTTTGTCTAAGATTATCAGTGAATATTTGTTAAGGCCCAGTCTACATGGTCTGTGAATACACTTGTTGAACTTTCAATTCAAACAAAAATTGACTAATATGGGTAGGTATCCACGTGTACAGTTGGGGGCATGCAGTATCATCAGGACCAATACACCTGTCTACCCAACATATAGTTACATACAGAGCACATGCATCATTGATGAAATTTGACTGCATTCAATGGGTGTCAAGGAAGCAAAGTCTTAGCTTCCTACTCTCCCCACCTTGCTTCGCACTTCGGCATACACAACAGATTTACATGTTAATTGCCTCCTAATTTCACTCCATGGTCAGTCTGGTGAACTTCATCAACCCTCAACTTGCTCCACAAACTTTAACCAACCTCTATTATGTCATGATGTTCTCCCTCCATTTAATTTAGTTTTGAAAGGTAATTTTCCCTCTACATTGAGCCCAGCGCGGCTTAGTCTCTAATGGGGTCCGTAAGAAGTATAAAAATCGAACGAGGCTGAATTCGCAAAGTTACATTTTACGAGTTACACATCAATCAATAGTTCACAATTTTATCCATCCCACAGATCCTACAAAATTAAATAACAGCATCAGCTTCCGTAAAAGGAATTTTTTTATTCTTTCAAATTATTGATTCTTGGAGTATAGCTTACGTCCACCAAATCAATGCACAAAGAAAATCTCTAGAAGCCAATTTTCTTTCTTCATTTCGTCAAAGTGAATAAAAATCCTCACCCTTGTGTCTGGTGCTATTGAGGAAACAGTTAATCATATAGGCAAATCCGGTTGAGCACAGAAATTATTGTGGGGCCCAAGTGAAAGAGAGAGTCCTTGATGATTTCAACATCTTTGAATAAAATTTGGCTCTTTAATTTTAAACAGGCACCAATTCAAATGGAATTCAGCTAACCTTGACAATTAGAATTTAAATCAAGGATTCATCCAAGCATTGATAAGGTTTGAAAAATTCACCCAAATTGCCCGACATGGCAGCATCAAACACCTAATCAACATGTCAAATATAATGACAAGGAATTGATTAAGCAAATGACATGTTTATTATTATTGACATCAACAGCTTCTGCATTTCAATTCATCTTGTTTTATTACTCTTACCATAGTAGTTTAAATTTTGGAAATGTATCTTACACATGTAGCAACTGATTTGAAAAAGAAAATACACGAATGAACTCCCACTATTTTGTACCATCTTGATGGAGCAAACTCATGTCTTGAAAAGAGAGAGAAGCAAGCAAACAGATGACTTAATAAAAATATAAAAAGTGCCCAAACGGTGGGAATTTATTTGGGTTTGGGGCTCCCCTCCCATAAAATGTCCACCCAATTACATATATGTTCCATTTGGTTCTTGGAAGATATGGTCAAGAGAGGAAAATAAATAAATAAAAGAGACCCTTGGCAAGTGGTGAAGAAGAATGAGACCAAATCAGTCTTTAGGGTTAGAAATAATATCCCAATAGATAGCAAGTTAAGCTTTGTCTAGTCCATGAAAGACACTGGAAACAATACAATACTTGAATAATGAAGTTATGGTTCCCCATATCTTCTCCAACTCCAACTCATCCTCATTATGCTTTAGTTTTTCTTCTGATGAATTTGAGATATAATAAAGACATTCCCAACCCAAACAATTTGTTTTTCACACAACAAAATACAATTAAGTATCCCTTTGTGTGTGCGTGCATGAGTATATACTATATAAATACATACTTTTTTTTAAATACATGCAATAGTCTAAACTATAAGAGAAGGGATTTCACACACTATCAAGGTGTCATGGGGGTTCAAACTTGAGACCACCACTGGTCTGCAAGCCAAGGCCTTTTTCCGCTGAGATCTCCCAGCGGCAAATCAAACTATCCTATTAATGAGCAACAATGCCAACAAAAATGTCAAATCCCATATTCTTGAAAAGGCCATACGTGCATACAAAACAATTGCATACATGTCACAGAGTCACAGCACATGCATAAGATGAAAGAAGACAAGAAGCTCCTCCTAGCAGAAATATTATATTAGAGATTGTGGGTTTCTTTCTTCACCCTATATAAAAAGAAGCACATAGACATAATATTGTGAATCATACAATACAACCCATAATATAATGAGAGTGATAGTTGAAGAAAGCCATGGCCTTCAATAAAGGGGGGCCTCCAAAGGCTCCAAGGGAAAAGCAAAAAAGAAATTTTTTAATAATATTAAAGGCTATATCAAATACAAACAAACAAAAAAGCCACACAAAAGAGAGAAAAGAAGAAACCATTACATTACATATAGAAAATGCTATTGGTATGGCTCTGTGGTGTTTTCTCAACCTCTATAACATCAGAAAATTATGAGCTTTAGCTGCTTAGCTTAGCAATTAAGCCTACTAAGAGTCATTCATGCTTAGCTTTGTATGAAACATTATATCATAGGCTTCATTAAGAAAGTAGATTAAGCATGTAATTAATATAATATCTACTGAAAACTTGAACCTGGTGTATAAATGGCAAGGTCAGGCCACCCATTGCCCCCATTCCAACAGCTTGAAGAATCACCATTTTGCAAACCCATATAGCTTTCCGGGTTACCATTGCTCTGGGCCTCCAAACCCGGGTTCACACCCGGATCCGAATTCAACCCATTACCTGAATCCAAGTTCACCCCAAAGTCACCCATTTGCATCAGTTTTAGACCCGACCCATTTGGGTTCAGACCCTCCAGAAGAGACCCAAACTGCCCATTTGAAGTCAGGAGTGAGCTGAAGCTCCCTGAAATGTCCAGCACCCCACGGTCTTGATCGATTTTCGGGCCATAGACCCGGGTTCGGTCAGGCTGTGGATCCGGGTTCTGAGCTGCTGCGGTTGCTGCTGATGAGCTTGACACTGATGACGAGGAAGTTGATGAGGAGCGTTTTGAAGCAGACGATGATGATCTCTTTGTGTTCTTTCTGCTTCCACCACCAACAGGGATGTTTCTCAGAGAGCCACCTTTGGTCCAGTACCTTCTGCAGTTCTTGCAAAAGTGACGAGGCTGTGAGAGATTGTAGTTGTTGTAGTAGCAAAACTTGGTGTTAGGGGACTCACAGCGTGGGCATTTCAGCTGTTCTTGCTCTGGAAATTGGGGTTTCATGGGTTGAAATGTTGTTGGGTCTTGCATTTTTTGAGGCCTCAAATAAGTTTCTATTTTGGACCAAAGTTGTGGGGCTATGGAGGATTTGGTGACGTGGGTTTGATTTTTTTAGCGAAGAATATGGAGTTTGTGGTGAGAAACTGGATTGTGAAGTCTGATTTGAGACCAAAAGAGCCTGACTTTTGAGGAGTTTTCTCTGATGAAGTGTGAACAGGAGGAAATAAAAAGAGGCAAACTTTAAAAACCAGAGTGGTTTTGAGGGTTTGGACAATAGATTGTAGGAACTGAAAACCAGAAGTTTATTTGGGGATCTGAAATGGGGTTTTCAGGGCCTTGATAGGCTTTGAGCCTTTGAGACTGTCAAGAGGCAAAAAGAAAGAGCAAAAAACCAAAAAGAGACTAAAAGGCAGGATATTTTTCAGACCCAGATATGAGCTTCCATGAAAACAAACAAATAGCACATATCCATCAAATCTTCCTCCAAACCAAAACTTACCAAGTTTTTAACTTTCAAGCAGTGAAGAGAAGAGAGTGAGCAACCATGCTCAAAAAACAAGGCAGATAACCAAAACCAAAACCAGAGTAAAAGATTGATTTTTGCTTGCTTTATAGTTGAAATTCTTCAGAAAACTCCAGAGATAAAAAACCCAGATTTTTCAATTGGGATTTGTTCTCCTGAGGTGCTGCATCAAAGGGTTGAAAGATGGAGAAGAAGTAGAAGGAATATTTTGGTCTGATTTTTTTTTCTTCTTTACGGAGATGATCTATCTGTGTGACCGCGTGAGAGTGACGACCAGGCCTCAAATAGAGAGACAGAGACACTGCTCTCTCTCACTCGCACACAGTGGGCATATTGAAATTAGCTAAAGCTACTTCTTTCTAGATAGCCCCACAGCTTCCACTAATCACATAGTTAATTAAAAAGTAATTATTTTTCAACTAGAATAATAATCCTCTAAGAAGAAGCATTAGCCAAAACTGGTTTTGTCAATGACTTAGAATATTTTTATTGAGAACATTGCTTAACAAAAGTCAACCTGCATGATTACAATGCTCTCATTAACCTTAAATAAATAAATTAAGAAGTCGACATGATTAGCCACACACCAAAATAAAAAATTTGTAGTTTATAAATTGTTAGTACAAGTAAAGAGTGACAACCCCAAAGTTTTAATATTCTCTATCTTTTTTTTTTATTATTTGTGTCTACGGGGCTAGTACAAGATTACTTAGTTAAGCGCATAAAATTATGTACGGATGATCTGAAAGAAAGTATTAAATGTTTGAATTCAATTATAAATTTAACTAACTCCTACTCTAAATACGTAGATTAGGGGAATTGTTGTCTCCTTTTAACAACAAATTTATATCATATTATTTAACAAAAAGTATTTCGTTGTATTTATATCTTGACCGTTTTGTTTCAACTATGTATAATCTTCTATTTTGTCCTCAAGTTGAGCAAGAGCTAGAGATTAGAGATCTAATTAGGCAAATATTGCTTATAATTAAGCCAAGCCGAGCCGATGAGCCTGAGCCGCCAAGCCGAGTAGAAGAGGCTAAGCCGCCGAGGCTGCAATAAAGTTTGCGTGCAAACAAAGCAAGCACCGGGGTGAGAGCATCATTGGATTGGCATTTTAACAGCAAAATCCTTGCCGCCAGTTCTTTGTGGTGGCAGCATCAGGACGGTCCAAGTGTTGACTAACTGTGTGATGAAATGTTAGCCAGACAAGTTGTCCTAGCTAGAGTAGACTAGGTGACTAGATGGTGGGTTACAACTTTAGAGAAATTTCATCAATCAATCCAAGGAGCAAATATCAACTAATAGTATACTCCTGTTTGATCAGTGAAATCTAATTTCAAGCTTGGCTCTTCCGTTTTGCGTCACTCAATTCAAACATGTTGACAAAATATATTACCGGGTGATTATAGATCTCAATAGCATGCTCTGATAACACATTAGATCATGGCGAGATTGAAAGTTTTTCGGGTGGCTGAATAATTTTGTATAATAAGTTGTTATGATTTAGTGGACCTATCGTTGTCGAGGTGATGTACGCTGATTTTCATTAGTGGGATGGGTTTTTTGAAAATTAACCCCAAATTACTATATTTCAAAAACATTGCACTGAGTTGGAACCTGCCCCCATTAATGCATATTTTCATCTTCAGTATAGAATTCACTCAAGACATGGCAAATTTCACTTGGAGGTCCATATTTTGTTGGACTATTGGTCGAGAAAAACTCTCTCTGCCTTCCTTAACTTTAAATTCGTATTGAGAAAGTATAACCGTATTTGCTTAACTCATAATCATCCCAAATTTAGATTAGACTCGGATTGATTAGAATTCCTCCAATTCACCCAAACCCCACTCTGACAAGAAAACAATTTGTGAAAGCTTCCTCTCACCAAGGAAAAATATGGGGACCCCAAAACCTTGTAGTATTGGAAATGGCTTTTGCTGCGCGTTTTGACTGATGAGCGTGGGTTGTTAAATATATGGACCCACCGACGCAACCTAGAAAGCGACGGCTCTGATCGTTTGACTGTGTTGAAAGTGTGAACGAGCATCATAGCCGATCATTGGTCATAAGCCCACCTTTGCCATTTGTGCGTGACTTTAATCATGCACTGTCGACCAACTCTAAGTTAAGACTAAATACATCCCTCTCAATCCAGTGCAATCCAATCCAATCCAATCCAATCCAATTCAATTTCGTCCGTCGGCAGACAAATTTATATATCACGGAATAATATTATTTTGTTATTCTTAATTAATCACTCCGTGACATGCAAATCCTTATCGTCGGTCGGCCATAGGCACTGCACACAACTGTACATATTTGATGCATTAAAATTTCAAAGTTGAAGACGGCCTCCGTCCTCGTGCGACAATGCGAGGATTGCCATTAAGGGATATGATTAGCATGGTGGGACACGTGGACAATGCTGATTTTGTTCTTGTTTGTTGGGGTAGCAGGGTTGGGTCCCCTTCAAGGGAGAGGTCTTCATGACATTGCACAGTAATAAATTTGCCAATTTGAATAAGATTTAGGGCAAATTATTCATGTGTTGTGGGTTGTGTGTCAATGTCAGTCATTTCGTTAAAGAAAAACTCTTAATTATGGGGCTAAGTTTGGTATTAATCTCAGTTTAAATTGAACTTTTCATCCAAATTGTATTCAGTGTCGTCCATGGGGCATCATTTGAAGAGTGAAATGTCATTTTTGGACACTAAACCCGGTTTGATCTTTAAATCCGGCATGAAATGACTCTTTTACCCCAACAAGTGATGCGCGTATTGGTCCAAGTTGGAGGAAATTCATATAAAAGTTTCAACTTGGACTGAGATTAGTAAGAAACATAAAACGCAACTTAATATTAAGAATTTTTTTTCACCACACGAGTAACATTGACATATGATCTACACCACAAGGATGATTTGTGCAGTTTTAGCCTAAGATTTATGTGTTCTTACTTTGTAAATGTTAGACAACTCAATATTTTTCAAATTTAAGTGACATTCTCCATTTGGACATCACTTTTCACGTAGAGGAGGAAAGAAAAATTAGAAAAAAGAGTTGGAATGTTAACCAATTTTCGTTTCTTGCCCATCTAACTTATGAATTTTATAGTTTATCAAAAAAAATTTAATTGTAGTCTAAATCACGAATCACGTTAGCTTCTAAAACAGAAATCTGACATGGCTCCAATGTCGCAAAACTACGTCTTTTCAATCATAGCCACATTCTCGTCACGAAATGAGTAATACATATTCAAATTGAAAAAATTAGCAAACTACATGAGCGAAATCATTAAAATAAAACTACAGAGATGGAAAGTAGAAAATGAGTCAAATGAGGTATATGGAAAATGTAATAAGTTGGCCTTAAAACAAAACAAAAATGGAAGTAAAATAATATTAATAGGTAAATCTATGTGGAGTGAGTATGGAAGCAAGCAAGAGCAAGAGCACGAGAGGGCATGATGGGTTATGAAGAGGTGTAATGGAAATGGTAGGGTCGTAGTGTGATAGGGCATGCATGAGTGATGAGTGAGAGAGGTCGGTGGACTTGCAAGCGAGCAAGCTTGCAACTGTTGGAACACAAAAAGGAAGAAAAAAGTGATTTGATGGTGGGGAGCTGAAGATGGTGGGGGGATTGAGACGCGTGTGCATGTTCTCTCCCGTCCTTCCAGAGCGGGACACGGCTGGAATGGCGTGCTCTTTAGGCCCCTCCCTCCGGAGAAAAAACACTGATATCTTCATTTAATCACTCTTTGTCATGTGATAATTTCATCACGCATGACGTAACATGATTAGTTTAAGATAATAAAGTAGTGTTATTCTCTTGATATACAAAATTTTCTCCTTCCTTACTCCCTAAACTAAACCCATCAACATCAACTTATATACGTTACACACCTGTCGACTTATTCATCCTCACCCACCCTTCTCCCTTCCAATAATACAAAAAGCTTATCAAATTTAAGGGCATGAGTGTTTTGTTTGGTTTAGACCACAAATTCGTGTGTGAACTTGCGTAATATTACGATTTGAATTGATTCGGTTTGCACTTCAAAGTAGCAGTATAATAAAGTGAAACCGATTTAATTCGGTCATTTCATTTTATAATAGTAATGGTGATAACTAATAATAAAATGTCATGTACCAAAAAAGGATAGTATAAACGGTTTTCAAATAAACTATGAACTGAAACAAACTAATTGTGATTTGGTTCGATTCGGTTATGTAGTAAATTACACTTTTGTTAGTTTAAAAATGGAACTAAATCACTAAAATTTGTTTGATCTGACCGGTTTAAAGGGTTCGAGTGATTGTTAGTTTATTGTTTTTTGGACTCAAGTTTCTATTAAGATTTGACCAGTGGGGGCACTCAGTCAATTTGTTGTGGGATGTGGACTAATTAGTTACTGGACGAAGAATCCAAGTTGGACTATACTACTACAAGTGGGACAAAACAGAGCAACAAACATTGTCCCTTGGGACTTCCTTTTCCCTCCCTCTCTCTCTCTCTCTCTCTCTAGAAGAATTCCCTTTTGGTTCTTTGTTTGGTGGTGTTTCTAATTATGAGCATTTTCTGTAAATTAGTACATCAGCTAGTGGACAATAAATCTCATTATCCAGACAGGTTAACAAACACATCACCTATGTAGCACGCACACTCCATCATGCCGAAGTGTAGGGGTGTCAAAGTGTCGGACACGCGGACACGCCTAGGACAATGAGAGTAGGAACAATTTGTCATGTCTTTTCTACACAAAATCAACTACTTAAGGTTTATTTGTACACAAGAATTTGTGTATAAATCTTCATTCTACTAGTTTAATATAGCTTGCTTCGATCCTTTTGTTCATTTGTAGAGGGTAGACAATGCTGTTTCTTTTCCAATAAAACAGGTTTTCATTTTGATTCTCTCAATAGAACACAACCCACGTTGCATTTCATATAAGTATTGTTGCAACAGAGGGAGAATCCAGAAAAGTGGAGTTGACATTCTTCACTGTGATTTGAGTATGATCCAGACGATACAAATTGGAGCCTCAATGTTTTTCCATCTACAAATATGCTCCATTATGTGGATTCGATTCTTTTAGTTCATCCCAAACTTAGGCAATGACAGACGATAATGCATTGGGAAAACTATAAACAACTGGATTGTAAACTGAATAAATTCTAGGAAAAATTCTACAACCAGATATCAGAAGCTGCATCTGATTCCATCGGTGCGGGATGATCACTAGGAGTATTTTAATTTCGAAGCAGAACGAAATCATATTGAATTATTTCGGAAGCCATGTCTGGCTGACTCAGAATCTCAGAAAACAAATTTTTTTCATGTAAAGTCAGAATGGTGACTCAGGCCACTTGGATGTACTAATCTCCAAAAGCTAAAACAAATAGATATTTTCCTAAAGAAGTGCCACTCAAACATAGTAGCCTGTAAATGTGAAACCCCTCCCTATAATCTCACCACCGCAGAACCAGGCATAGCACTCAAGTCCAAACAGAGCAGCAAGACCAGCATTCTCCACATTCAGTTCCTGCCTGTTTATTAGTGCATTCTTGAGAGAGTCAACTTCCTTCCAGAATGCTTCATAACGACCCGGAATGCTGCAGAGAAATTTTGAGAAGGAAGTTATGCAGTAGTGAAAAACAAAGCAGGCATTTATGCGTTTTTGCATCTATGCATCAATGATTCAAAGAAGAGAGGGATCTTTAAGTCAACACACCTTAAAATTGATAAATAGCTAAATCAAATGTCATCCAGTAATCAGTATGGTTAAAAATGCAATAAATTATTTCTGGTCTAGTGAACCGAAGATAAACTCCACCGATTATTATCAACAAATAGTGATGTTGGATTTTCACGGAGGATATGACTGCAACATTTTCTAACACGCGAGCGCACGCACAGACACACAGACAGAGTCATTATCCCATAAATCCCAGGATGCCTGTTTTGGCTAAGTTTTCTTAGCTAGCCACATTTCATACCAAAAACAAAGGCACAAAAGTCCAACCTTGTTGTCGTAAAAGTACAAGTACCTAAACAAAAGTAGATGAGTAGATATCAAATCTTTAAAATTGACCAAGCTATTGGCATAAAAAAATGCATGCACATAATATCACAAGCATATATTTTATATCTGGAAAGTCTATGTTATGTAAGGTTATCACTACTGCCGCTGCATATGGACTGTTACAAGTAAAATAGGTAAAGTGCATATCTGAAAGGCATTAAATGTTGTTATTAGTTGTACAATGTTGAAATTGAACTATGCAATGCAACTCATTTTGGATAGACTGAAATAGACGTGTCTAGATAATGGAATGCAACATCCAGAGTGAATTGAAACACAACGGAAAGAGTGAACGATGCAGCCTCAAAATCAAAATGTGACAATCTCACAAAAATTAGCACAAGATTCAATTCAGCATTCCTGAATCCTATCAAAGATTGGAACAAGAATTTTACACTCGTATGCACCTTCTATGAAAGCACTGTACTGCCTTAAGTTAAAAGATGGGAGCAAAGACAATACCTGGCAAGACGAGTATAGAACAGTTGTTTTGCTAAAGTTTGACATTTCTCAATGGTGGGTGGCTCCTGGATATGGTGCTTGTTCTGCTCTACCAACTGCTTGTAATAGATATTTCCATTCTTGACTAGAAAGTTCGATGCCTGAACCACCTTTTGCAACGAAGATACCTTTGAAGCCATGGACTCCCTAAACGAACCTGAAAATAAAAATGATGCATACAAGCAACAGAAAAATGTATTCAACAAACATCCTCATCTTCTCAGATGCAAGAAAAAAGAGAGGAGAAATTCGGATATTGTCTTACTAACTAAAGACTGGAAAAAGGCATATTATTCCAAAAACAATTACTCATGGAAACATATTATACTAGGACATTTCACATACACGGGGCGTTCATGCTTGTGCACGTCAAGTCGTTGAGGAGAATGCAAAAACAATTGCAACAAATGGTAACAATAAAATCTGAATGGTTACAGAAATTCAAACAGACAAACTTCTCCAAGAAAAACATGATTACTCTACCGGTTAAAATATTTCCTGCGTTTAAAAGGGTTCATTTCAATGCGCCTTTTAGTTGGTAACAGAAGCTCACACTTGTTTTGAACACCATCATATCAACAATGAATAAGAACCCAGTCCAGCAATCAGAGGTCAGACAACATTACATGAATGAAATATTGCTAAAGCACATAAATTGACCACAGATTTTTACACATCAACCAAACTACACAACCCACATTGTTCCAAAAGCCACTTCAACTCAGTCAACATTATAAAGGGTCATTCTCACAAAATAACAAGTAACAAAAAAACATGAATTCAACTCTGAAAATAAAGAAGCAAATGGGCTTGGTTGGTTGCCGAGAAAATGCGGGAAACAAAGAAGAGAAGTAAGTTGAAAACTGAAAACTTTACGCATTCCATTGTTTAGGGCTGATGGCAAAACAATGGTTCCCCTCATTTTCTTGGCAACCAACCAAAGTAATAGGATTTCTAAAAAGCTTTGATCATAGTTTTAGAGATTAAAATTATAAAAAAGAATGCAGATATGCACACATTCAGAAAGAAAATTGATGAAACACCTCGAAATTTCTTTGGGATTTGGAGTGAAACAGAAGCCCTAAACACCAGAGGGAGTTGCTGTTGCTGATCACTTCGCTGGTATTTCGAGATTTATAGTGTACGTAAATTCGTCCTTTTATTTTGCCCTTTTGCAGAAATGAACACGTGGCAAAAGAAGAAGCTTTCTATTTTCCTTTTCAAGAAGTACCCAGTCAATGAGAGGAGAGTTACGTTACTATCGCCAAGGAACACCAAATGATCCCATCCTTTATTATTTTAATTTTATTTTTATCATCTTTTAAAATATGTTTTTGTTTTTTCATAAGAATATTAAGGTTGTCATGTGCCTGATGGGTTGAGTCTTGCATCCAACTCAAAAAACTAAGATTAAGATTATATTTTTGACTAGTCACGTGATGAGAGAGACGGTCCCCTCCACCACGGGGAGCTGCAATCGATTCATAAATCAAAACTTAAAACCATTTGAGCCGTTATAACTAACTAAACCCACACTCTTAGTTGAATAACAGAATAAGGGATCATTTCAGTCTCTACAAGCCTCTTGTTAATTTTTCACTTTAGGCAAGACAAACTAAGGGGTTACTTTTGACTGAACCCATCTGGGAACAAGTTTTCAGTTGAATTAGGTGACAAGTGAAAAATCACCTTTTCAAATTCTTTTCATCTTTTGGTTCTCCCTTCCCTCTCATCACAGAGGTATTAGCAGAGATTAACTTGCTAGCTTCTACTAATTGGGTTCAAATTCCTGCAACAGCAACTATTTTCAGTCCTCGAACCAACGAATCATGCAACGGTTTCACAAAATTTCTCACCACGCGACTGGTAAGTATGAATTCAGTCAGCGAATGACCAGCCAAACTCACCTCTCCTAGTGCTGAGTTTAGCCACACCAGATCTCCGGACAGTTGACAGTGAAGAGTGAAAGACTCAAGACTCATGATAAAAAGTGAAGATAAACCTCTTCCAAAAGAGAGAACATCCTTAAAGAAATTTCAACCATGACAAAGAATCAATAAAAAAATGAAGAACTGCAAGTTTCAACAGCTCTATCCCACCAAGATTTTTTGAGTAAGAAAACTACATTTTATCTTAAACCTAGTGGCAAATATTGAACATCCTTTTAGTATTTGTTGTAGGAGAGCTACAATCACATTTTCTTCTCCACGTCAACCCAACACAATTCTAAGACATAACCCCACACCTTCTATTTTAAAGAAGATGCAAGATAAAAAGATAACAAAAGAAAAAAGAAAAAAGAAAAAAGGAAAGAAGGGTTAGGACGAGGGGGAAGAAAAAGCAGACGCTGCCCACCCGGAACAAAATCAGGTTGCTTCCTTGTGGATTCTGTGGCAGCCACTTCTGGACCGTGAGAATAAAACCATGTGCAACGGGTTCAAGGGGCACCTTGAAATGTGAGAGAATTGTTGTGGCCTCCAATTGACTGGTTGGTGGGAAAGGAAGAGAAACCTTCTCCAGCAGCAACCCAAAAAAGCTAACCAAGAAAATACATTTCTCCTTGGACCATCTTTATGCATAGTACATGTACAAGCTGTTAGCAGCAGCACAGGCTATTGAGTTTTCAGTTGGATGCCATGCTAAGTGCAGCAACTTTGTCGTGAAATCAAAACAATTTCCATTTGCATCAACCCCAGGGTTTTCTGCTCCTGTGATAGATTTTGTCAAGGTAGATAAATAATAATGTTTTGAGTAAAAATACTTTAAAAGGGAAAGGCGAACAAGCCAAGAAAGCTCAAATCAATTCAATGGTAAATGGCAAAGAGAAAGCAATTACCTCGTCTGACAACTCGTGTTATACTACTGCTCAGGGACCTGGAAGGCCTAGAAGGAGTCGGAACTTGTCGCCTAAAACAGCACATAAATAATTACATGATCACCAAACTTATCCATAAAAATGAACTGCCGAGTCAAAGATTCCTGATGTCTTTCAGTTAAAATTACCTCATTGGATTTTTGCTGGCCTCCAAAGTTGTTGCCTCAGTACTACCAGTTCCACAACCAAATACACGGAATAGATTGCTGGGATCACATTAACAACATATTAACACAAATACCAAAGAATTTTGATCAGAACGACACAGAAAATAGGTACAAGGCAGCAAAACAAACCTGTAAGAACCAGTTGCTACCCGCAAGCCATCACCACTCAGACAACACTCGAATTTATCGAAGATAGAATCATTTTCATATAAATCACACAGCTGGACACATTTAAACAGGATAATCAGGCTTCGGTCCAACAAAGTAGGCACAAGTTACATGTTCACCTTTTATTTGAAGAATGGAATCTCACCTTAGGTCTTAAATATTCATGAACCTGGAAGGTTGTGACGGGACCTGAATCCATATTGATGTCCCATAACTGAAAAATATGTGACACAAGTTAGATACGAAAGCAGGGAGATAAGATCCCAACCTCACGCCACATTGGCGGAGCAAGACATTAAGCTTGAGCAGTTAGCATTTGACATAAATAACACAACTTCGCAATCAGATATCATGCAGAAGTAGCTACTCAAACCATTTAAAGGAACCATCTCTCTTCAAATGATGAAGGAAACCCAAAGACAGGTTTTGAAATTTGACCCCCCCAAAAAGAGGCAGGCTTCAAAAGTCTAGTTCCACATAAAAATCATCAATTTTGTTTGGGAGAAGGTGGGAGACAAATAATATCTGCATCACTTTCCGATCACGTCCAAGAGTTTTCATCTGTATGGATAATGCAAATAGTGGGAAGATGTAGTCTTGAGTGAGCTTGTACATAATCACATTAATAATCCTTAAAAAGTCTACATTTCATTTCTTTTTTAACAATTCATGAATGTTGTGTTAACAACCTTTCATCCCAGAACAAAGTTAGAAGACCTGCAAAAAAGAGCCTCACCTCTTTGGTTTCTTACATAAGATTACTAACATTTATGCATATTTAAATAAAGTAAAAAAAATCAACCAAAATAAACAAACCTTAAGTGTCATGTAATCACGGCTAAGTATATATCTTCCATCCTTTCCAAACTTAATATCTGAGATTGAAGCAATAATCTCTGTGAAGAATGATCTAGCACCAGGCGCTTCCTGTTCCTCAAACCTGTACACAAGATATTTGAACCAACAAATTTTGTAACATAAGTGATATGCTAATAACATATTGAGATCTACTACTAATTGGAGAGAAAAAAATTGCAGTTTTTCAACTTTTCCCCCCATTTAGTAATCTATAAGACATGGTAACCAAAACATATCATTCTTCTCTCCAGTTTTCACTTAACAACATCCTTATTATATTCTGTGCCTTTCTTTTTCATGGGCAGCAGACTACAAGAAGATTACGGTAAAGTAACAAGGAAAATGCTTACAATTTAGCATGAGAATCACACAAAGCAGACTGCCGCAAATCAATGAGTCGAATCGAGCCTTTGGAACTGCTATAGGCTAACGTATTGCAATGGGTAGGGTGGAATTCTGCTGATGTTATCACCTCTACAATAATACAAAATGTTATTATTAAACAATTTGAAGCCATTCATCAGGGGCAAACAAACAAACCAAAACAGAAATAACTAGTATGTTGTAAATAGGTTCCTTCAAAATTCATAAACCAGACCCGCTTAATTGTACACGGATAGGCTGGCTGTATGAGGTAAGGTATATAAAATTTTCCTTTAGATCTTGTTCTTTTCCTCTTCAGTCCAAATTGCAACTAATCCTGGCTAAGTTGTGATCAACTGGCAAGTTCTCAAAAGCCTTCAGCCAGAAGCATGAAAATGCAATGGTGTGACCGCACACACTTTCAATAATATGAACTTCAACTCCAAGCACCAGAAATACTTTTTAACTCAAAAAACCGTTCCCACTAAAACTGTTCTTAACTTAAATGTAAAACAGGAAGAAAAAAAACCCGAATAGCTTACCGGTTAAATCTTCCATGTTTGCAGGCTTCACATCTACAATATTGAAACTTTGATTGCTAATTTCCAAGTTCCAAAGATTTATTCGCAGATCATCAGCCGATATAAAAGTTTCGCCATCACTAAGAAAAATGCAAAAGAGAGTTGATAAACATTTGAAGGATGCCAAAGGTAGGCAAACAAAGTTTCATAATTAAGAGATGTGAAAAAACAAATATTATGGTTTTCATTGATGTTTTCAAGAACATAGAAAACTCTAGAGTTCAATGGCCAATAATCAATAATTACAAACAAGAGAGCCAGCAGCAGGAATTGGATGATGCTGTGCATGGTCAATCAAAAACTATGAATTGACTATACTTGATATGTGAGCAGTCTTAAAACAAGCATAAGACTTGAATTTATAATGTCTAATAAGGCCCTGACATAAGCCCCCAAGTCAACAGAAAGCTGTACTAATAATGATGTCAGACGAAAAATTCATATACAAGTTCAATAAAGAAGTAGAGGCACCTGTTGTTTGAAATTGAATTGATATGATAATCATGAGCATGAGCATATACTCTTCGACATCTAGCAACTAGGCTAGTCTCGTGGCTAGTTACCTACACAATGAAGTTTCAAATGTTAGTTCCAGACGTAATTCAGAAAATAACCAATATTACTTTAATAAACAAAAAGAGAAGGGTTAAAAACGACATAATGAAAGGTCTAGTTGGTCACTAAATGAACTGCACCAATGTGCTAATACAAGATACAACAATAAAATGTAAAATGGGTTAAATACTACTACCTGTGGCAATCGTAACGAAGGAATGCCCCCTGGTGGAAATGAAATGTCATTGCTCAGACAACTGAATGATCTGTCTGAGCATCCTCCATTTGCAAGATGCGTTTTAGAGCTACCCAAATTACTTGAACTAGCAAGATTGCCATTCCCTACAGCTTTTGAAGGATCCACATTCATTTCAGAAATTTTCTTGACCTTCTTTTCTTGGACCTGTACAAAACTCAACCAGATAAAGCAAAAGAAATCAGTACATGTAGGAAGCACACCATAGTAATAGTCTAGAAAAGATATTCACAGATAAAATGTGGCAATTTTCATCATTTAGTTTCAATCTTTCGGACAAAAATGAATGCACCACATCACAGTTTTATGCAGCATGCCATTAGATTTATACACACATTTAGTAACATTACATCGCATAGTAACCATCTGAATAGCCAAGGTAAAAAGGACATCCTCTTATATGTACAATTGAATTCTTTAAATCCTTCTCAACAATGCGAAGAGTTGACACCCTACACCTACAATACATACAGCTATCTAGCACCATGCATCAACTCAAAGTCCAGACAGCTACATCCACAATACCTAGAGCTATAAGCTGGCAATCCATATGTTCAAATTTCTCAAAACAGACTCCAAGTAAAACAATTGCAACGATTCTCTTACATATTATCACATATTTATATCGAATAAATGTAAGCTAGGTATTTGAAAATACCATACTCACTGCAACAAGAGAATGTAACTTTCCTACCTTCCAAAACTTAATTGTTTTATCGTTAGTAGATAGGAGAAACAGGGCACCATTGGCAGTTTGGCACCATCTGATTTTGTTGATTTTCTCCTCTATTTCCAAACTCTTCAGGTAGTCGAACTGACAAAAAAAAAGCACAGTGTGAGTATAAGCAACTTGAATACAGAGAACAAAACTAAGTAATAATGATGGCGATGTATTAGTAACTCATTAGAAAAGAATACCTCAGGTTCATGGCTCTGAAACTCTGTTTTATAACGGAACTCAGGATGCCTACTAATTGGATAATCCATCCTCTCCAAGTCCCTTCTGGTGCCACCATTCTACACATTACAACATTCAAATACAATATACCGTTGTAACAAACAAGAAATGGTATTTCAGAATATAACATTCAAATTGAAATAACAGAAAAGGCCTCAAGGGAAGAAAAAACACACATCTTTTGTATCTGTCCTTTCAAATAGAACCACCCGGCCCCCACGGTCACCAGTAGCAAGATGGTCACCAGTTTTATCAAATTCAATAGCAGAAATAATATCAACTGCAAAAAAGGACAGCCAAATGAAAATTAAGAAAGCCCATCTTATCCTCACATTATTTCAAAGAAGAAAAAATAATATAAAGTTGTCAGATGAGTATAAAATACTACTCTAAAGAACATGTAACTTGGACCAAAGCAAACATTAGAATTACATTTATCATAATTGCTGCCCCTTTAACTTTCATTATATTCTTTCTCCTACAGGTAAACTCTCCTTCTAAATAGAAGCAAGAATTCACTCCTACCATGTCAGCTGCTTGCAACTACTGAAAATACAAAAAGTTACAACACCAGCCTTAAGCTAAAGAACAATACAACAAGATCATAGATAAGCCTATATATCACAGAACAGCTGCTCTCCAATCTGAGAAAATAACGGAAGAAGAAGACTTTCTAAACTCTGTGCCAGCCATGAATATCAACCAGTTGTGTCAGATATATGAATCTATTCTTACCCTTACGATCTGTTTTCTATATCCTTTGTATATATTCATTAACTCTTCACCACCTTAACCATATTAGTCTTCCTATCTAACTCGTTCTCACTGATCCTTCTGTTCAACTTTAAAAAAACTCTTTTTGGATCCTTTTCCCATTTTCATTCATCCCTCTGCAGCTCCAGCATTCACAGTGCGTCTATTTTTCATCTATTCATTGTTGTAAAGTCATGTATCACAAGGTTATGATTTGGATTCAATCATTCATTTTGATCATAATATTTTCTTCATTCGCAATCATTACTGTGTCTCATCAGTCGTGACACTTATTATGGGTTTTGATACTCTCACATCGAAGCATTCCTTTCCAACCACATCACTTTTAAAATCTTGTACAAGTCTAGCAAGAAAACGTAATGAGCCACTTCATGTACAGGAATCATCAACTACCTAATTGCAGCATATAAGGTAGCATTATAAACGCACAGGTGGAAACCCTCCCCTTGAAGTGTCCAAAGTACAGATTCTAACATGCAACTTTCCCAAAATCAGATATTATTCTCATTAAAAACGGAAAACTCAATGTAACTATGATCAACAGACATCTGCAAAGAAACTATAGGGCGCTGATATATAAATCTTTCCTGAGACAGTTGCAGATATAGACACGCTTCATTTTAAAAAAAATATTGCACAAATGTCTTCTGAAAATGAAAACTAACAGTTGGATTCTCAAAACCACAGTTTTACCTTTCTTTGATAATTGGGTTCTTCCAGACTACAAACATAATGATGACATTTACCTAAGCCAGCCAACTAGATGCAAACCAACCTTAAGTACCTGTCTTTTTTCGTCATATGTAACTGATGTGTAAGTAAAGAACAGGAAATTCCACAGCACTATTCAGTAAGCACACAATTAGTATAATGTGGTTACGTTTCCCCTAAATAAAAAATAGATTCATGACAAACATATATCGCTATCTAACCAGTTGTGGAAAGACAGCTAACGCTGTGGTTTTGATTCAAGTCCTAAAACTTCAAGCACGCAGAGGACAGTCCAAAATCACCAACTAAGGGATGGACAATAACAATGATCCAAAACTATAAGGCGCAAATTCACGTGTTAACAACCTAAAAGAACCATTTATAAGACCAAACTAGTGAAACATAAACTATAATCACAAACCCAAGCCACCACTCACTTTACCAAGCTCAGTTCCACACTGTTTCTTCATCAATCCAATAAATGAAAAGTGCAACCTAAACCTCACATGCACACCTCCCCACCAATTTCAGACCCAAAATCCACTACTTTCCCTAAATCAAAGCCAGAACCCACAAACAAACACCAATTACTCGATGACCCAGATGCCGAAACACGAATTACTCGACGACTATGATCCAAAACAGATCGAAATCCCAAAAACAAGCCATGAATGCATCATTTGCATAAAAATACCGATTGGATCCAAAAGGGTCGTGAATGATATTACTCCAAAACTAAAAATTTCGACAAAATACCTTCCTGAACTTCTTCACCGGCCGTCCGCTCGCCGAAGACCTGAGAGAATTTCCACTCCAGAGGCTGTGGAGGGCCTCCGGGAGCTGCGACGACCTCATCGCCACCGTTCATTTCTCGCCGAAAAGCAAAAGTGAATCAACGGCCCAGATAAACCAAACCCCCAAATTACCACCAATCTAATCACCGCATCGAAGATCGCTTTGTGGGTTTACAAGATCACAGACAGTACTGAAAAACCCATATCCAAATAACACAATAAACAATCACAATGATGTCTGGGTATTTTCCAATTCAACCATTCCAACACAAAAACAAAACATAAAAAGCCTCTCTCTTTCTATCTCTAGTACACGAGCTCTCTCTCTTTCTCTCTCTCTCTCTAGAAGGAGAAAATTGGGATTTTTAAATTAATTTTTGGGAGAGATTAAAATGACTGAGCAAATGGTTCTTTGGCTTCGGTTGGCTTCGGAGACAAAAGAACTCAAAGCGCACACACATACACACTTCTACCTGTGTTAAGTTCTCTCTCAATTATGGGCTTCTCTAATTTTTTTTTTTTTTTTTTTTTTTTTTTTTTGTTTGGTATGATACGACCTGGGAAAGTGACAGCTGGGCCGGTTGAGAGATTCTGCTTGGGCTGTGGACCCGTGATGAGTCAAAAGGTAGTGAGAGTGGTGTGATTTGATTGGTTGGTGATGGGGTGCTGTGTCATAAGGCGGTGAGGTTAAGAATAAATAAGGTATGTTGGGGAAAAAAGTGAAAAAGAATTTGGGGATTTTAACTTTTTGAGGATGTGTTGAAAAGGAAAAAGGGGGATTGTGGAGAGAAGGTGAGATGAGATTTCATGAAATGACATGCATGTCCTTGCTTTCCCATCTTTTGGATTTTATTATAATTTTTTACAACCTTGATAAATTATGAATTTCTTTAGCAAAATAAAACACTCTGTTTTTTTTTTTGGGCATTTGGGGTGGAAATTAAGATTTTATGTGGTTGGTTGCACTTGCATGGGATCATTTATATCATGGGATGTAGAAATGTGTTGGATGTACAAAGTCCCATAACATGCCCTCAATCTCCCAACATATTTTGATGACTTGATCAGCTTGATCTTGACCATCCAATCCAATGACTTTGGTTCCAAATATTTTTCATTTCTTTGACTTTTGCAACTTCTAAGAACCAAAGGTGGTTATTGAAAGATGATCCTAAGCTTCAACTTGAAGGAATTTATATTATGTAGTCTTATCACTAAAGAGATAACATGCTTAATTTCCTCTAATCTTTTGGTTGTGTTGAAGAGCCTTGCCCCTTTAGTTAAAAACTAGAATGTGAATCAAGTGTCATTGGTTGCTATGGACTAAACTAAGCTTTTACCATCAAAGCACCAATTTTTTGGTTTTGGTTTTTTGTTTTGAAGAGGCAAAGTAGCTCCACCATAGTACTGAAATGAGTTCAACTTTTTCTTGGCCAATAGGGATTTTATGGAATGACTTCACCTTGTAATGGTTTATATCATGAATAAGTGTAATAAATACCAGCCAATTGGGTGTATGTACTTTTTTCTTTGCATACAAGCAATATTGGAAAAGACGTTTTTTTTTTTTGGATGGTAAATACCATGAGGTGTTTGTGCTAGCTTGAGTGCACCTCGACTAATCCCTAAGTGTTGCAACTGCCGGGACTCAAAATGGGGAACAAACCCAACCTCAAATGGCGAACAAACCACTGGGCCACTCTTAGTTGTTGGGGAGGAGTATTTTCTTACACACACTGTCAAGGTGCTATTGAGTTCAAACTTTTGGGTTCGAACTTGAGGGCATTGGTCTACAAGTAAGACCATTTCCACTAGACTCGATCCGGTTGGCTTTTTTTCTTCAATTTTTTTTTGGAGACAGAATCAACTAAGTTTTTTTTAATGGTTTTAGACTAAGTAGGGCAACACCAAAAGAGGCCCAAAGTATGGTTGCAAGCCCTAAATTAAAATATGGGCTATTAGATTGTACATCAATAAACTCATGCCCAACTGGGTTCATTCTGCAAAGCCCCCATTTATAGGTTGGCTGGGTTTAGGGTTTCAGACCCCAAGTTCAGAGCTATGGGCTGTTATTTCTGATTTAGGATTATACTTTCCAAAATTGGCAATTGTAAATGACACTGCACGATGCATGATCAATTTTTTTTCTTGTTTTTTTCTCATGTTTTTTTTAGTACAAAGGATTATCTAAACTATATGAGAGGGAGGTTTCTTACACACACAATTAAGATGCTATGTGGGTTCAAATATGAGACGTTTAGTCTGTAAGTCAATACAATTTTTCATTGGACTAAACCGAGTTGGCCTTTTCATGTTTATTAAATTTATATAGTTGATTTTATCTGTCTGGTCTTTCAATTGCAGTCTTACTAATGAGAACCTAAGTGTGATTGAAAGAATTTTTGGTTCTTTTCTGAAAATTTTGGAAGCCTCGTGATATAGTTAGTTCTCACAAAGATGCCATTCGATCCAATTTGGGTTATTACCTCATCAAAACTATACTTTCCTCTCCTAACGTATCCAATTGTTCTTATAAATAAAAAAACATATCCAATTTTTTTTGTCCTTTTTAATATATCCCACTACACTTTGTGTCTAGTCTCTTTTTTTTTCCTTTCCATTTCATGCTTCACTCTAAGTTATTCTTATGATATCTAAAGAATGAATGAAATTCTCCATTTAAAAATGATAAAATATATATTCTTTTCTTTTTTTTGGATACAAGCGATATTCTGCTTTAAACTAATCTAAACAACGAAGAGAGGGAGATTCGACTTGAGTGTAGAGTGGGTATCAGATATATATTCTTAGGTACAAAACCTTTATTTTAATCCATGATGCACATCGTCATCTGAGTGGTTCTTATTTTAGGTATACAAGCATCTTATACTCTCTTTGATCCAAGAATTTGTTCCATATTCCGATATTCGTTTTGTTCCACAATTAATATGAGGTACTTAATATACTGTCCCTGGCATCGAAAAAGAACAACAACAAAAACCAAAACTTTGAAACCGCACCAACCATGAACCAACATTTTCATATGTGTATATTTAGTACCAAAAAAAGAAGAAGAAAAAAAGCCGAAATTCACGTGCATTTGTTTCTAGTTTGTACAAGCATGCATTGATGTGTCACCTTGGGTATCAAATGCGTGACACATACTTTCAATCACCCACCACCTTTTCATTTGGCAGATATTATCACTAGACTTTATAGGCACCATGCATCTAGCAAAGCAACAAGAAAATGGCCTTCTTTTCTCTCAACCACAAGCAACAAGAAAATGGCTTCTTTATTTCCTCCGGAAATTCTTGTTGATATATTTTAAAATTGGCATCTGCCATGGTGCATACAAAGATTTCACGTAACCAATGTGATATAAAGTGGTATAGACTAAAGATTTCACGTAACCAATGTGATATAAAGTGGTATAGACTATAGTGGTCAAGTAGCAAATGGTAGCCAACTAGCAGTGGATTGGTTTAATTCAGAATGCTTGATAGGAAACATCATTGGCGCAATGGTGGAGAAGCCAATTGGTCTTATTGTTGGTAGATATGTTATATGTATGCGAAAAATGTTGAGTACCTGAATGACAAATATATGCAATCACAAATAAATCGTATGTGTTCAATAAATTAGAATTTTACTTTCGAACATAGGTTCGAATTTAGGACGTATAAATTTTTATGGAAAACCAGATCACCCACTTATTAACGAAGTGGGTGGTATGGTTTTCCAGGTCTCCGAGCTCCTTCTCAATAGTGTCAACGACGCTAAATGATTCGCGACTTGATTTCCTGATTTTCTCATCCAAGACCACGCACATAATGCAAAGGATCTGTGGCAATCTTTAATCTTGAAGAGAATGGGGTATAGATGCCATCTACCCATTTTGATGTTTCTATTGATGCTATTCACTAGTTCTCTGTGTACATCTCTTTACAATTGGCCTATGTATGCATCTATGTTATAACAGCTATTGTACACCATCCTCACTACTTTAATTAAAGCGATTCTATTTGCATTTGTCGTGCATGTATTTTACCAATCACATCCATGATTACTTATTTTATTCTCCCTTGACTCCTCCCGTATGTCATTCTCTCGCTGTCAACTGACGACGGTGGTGTCGTCACGGCCACCATTGGCCACGGCGGATCCGACAACTAAGTCGATATTTTTTTCAACTTTTTTTTTTGGGTGTAAAGTTTAAAAGAAATTATTGCAAATTAATAATTTTTTTAAATTAATTACTCATATGCTTATGTACGTCTATTCTCAACCTAAATATTCCCACTAAAAATTATAAATATATGGCTCGTGGCCCTTATTTGGAAATAGATAAAGAATATAAATTCACTTTTTTTTTGGTATGAGAATAAAAATTCACTTTACCCCAAAGAGATAGGAACACCACAGCATCATCATTGGAGTATTTAATTCATTTTGGTGTCGGACCTAAAAAAAAACAAGGAAAAAGGAACAAAACAATAAAATTGTGACGTGACAATCAATACCAAAGTGGATATGACGTGTCAATATTTTAGGCAGAGATTTAGAATTTGTGTCTCTGTTTCGCATTGTGCAAACATGGATTCTGAGACTTTTCTTAATGATAAGGCGACAGAATAATGTAGGGACTGTAGAGATCGGTGGCAAAGCTATCTGATTCTGATCATATAATGTTATGTGCGACATGGAGGAGAAAAATGGGCACAAACTAAGCAGAAATCAAGCTAAAAGAAGAGGTAGATTATAAGGCAAGGCAAGGCCTAATTATATATTAGGAAATACATGGTCACACACGCAAATTAAAATTATTAAGATTTTATTATATCGATGTAAAGCTTTAAAAGTGAAATACAAAACGTTTGGCCTATAACGTACGTCAATGACATTTTCTATTTAGCTAAACCCTGTTGTTGGAAAATGTGGTTTGCACTTCAAATATACCTCTTGTGTTTTTAAGAACACTCACCCACCATGCCCAAAAATACCATTTGATAGATAAACCTCATAACTTTGAGTCTTGTATTGTATCTCCCACCTACCAAATTAAAACGATTGCCTAAGCAACCCCAACTTGTGAACTCTCATAATCTACAATGTGCTAGCTTAAATATGATGAGGTGACACCCAAAATTTATACAAGATTTAGTGGGACTCTACTAAAAACCATAAATATTTTGGTAAGGTCATGCTAAATAACTTGGTTTGGTGAGACCCCCCGGACTTAAATGTGTTATTCAATACATACCCATTAATTTACAAGATGTGTAAATTATAAAAACTTCAACAAAACTGAAAAACTATCAATCCATACTTTATTTAGAAGCTCTGCAAAAACGTGCTCTATTGGTTAAAAATAACATTTGATCACTAATGTATGAGATTTATGCCTTTAATGACTTTATTAGTGTTCAATTTATTTCAACAATGAAGAATTAAATTGAGAGTGAGCAACAGAGCTTGAAGAACATTATGTGTGGAATGTAGGTTATCAAATTTGGAACTTGGTCAATAAATTAATGAGGTGTTAGTTGGATTGGCTCAGATTTTTTGTGTCACTATAAAAAAGGCATTTTTGATGACTAAACCCTTTAGCCACCCTAGCAATTAAATGTCACCAAATAATGGTGACGATTGCCCCCTTTTTTTTTTAGTAGTATGCTCCCAAGTGGTCCTGGGTACAAGTCCCCATGATACACGTGTGTATGAGTTTCCCTCGTCCATCTTCCTAATCTTGGCAAAACAAACAAAAAGTTTTTATTTAAAAAATAATTTACAATGTAGGAAGTTACAATATAAAAGACGAAAAATGTATGTTAAAAAGTAAAGTAAAGTAACTACAAAAATACACCTAATTTGATAGGGCATCTCCAACCATAATCTCTAAATGGGGCTCTAAAAATAGTGTATATAGACCCATGTAGAGCTTTGTTGTATTATTCTGGGTTCTAAAATTATTTTTCCCACAATGGGAGCTCTACATTCGAGGCTCTATATGAATTTTTTTATGTGTTAATTTTTGTTGTTATTAACTTAGTTTTTTTAATTGTATGTTTATGTTATGTTAGCTTTTTTTAATGAACATTTCTACCAAAAAATAAATCAAAATTTGGAGTAGTAATTCTAAAGGTAAATTATAATTAAAAAAAATTAAAAATCAACATTTATACCCAATTTATAATTAAAAAAATTAAAAGAAACATAGAAAATTTGAAGTAGTAATTCTAAATATAAATTATAATAATTGAAAGCAAAAAAGAACGAAAAAAAAAGAGAGAAGGAAATATCAAACAAAAAAAAAACAAAAGGGATAGACAAAGCCTTTTATTTGGTTGCTGTTAGAAAAAAAAATCATTGAACAAGCCGGATGTACGTTGCAGCTTTTCAAAATGTAGGACCTGTTTGGACTGTCAGAGTCCACAGATTTAGAGACAACTCCAGTGGGGCTTTATGATATAGGGCTCCGAATCTGTTCCATTGGGGATGTTTTTTTGCACATGAACTCTATAGCCCCAATTAAGATTAAGACCCCCATTAGGAATGGCCTTAGGAACTGTTTGGAAATGCTTATAGAAAGGTCAAAAGCGCTTTTTAATAACTAAAAGCGCTTCTAACAGCGTTTGGTAGAAAAGTTTAAAGGCGCTTCTAGGTCATAAAAGCGCTTCCTGGAGAAGCACTTGCTATGTGCTTCTTCAGGAAGCACTCCCAAGTGCTTTTCCACGAAGCACTTTAATTTTTTATGAAAATTCAAGATTTTTATAATAAAAGCACTTTTGTTAGAAGCGCTTATGAGCAAAAGTACTTCCTAAAAAAGCAGTCCCAAACGAGCCTAAGTTTGTGCAAAATATAATAATTTATCTATTTATAATTTTGGAAATGAAAAATAATGGGATTAAAAAAAAACTTTTGCAAATTAATGAGATTGATTAAAATAGGCCCAAAGCCGAAAAGAGCCCTAATTGAAGAGGTGGATTGTAACACAGCCAAAAGCTGTAGCACTTGGCAGCCACAAAAATAGGGAAAATAGGATCACCGACTGAACCATACCCGGAATATTCCCCCTAGTAGGTGCTAGTGCGTTTCAAAGTTGGACAGCTTATCCCAGAGTGAATTGAATTCCCTTGGAATATCCTCATATTCCCGCGTTTTTAACTCATCTTATCCCCTCCCCTCCACCCTCCGATCTTCCACCCTGTCAAAGTCATCAGATCCGACGGCCACAACCCCATGATGACCTAACAACTATTAGCCATACTCTACACCATTTGTATATTGTTCAAGTAATATTCCATTTGGAATCCAAATCCCATTTTAACTCGCCTAATTCACAAATTCACACACTTGGGTTGCTATAAATACCCCTTCTCCCCCTTTTGCACTTGCAACCAACCATTTCTTCTGCTTTCTGCTTTTAGCTTTCTGCTTTCTGCGTTTTGCTTTCTGCTTCTGCTTTCTGCTTCCGCTTCTTGGGTTTTTTGGGTACTTGGGTTTTTTTCTCACAGAAATTTCATCAATGGCTGGAATTGTGGTGGTTTTTGACTTTGACAAGACCATCATTGAGTGTGATAGTGATAACTGGGTGGTGGATGAGTTGGGTGCAACTGATTTGTTCAATCAACTTCTTCCCACCATGCCTTGGAACTCTCTCATGGTAAGTACTAGATTTCTTCTTATAATCAATGTTCTTGTTTAGTTTCATGTTGTTTTTCTTATGGTTTCGTAAAATGAGAAAGAAAAAAAGATATTTTTTTATGGTTTTCAAGAGCCTTAAAGTATGTTCCTTTTTTTGGACAAAATATTTGCAGGATAGGATGATGAAGGAGCTTCATTCACAAGGAAAAACCATTGAAGACATTGCAGAGGTTCTGAAAAGGACTCCAATTCATCCTAGAGTTGTCCCAGCAATTAAAACAGCCCATGCTTTAGGGTATGTGTCAAAATCACCCCCTCCATATTTTTTTTTCTCTTTCTTCTTTTGAAGAAATATAATTAATTTTGTGGTGGGTTTCTGGTTTTGGTGTCTGCAGGTGTGATTTGAGGATTGTTAGTGATGCAAATCTGTTTTTCATTGAGACAATCTTGAAGCATCTTGGGCTGGAGGAGTATTTCTCAGAGATCAACACCAACCCAAGCTATGTTGATGAAGAAGGAAGGCTTAGGATTTTTCCTCACCATGATTTCACCAAATTCTCCCATGGCTGCAGCAGCCCCTGCCCTCCCAACATGTGCAAGGTATATTATTATTTTAAATTTATTATAATAAACCCACAATCAAGACACCAACTTCTCTGTTGGACCCAATTCCAAAAGGCTTGGAACATTTTCTTATACTTTATAAATACTAAATAAAAAACTCTCAAGATGTTAATTTTTTTTTAAACTGTAATTAATTACAGGGTGTGGTCATTGAAAGAATCCAAACTTCTGTATGCACTGAAGGGAAGAAGAAGATAATCTATCTTGGAGACGGCAGTGGAGATTATTGCCCAAGCTTGAAGCTCAAGGAAGGAGATTTTGTAATGCCAAGGAAAAACTTCCCACTGTTTGATCTAATCTGCAAGGACCCTTCGCTCATCAAGGCAGGCATCCATGAGTGGACAGATGGGGAGGAGCTTGAGCAGATTCTGCTCAGCCTCATCAACACAATTTCCATGGAGGAAAATGCTCAGTTCATCTCAGCTGATTGCAAGTTGCAGACCATCTCTGCTTCTGCTCATGAGGCCCTTCCCAAGGCTCTCCCTGTTCAGCAATAGTAGTACTAATCATAATTAACATGTGTGTATGTACAAGTTTGGTTGGGTTTTACCCTAATTAATGTGATGCTGGCAAATTAATGTCATGGCCAGCAAATTCAGAATAAACCCTTTTTCCCCTTTAGAAATAGGCTTTGTAAGTTTGTGATTTTGTATTGATCAAGAAAATTGGATCAATATACATTTTCCTTGGATAAAAAAAAGGGTGAAATTGGAAAATGTTTGCTGTATTTATGGGCTTTCCAATTCTTACATAGGCCAAATAGCAGCCACATGGTCATTTACATAGGCAGGGCCTTTAATCTTTCAGATAACTCCATATTTTGGATCGTATATATCTGCCAATATAGTTTGGGTCATCTCCTCTTTTCTAGTTTTTATATTAAAAACATTAGATAAAAGGATTTGCGGCTTTTGTTCGGTTTAGTTTTGTTGTTAATATGTTAGTTTGTTGCCTTTTGGGATTGATACTCTGAATGTCTTATTGATATTTTTGATTGTATTGTTGAACTTTATCTGATAAAGTTTAAAATAAAATAGAGAAAGGAAAAAAAAATTAACAAAACAAAAGACGGGTCAAAGTTCAAAGTTAATTAACTGGGCGGCTATGAGGTCTTATGACATATATTATATATGTTTTAGCTATCATGCATGCATTTACAAAACGGGATTTGGATAATCTTATCTTTTAGTTACCAAAGGCAAGTTTTCTAAGCTCAAATCGACGTGTACAGCCTACAGGATTTGTTGTCATCAGTCTTATAAAATACAAGAAGAAAAGAAACCACTCTCATGGGTGTCACATGAGTCTCTTTCTACATATATCACGAGTCACGACAACACATGACTGTGCATACGTACATCGGTTTCATGTACAATATTTACTACATTTTTTATTTGTGGATCATATCTCTCTTAAATATATATGAGAAATAAGTGGATTCCACATAAATAATCGGAAGATAATGAAATTAACTTTCTAATTAATTATTCAAATTTAGTGTACGGGTATTGCTATTTGGATCATATTTACTGACTATATTGTTGACCACTTCTCTAATATAGGTGGCTCCCACATACACTGGTTGGACTCACCTTTATTAGAGATGTGGTCAGTAATATGGTCAGTAAATATGGTATATATATAACATTATTGTTAATTTAAAAGAACCAACTTTCCAATAGGGTCTAGCCTAGTAAAAAAGGGCATTGACTTACAGATAAGAGGTCTTAGATTCGAACCTCCATGACATCATTTGTGTGTGTGCAAGAAATCCCTTATTCTCTAATTTAGACTATCGCTTATATATATTTTTTAAAAAACTGGCTTATATATGGTCATCACAAATTTAACAACAATGTGAAATCTCATACGATAAAAATGAGTGCATGTACATTACGGGTTTAACTCAGGGGCAATTGAGTCGACAACGAGTGTGAAGATGTATAAAAATTTATACACTGCGGTGCAAGAAAATAGTGCAGAAGAACAGGAGCTCTCCTATTCCACTAGCTTATATAGAGTCAAAGCAAGGAAGGCTCAAAATGCTTCCTCTTTAATTCACAATTTGGAGTGTAATTGTATCCTTTAAAGATCCAATCTTTGATTCTCCATCCACTATGTACCTCAATGTAGATGCTTTTCAAGTGTCATTTACTGTTTTTTCACTGCAAATGATTGAATTAATTATATATGCCTTTATTATTTTCTTTTCAATGTAGACAAAAATTATTTAGGAAAAGTCACGAGGTAGCAGTGACATGGCCAAAATATAATAATCGCATGAATCATTACGAAATAGTTTGAAATTGACACAAATGTTAAATCACAAGAACTGTAGCCTTTGCATCAATATTGCACTAGGGGTATGAATTTAGGCATTGTCAAAATGTCAATTATATATTTTGTTTGCATACATGAAGATGATTTCTTGGACTCTTGTGGTCTAAGAGATCGAAACTGTATATATATATATATATATATATATATATATAATATAAAGAATTTTTTTTTCGGGGGCCCTGTGTGGTGGCGCCACTTGCACCACCCCAAGGCCGCCCTTGGAAGAAAGTACGGAGAAATTGTAAAAAAACATATGACGTCCGCACTGTAATAATGTCTGAACGTCCAAATAGACATATAAAAGAATTTATATATATATATATAATATGCCAAATTGAAACCACACCGACCGTGAACCAACATTTTTATTCATGTAACCGTATAGCTTTTCTAGGTTTCGATTGAGTTTAGTTGTTTTCCTTGAGATTTCTTTCCCTACCAAAATAAACAATAAAAAAAAAATCGAATTTGCATGCGCATCAAATGCGTGACTACATATTGTCCGGAAATTCTTTAGGCACCAAAGCAACAAGAAAATGGCTTTTCCTTTCTCCGGAAATTCTTGTTAATATATATTTTAAAATTTGGCATCTGTGCATACAAAGATTTCAAGAAACTAATGTGATAAGTGATAGAGGATAAGAAAATGGTTGGCAACTAGCATAGGATCATTAGCTTAGGAATCCTATAAGGGAAACATCATCTTCTACACAACATTTAAGAAGCCAATTTGCCAATTGGTCATATTGGGGGAATCGTTTAATAAGCAAGATTTGGAAATCGTATAATGTTCAACGCAACTGAAAAATTATCGACCTATATACTTTATTTGGATGCTCCGGAGAGATAATTTAATGTTACTTTGGTTAAAAATAATAATTTTTCATTAATGCGTGAGATTTTGAATTTTTAATGAGTTTGTTATAACAATGGAGAATAAGACTAAAGGTTCGTTTGTGAGTGATTCTAGATAGACCAATAATCACTTTTATAGAGAATCACTTTAAGTGGTTTTAATTAAGTGATTTTACAAAGAGGCACTTGTCACTTAAAGTGATTATATAAAAAATACGTAGAAGGTTGAAGAAGATGACGAGTAAGACATAGGTTATCAAATTTGGAACTTGGCCTAGAAACAAATAAGTTTTTATTTAAAACTAGACGTACACGCAATTGCATTTGGAATAGTCGAAATGTAATGGAAGGCTGTATTTTTGCCCAAGGAAATGTAATGAACGCATACAAAATGTGTGAAGTTAAAAAGTGTAGTAATGTTACTATATTACCCCTAAGTGGTTAAGTTTGTATAGGACATCATTCACATATCCTATATACGATTGAGAAATAAATATTTGATTGATTTAATGTATAATGCCCATTTTACCATTTATGAGGTATTTAGTTATATATTCATTCTAAGCACTAGTGATATAGATAAACTCTATACCATTTAATTTTTATAAGCAAATTAAAAAAAGAGAGGAAAGCTAACTTTGTTAAATTAATTTTGATTGTTAAATTATTTTGATGCTCTGTTGAGTGTTTTGAGTTTTCTTATGAAGTTTTTGGGTTGAGCTTATTTTAAAAAATTGATGGCAGTTTTGTAATTTATAGGAAATTCGAAGCTTTGTAATATTGTAAATGAGTTTTGGGTGTATTTCTAAAGTCCATTTCATGCAAGTTTTTTTAATTTTATAATTGGGGCATCATTAATCTATTTATAAATTTTTTTGTTTTTAAATATAAGTGATAGTCTAAACTATAAATGGGAGGAGGTTTCTCGCACTCATTATCAAAGTGCCATGAAGATTCGAACTTGTGACTTAGTCTGTAAGTGAAGGCTTTTTTTAAAGTAAATTTAATTTGATTTTTTTTTTTTTTTTTTTTTTTTTTTGTTTGGGTATAGAGAAAACTTGTACATGTTAATGAGGTTGATTTAGGTCCATTAAAATAGACCCAAAACGAAAAAGAGCCCTAGTGCTAGAGGTGGAGTGTGACGCACCCAAAAGCTTTACCACTTAGCAGCCACAAAATTAGGAAAAATAGGAATATTCCCCCTAGTTACTGCCAAGTGCGTTTTAAAGCTGGTTCAATTCCCTTGGAATATTTCTCATATTCCCGCGTTTTATTTCATTATATCTCCTCCCCTCTCCACCCTCCGATCTTCCACCGATGTAAAAGTCATCGGATCCAACGGCCAAAATCCCACAACGCACCTAACAAATATTAGCTTGCAATCCAAATCCTAATAAAACTCACCAAATTCACACTCTTGGGTTGCTATAAATATACCCTCTTGCCTTCTCACTTGCAAATAAACCAAGAACTCTTGTGCTTCTTCTGCTTGTGTTTTTGGGTACCCTTTTTTTTTTTCATCCTCACAGAGAATTTCATCAATGGCTGGAATTGTGGTTGTTTTTGACTTTGACAAGACCATTATCGAGTGTGATAGTGATAATTGGGTGGTCGATGAGTTGGGTGCAACTGATTTGTTCAATCAACTTCTGCCCACCATGCCTTGGAACTCTCTCATGGTATGTTTTAGATTTCTTTGTATAATTAATATGTTCCTGTTTAGTTTCATGTTGTTTTTTTTAGTACAAGAATTGGGGGAGGGTTTACACGAATATTCATCGGGCTTTGGGGGGTTTCGAACCTCTGCCCACATGAGTAGAGGTGGAAGAGTTCAACCAACCGAGCTATACCCCACTGGCGTTGTTTTTCTTATATATAAACATATGGTTTCGTTTCATGTGAAAAAAAAAGAGAGAGAAAAAAAGAAAGAATATTTTCTGTGGTTTCAAGAGACTTAAAATATGTTTCTTTTTGGACAAAATATTTTGCAGGATAGGATGATGAAGGAGCTTCATTCACAAGGAAAAACCACTGAAGACATTGTAGAGGTTCTGAAACGAACTCCAATTCATCCTAGAGTCGTCCCAGCAATTAAAGCAGCCCATGCTTTAGGGTATGTATCAAAACCCTCCATCAATATATATTTTCTTCTTTCTTTAAAAATATATATATATATATATATATTTTATCCCATGGACTTAATTCTCGGAAGAAATATAATTAATTTTGTGGTGGGTTTTTGGTTTTGGTGGCTGCAGGTGTGATTTGAAAATTGTTAGCGATGCAAATCTGTTTTTTATTGAGACAATCTTGAAGCATCTTGGGCTGGAGGAGTATTTCTCAGAGATCAACACCAACCCTAGCTATGTGGATGAACAAGGAAGGGTTAGGATTTCTCCTCACCATGATTTCATCAAATGCTCTCATGGCTGCAGTCTCTGCCCTCCCAACATGTGCAAGGTATATTATTTCTTTTTTTGTTTATAAATAAACTCACAATTTTGAGAATATTATGTATAAATATATACGCATGTTTTCGTTTTTGTTTTTTTTCCTTCAAAAGTTGGAATCAAGACACCAACTTCTCTGTTGGACCCAATTCCAAAAGGATTAGGACATTTTGTACATATCCTTGAACTGTTGTGATACCCAATCTTGAATGTCCTAGTCTAGGATTTGACATGAGCTCAGTATTTCCCGTACTTCATGAGTATTAAACAATAAACTCTTAATTAAAAATTAATCATGATTTTAATTATATTCTACATTAAATAATTACAGGGTGTGGTCATTGAAAGAGTCCAGACTTCTCTCTCCAGTGAAGGGAAGAAGAAGATAATCTATCTTGGAGATGGCAGTGGTGATTATTGCCCAAGCTTGAAGCTCAAGGAAGTAGATTTTGTAATGCCAAGGAAGAACTTCCCACTGTTTGACCTAATCTGCAAGGACCCATTGCTCATCAAAGCTGACATCCATGAGTGGACTGATGGGGAGGAGCTTGAGCATATTCTGCTCAACCTCATCAACACAATTGCCACGGAAGAAAATGCTCAGTTTATCTCAGCAGCTGATTGCAAGTTGCAGACCATGTCTGCTCATGAGGCCTTGCCTCAGGCTCTCCCTGTCCGGCAATAGTAACAATAATTAACTAGCGTGTGTGTTCAAGTGTGGTTGGTTTGACCTAATTAATGTAATATGCTGGCAAATTGATGTCATGGCCAGCAAATTCAGAAGGAACCCTTTTTACCCTTCTGCTTGCTTTGGTTTCTTGTTTTAGAAACAAGGTTTGTAAAAGTTTGTGATTTTGTATTGATCAAGAAAATGAAAATATTTCCCTTCTTACCATGCAAATATGAGCTCCTATACATTCCTGCCAATAACAGTGTGCCATATGCATAAGTTTTTCTTTTCGTGTTTTAGATGAATTATTTTTGCATATGTGTCAAACTGTGAGTTGCAGAAAGGAGGAGCATCTCCTTACAGTGAAGGAGGCAAGCAGTATCCTCAATAAAATTGGATCAATATATATTTGAAAATCTTTGCTGCATTTATGTGCTTTCCAATTCTTACACAGGCCAAGTAGCAGCCTCCCTTTTGTTTAATCTTTCAGATCAGTCCATATTTTTGTTTGTTTTGCTAATAATAAGCATTAAATGAAGGATTGTGCAGCTTTAAAATAAAAAAGAGAATAAAAACAACAAAACAAAAGACCATTCAAAGTTCAAACTTAATCATACATTATACATATGTGTTTAGCTCTGATGCATATACAAAACAGGAATTGGATCCTCTTTTCTTTTAGTCAAGGAAGGCAACTTTCCTAATAAGCTGAAATCGACGAGGACAAGGATTGTTTGTTGCTGTCATAGTATTATGGAAGAGTACAAAAAAAAAGAAAGATGTGGCTCCTCTCGTATCGTACATCTGTTTCATGTAAGTTATCTTCTTATATATGCGACGACACATGAGTGTGTTTTCTTGTGCCATATACTAATGAAATGGGGATGGTTGGTGAGCCTTTTTTTGAAGGGAAAGTATTCAAGTTCGGATTGGCGCTTACCTAAAAAATGATTGGCAAAAAGCAAGTAGTCCAAAAATTTATATGCTGAGGTGCAAGAAATAATGCAGATAGAACAAATGCATCTCCCATTCCACTAACTTGAAGAAAACATAGAGTCAAAGAAATGCTCAAAATGCTTTCCTCTCATTAGATTTTCTTTTTAGTGCAATTATTTCCTTTAAGGATCCAATCTTGGATTCTCTACCCACTATGTACCCTGTCTAGCTATATTTGCTTTTCCATTGTCATGTACTGTTCTTTCCCTGCAGATGATTTCTATTTGTTTTTTTCAGGAGAAAGGTGATAACTCAAAAGTTCTTCTCCTAAAAGCAATGGGTAGTGGGTACGTGTCAAAATGCATGATATCTTATCTTGAATATGACAAGTTAGTCCAAGTATTAGCTGTGTTTCTCAGATCATCAGTGGGATTATTATTATTTTTCAATACAAGCGATAGTTTAAATTACAGGGGAGGAGATTTCTCACACACACGCACGAATATGGAAAGAAGTTAAGTCTTTGAATATTAATTTGATTTGAGAAATAAACCGGTCATTTATGCGTGTTTAATTTATTTTAGTATTAGATTATGATATTTTCTGGAAAGAAATTGATTTCTTGTCAAATATTTAGCAGGTTGTAGTAACACCCATGTTGACTGGTAGTTTAGTCTATAGATATATATTGAGCTCGATGTCATGGATTTATTTTATACCTTTTGTTTCTATAAACGAGTGTTTGCTCTGATTTATCTATTACTAGAGTTCTCTCTTAATTTGTGACCAAAACCAAAAAAAAGGGAGTTCTCTCAAAAATTGAGCTCATGGCACTTCTTACTCGATGAGGTTTAGATGAAATAAATAAGCATTACGTATTAGAAAATGATGTTTCAGTCAAGATTAGACGGCCCAGATTTTTTCTAAGATTTTACATGGTATATAAATAAATAAAAAGATTTCTAACACCAATTTCCAATCAGACAGTTTCTTAACTAATCTAGAAGTTACTAATAAAGATTTAAACCCTTCAGATTTTTATTACCACAATCCAAGCATTAGGATGGTTTCAGTCGAGATTAATGTTTCTCATTTGTTTGTTGGAAACATCATAAACTTACCAGATGAGTCTAGCAGACTAGGTAGCTTGCTGACTGTTGCCTTGAGCTGACACTTTTCTAGAGCCTGCAATGAAAAACTCATTAACTTCATCCATAATCTACTAGTAGAAAAACAGAGATAAATTTAAGTAATGCCTAAACTGGGTTGCATTAGTAAAACTTGCTGACAAACAATGTAAGAATTGGGCAGGAAAAGCCTTTTCATCAGAACTGGAGTTGGTTCTTGCTCACCCTCCATATTTCGTCATCGGAGTAAAGGCCTAGTGGATCCAAGTTGGTTCGGATGCTTCCCCTGAAAAGAGTTGGTTCTTGAGGGATGATGCTGAGCTTCATTCTCATGTCTTTTAGATCCATAGAGGAGATGTCAAGTCCATCTATAATGATTTTACCACTGGCCGGCTCTACTAAGCGAAACAAAGCACTTATGAGTGTAGTTTTTCCGCTTCCTGTCCTTCCCACAACTCCTACTCTCGTGCCTTCTTTGAATGTGCACGTAATTCCCTTGAGAACTAGCGGAGCATTTGGATGATATTTGATCTCTAACCAACCAAAAGAAGCAAGTAATGGTTAGAATTCTAACCTGATCAAATATCGTAAAGGAACAGTTTTTTATTGAGTAAGGAAGCTCAAGTGTATGATTTTGAATATATTACCTCCAGAGAATACAGCTCTATCCTACCCTTCGGAGGCCATGAAGATGCTGGCCTCTTGTCCTCCACAATTGCAGGAGGCTCTGGTGCAATTTGCATGAATTGGTTTATCCTTTCAACCGAGATAATGTAGTTGGATAAGCTGCAATACCATGGAGTCGCAAAAATTTGTGTTGCTGTTAGTGATAAAGCATAAGAAAGAGAAAGCCCCACAAGCCCTGCACAACATCCAGGAAATTAGGTTAGGGTTAAACAACTTTAGACAACCTCAAACTCCTTAGTTTGAAACAAGGATTTCTGTCTAATATATTACCTGGTGCAACATAACCCGTAGGAAGTAAAACAATGAAAAAAGCAGCTGTGAAAAGGGTCAGATTCTAAAGTGTTCCAGTCCTTAAATTTAACCATTCCATCGTTGCATTAGAATGAAAGAACAATCTGGCATCTGTGTCAACTAGCTCTAAGTAGTTGTGGAAGAACCTGTCCGCCTTCTTAAAGGCTCTTATAGTGACAACTCCGAGTGAGGTCTCTGATGCATAGTTCATAACAGGAGCTTTGGTTGTTCCATTGATCCTTATTAGTTCCCTTGCAGAGGCTAGATAATAGTCCTAGAAACAAAACCCAGAATTCAGTTCCATCATTCCATTATCAAGAAACTGATATCCTGATCCACCTGAACATATTTTGTAGCAACCATGGCAAGAATGCCTCAATGACAACTTCCCATGTGACAGAAGCCATAATTCCAATCGTTACCAGCAGTTCAGTGCAAGAAGCCAAAAGAAAGATAATGGAGAAAGGTATGTCAAAATCCAAAATACTTAAGTCTGATGAAGCCTGCACAAGTGGAAATATTGAATGAAGATAAGAATGAATTCTAAAATAAGTAATTGAAATATACAAGTACACTTACTCGTATTAAAATCCTCCCTACAGGGGTTGAGTCAAAGAACAGCATGGGAGCCTTGAAGATAGCATCAGTGAAACCAGAGTAAAAGGCTCTAGAAGCTTTCAATCCCATATGGGCAGCCAAAAATGACCTAAGATATACAAAGACAGCAGTAAGTGCTGAAATTGCAGCATAAACACCAATGAGTTTAGGAATTTGAATGCCTGGAGCTAGCCAATAAGTTGCAGCAGCCTGAAGACTACTAAAAAAAGACTCTGCTATTATGCCTAACCATAGAAGAAGTGTTCCTCTGGAAACAAATATATAATCCCTAAAGGGCTTCCATCCAACATCTCCAATCTCTTTCTCTTCTTCTTCTGTTAGTTGCACCCCAGCTATACCCTTCACAGAAATATCCCCTTCACTGTTATTTGCAGTAAGGTAAGCTCCATGAGGTTCCTTGCACCGAAACATATCTCCCTCTTCAGATTCTCCTTGGCTTTGATAATTGGAAGGACCCAATGTTGTCACTGCATCTTTATGAGCATTCACAAGCTGCTCAAATGCTGTTCCAACTGTCAAAAGACTCTCATAGCTTCCAGATTGAGTAACTTGTCCACCCTCTATTACCTGTAAAATAAATTATAAAGATAGTTGTTCCTTTTTAGTCTGACCAAATAAGGTTTCATGAACAACACAGTTTGAATGTTTGTTGCAAATAAAATTGAACTGTGAGGTAATAGCAATATACCAGAATTTTATCAACTTCTGAGATAAATTCAACTTGGTGAGTCACCAGAATTACAGTTTTCTTTGCTAGGGCGGCCATGACGCAATCCTGCATGAGCCATTAAAATTGAGTGAAATCTTTCCACAATGAGACTAAATGTAGTTTTCATGCTTCTTAAAATTACTAAATGTTCCATTGTTACATGAAATAGAATTGCAGCAGTATGTGCATCGCATCCACTGCACTAAAGGGGTCATCAAGAAGATAGATATCAGCATCACTATAGACAGCTCGAGCCAGTTGAATCCTCTGCTTCTGTCCTCTACTCATGTTAAACCCCCTTAGGCCTATTTCAGTAAGATCACCATGGTCAAAACTATCAATGTCCTTATCCAGAGCACAAGCTTTTATGGCCTTATCATATTTGATCTCGTCCATTGGCCTCCCGTAGAGTATGTTATCAAGAAGCGTCCCGCTTTGTATCAAGAAGTCTGAGAAACATAAGCCAGGGTTCCAAATACATCAATAAAAGCGAGTATCGCCGCCCGGCTATACTATTATTAAGAAACGTTAATAAAACGAGTATAGCCGGTCGGCTATACTATTTTATAAAATAAGTAAAAAATAAGGTACAGTCGCACGGCTTTACTAGTTTTAAAAAGAGAATCGCCTTCCAATTAGGTGTCCGCGTGTCACGGCTATACGAATTTTTATAGAAACATTGATTAATTTTTTTTATAAAAAACCTAGTATTCCACCCGGCTATACTATTTATGAAATATTAAGTAGTAAAAAATATGTACGTGTTTTAGTCAACACAATTTTGGCAAATTACAACTGAAAAGTTTGGCCACCATATAATATTTTAATATAATTATTTAAATATTTTAATCTATATTATTTTTATTCATAATATGTGAGAATTATTTGTATAATACGTGAATTTTGTGTGTTTTATTGAAAATTTTGTAAAAAAAACAAGTGTATTAAACATGAAAAATATCTACATACATGTATTATACGTTTGCTTTTTAAAAAGCTTGAATTTTACCAAGTCTTTAAGACGTGTGCATAGCAATTGAAAAATACATACGTACGTATATAATAAATTATTGAATGTAAAAGTGGTAAATTCTTTATACGGGTAACAACTCTGGAAAAGTAAAAATGAAAAGGGGACAATAGAGACTTGGGTATTGCAAAAATAGTAATGGATAATGCTCTAAACTACTATTCTCGATAGACAAAAATCGGGGAAAAAATTTAAAAATAAAAGGGATCCTCATAATATATATATATATATATATATATGTATATAGCCGCACGGCTATACTAACAGGCCAAGAAAGCCTGTCCATTCTTCTAGGCACAATTTCTGGATCCAAATACTCCCAAGTGTAAAACAAATCTTCGGATTTTGGACAGTGTAAAGCAAACTTCCAAGTTCTTGCTTATGCTTGTGTCTTTTTTGATTTGGCAGAGGGGGTTGTCGTTGTGTGTGTGAGGAATTTGGACAGGTAAGTACTCATAGCAATTTAGATCAAGTTACTAAAGCAGTGAAGTATGTTCATCAATTATGTGTCAGTTGGCCGAGTTATTAATGCCCCACAAATAAGTTAAATATAGGATTTAGCCAAGTTATGCGCGACATTCATAACTTGGCCAACTAGCACCTGATTTCATAACTCGGCCAAGTTAGCCTAGGTGCTTATCTCGCACATTTTTGTCATTTTGTTCGAAGCTCTTTTTCTGTAACTTCATCTTTTGTTCATCAACATTTCTTTTTTCAATCCTTCATTTTTTCCTTTTTGGTCTTATTTTTTTCCTAGGATAAACTCAAATGAAGTTTTGACGCGTTCACTCGCGTGTTATTTGAGCTTTTTCTTGTAACCCTGCTTTCTCATTAATCTCCAAATCTGCTAAGGCCAATTTTACATTGGTCACAAGATTTTCATCAGACTAAAAGCAATTCTAACAGCAAATTTCCAATCAAATAGTCCCTTAATTATTTAGATACATTTGTGGTGCTTGACATTTTGGGCATCAGGTTCTCTTGCAGCTTGACCAATATTCAGCTACAAGCTTGGAGAAGTAGGAGTTGGTATCCAACAGCTTTGCAGGCTCTTCATATTCCACCAGCTTCCCTACAGACACAAACAAATTAAACCACCCTACATATTAGCAATTGGTTTGATATCATGTGTTACCAAAATATCACAGGGTCACAAGTCCTGCAGATTTCATTGAAATTATAAAAGCTTACCATAGGAGAGGACCATGACCATGTCACTGTCTATAACGGTTGGAACTCTGTGAGCCACAGTTATCACTGTGCATTCTGAAAATTCCTGCCTGATGATTCTCTGCAGAATGGCGTCTGTCGAAGAATCAATGGATGCCGTAGCCTCGTCTAAAACTAGAATTCTGTTCCTCTTGAGAAGGACTCTGCCAAGGCAAAAGAGCTGGCGTTGTCCGGCGCTCCAGTTTTCCCCTTCATCACTCACTGTTGAAATCATTATAGTTATAACTTTTACGACAGTGTGATTATAATATGATCTCTTCACTTCACATATAATTATTAGATTTAATGGAAACTTGGAGCTTAAGTAAGGTGTTAAGAACACTTTTTCTCATTTGTTTGTAGGAAACATCACAAACTCACCAGATGAGTCTAGCAGATTAGGTAGCTTACTGACTGTTGCCTTGAGCTGACACTTCTCTAGAGCCTGCAATGAAGATGTCATTAAGTTCATTTATAATATAAGTACAAAAAGAGAGCTAAATTTAACTAATGCATAAAATTGGCTGCATTAGTAGAAGTTGCTGACAAACAATGTAAAAATTATGCAGGAAAAGCTTTTTCATCAGAACTGTATTCAGCTTGCTCACCCTCCATATTTCGTCATCGGAGTAAAGGCCTAGAGGATCCAAGTTGGTTCGGATGCTACCCCTGAAAAGAGTTGGTTCTTGAGGGATGATGCTGAGCTTCATTCTCAAGTCTTTTAAACCCATAGAGCAGATGTCAAGTCCATCTATAATGATTTTACCACTGGCTGGCTCTACTAAGCGAAACAAAGCACTTATGAGTGTGGTTTTTCCGCTTCCTGTCCTTCCCACAACTCCTACTCTAGTGCCTTCTCTGAATGTGCATGTAATTCCCTTGAGAACTAGCGGAGCATTTGGGCGGTATTTGATCTTTAACCAACCAAAAGCAGTAAGTAATGGTTAGAATTCTAACCTGATCAAACCATAAGGTGGTAAAGGAACGGATTTTGACTGAGTAAGGAAGTTCACATGTATGATTTTGAATATATTACCTTCAGAGAATACAGCTCTATCCTACCCTTGCTAGGCCATGAAGATGGAGGCCTCTTGTCCTCCACAATTGCAGGGGGCTCTGGTGAAATCTGCATGAATTGTTTTATCCTTTCAACCGAGATAATGTAGTTGGATAAGTTGCAATACCATCGAGTCACAAAAATTTGTGTTGCTGTTAGTGATAAAGCATAAGAAAGAGAGAGCCCCACAAGCCCTGCATAAAGGAAATTAGGTGAGGGTTAAACAACTTTAGACAACCTCAAACTCCTTAGTTTGAAACAATAATTTCTATCTAATAAATTACCTGGTGCAACATAACCCTTAGGAAGTAAAACAATGAAAAAAGCAGCTGTGAAAAGGGTCAAATTCTGAAGCACTTCTGTCCTTAAAATTAACCACTCCATGGTTGCATTAGAATGAAAGAACAATCTAGCATCTTTGTCAACTACTCTAAGTAGTTGTTGAAGAACCTGTCCGCCATCTTAAAAGCTCTTATAGTGACCACTCCAAGTGATGTCTCTGATGCATAGTTCATAACAGGAGCTTTGGTTGTTCCATTGATTCTTATTAGTTCCCTTGCAGAGGCTAGATAATAGCCCTAGAAACAAAACAAAGAAGTCAGTTCCACCATTCCATTGGTGGAGAGAGAGAGAGAGAAAGAGAGAGAGAGAAAATCAACTGATATTCTGATCCACCTGAACATATTTTGCGGCAACCATGGCAAGAATGCCTATAATGAGAACTTGCCATGTGACCGAAGCCATAATTCCAATCGTTGTCAGCAGTTCAACGCCAGCAGACACAACAAAGATAATGGAGAACGGTATGTCAAAATCCAAAATACTTAAGTCTGATGAAGCCTGCACAAGTGGAAATAATGAATGAAAATAAGAATGAATTCTGAAAGAAGTAAATGAAAATACACTTGTTGAAGATTGGATACACTTACTCGGATCAAAATCCTCCCTACAGGGGTTGAGTCAAAGAACAGCATGGGAGCCTTAAAGATAGCATCAGTGAAACCAGAATAAAAGGCTCTAGAAGCTTTCAATCCCATATGGGCTGCAAAAAATGACCTAAGATATACAAAGACAGCACTAAGTGTTGAAATTGCAGTATAAACACCGATGAGTACCCCATTGGTCACTTTAGGAATTTGAATGCCTAGAGCTAACCAATAAGTTGCAGCAGCCTGAAGACCAACAAAACCAGACTGTGTTATTATGCCTAAGCATAGAAGAAGTGTTCCTTTGGAAACAAATATATAGTCCCAAAAGGGCTTCCATCCAACATCTCCAATCTCTTTCCCTTCTTCTTCTGTTAGTTGCACCCCAGCTACACCCTTCACAGAAATATCCCCTTCACTATTATTTGCAGTGAGGTATGCCGCATGAGGTTCCTCTGGCCGAACCATATCTCCCTTTTCAGATTCTCCTTGGCTTTGATAATTGGAAGGACCCAATGTTGTCACTGCATCTTTATGAGCATTCACAAGCTGCTCAAATGCTGTTCCAGCTGTCAAAAGACTCTCATAGCTTCCAGATTGAGTAACTTGTCCACCCTCTATTACCTGTAAATATAAGATACTAGTTCCTTGTTAGTCTGACCAAATAAGGTTTCATGAACAACACAATTTGAATTTTTATTCCAAATTAAATTGAAATTTGAGGTAATAACATATACCAGAATCTTATCAACTTCTGAGAGAAATTCAACTTGATGAGTTACCAGAATTACAGTTTTCCTTGCTAGAGCGGCCATGACACAATCCTGCATAACTCAATTCAAATGGAGTGAAATCTTTCTACAATGAGACTAAATGTAGTTTTCATGCTTCTTAAAATTATTGAATGTGCCATTCTTACATGAAATAGAATTGCAGCAGTGTGTGCATCCACTGCACTGAAGGGGTCATCAAGAAGATAGATATCAGCATCACTATAGACAGCTCGAGCCAGCTGAATCCTCTGCTTCTGTCCTCCACTCATGTTAAGCCCCCTTTGGCCTATTTCAGTAAGATCACCATGGTCAAAACTATCAATGTCCTTATCCAGAGCACAAGCTTTTATGGCCTTATCATATTTGTTCTTGTCCATTGGCCTCCCGTAGAGTATGTTATCACGAACTGTCCCACTTTGTATCCAAGAAGTCTGAGAAACATAGGCCATGGTTCCAAATACATCAACCTGCAATAATAAATAAAGTTAGTATAAAAAACTTAGTACATCAAGTATATTAAATTTGTCATCCGTTTTAAACTCACAGTTCCTGAAATTTTGGGCATCTCTCCAAGTATAGCACATAAAAGTGATGATTTTCCAGCTCCAACTGGTCCACAAACTGCAACTTTCTGCTCCCTTTGCACTTCTAAATTCACATTTCTAAGAGTTGGAACTGTTGATTCAGGATACCAGCTGAAACTGCCTCTTTCTATTCTTAAGCTCTCATCTGAATTCTGTGATGACAACTTCCTTACTTCATTATCTTTCAGCTCGTCGTCAAGCAAAAAAACATTGAGACGATCAAATGAGACCTTGACTTGGATCATTACTGAAAGAGCCTCTGGTATCATTCTGACAGGTTCTCCCATGTTCCTTAGGGAAGCTAGAACCGTGAATATGGTACTTGCATTTAGAGGGACACTTTGGAAAACGATACATCCCAGAAAGATAACCGAAGAAATGATGGTGGGTGACATCCAATACATTAGAGTGCCATAAGCCCTTTTCATTTGTGAGTCAGTCAACCATATGAATTCACGTTCGCGAAGGGAATCGACTAACGTTTTGAATTTCTCTTCCCAGGATTGTAACTTAATGATTTTCATACTGTTCAGGATCTCAGAAGTGGCTCTGAGTCGCTCGTCTTGAGCTATCATGAACTGGGATTGACACTTTTGAAGTGCCTTTGCAAATGGCACATTCAGGAGACCACAAATGAAGAGAGGAATCAAACCAGGAAGAGCACCGAGACCCACCACCCAATAAAGAACACCAATGGTAAGGAATAGTTGCAGTGCATAGGTCCATGCTGAATGAAACCACCACGGGAACTCTCCCATTCGATAGGCATCGACTGCTATATAATTCACAATCTCCCCAGCTGAGTGCCTTCTCCTTCCCAAACTAGAAAGCTTCAGCTGCTTTTGATAAACTGCCACCATCAGGGCCGACCTCATCCTCATTCCACACCTCCTTGAGCCAAAAAACCAATGTCTCTGGCTCAAAGATTCAACCACTTTGGAAAGAATTAGGCACCCCAATATTTTGAGGCCTTCAGATAGATTTTCCTTGTCGCTATTTGAATAATTTACAAAAGCATAGAGTATAAGAGGAGAAACTGCAATTGAAATGGTCCTGAGGAATGCACAAAATGCTATCCATGTATTTTCTTTCATGTAAACTTTTGCTACAGTCTGCAGAACCAGGTTCCGGGTACTGCTTGGCCTCTTCTCCCTTGACAGTGAATCCCATGCATGAGCAAACTTTTGGTATGCTAAATCTGCTTCATCTTCAGCAACCAGAGAAGGGATGTCTTCAAGAGCTAATGTTTTTGAGGAGCCCAATTTAAGTAAAGGGTTTATCCAAGCAAATGTCAATTTGCTAAGAAAACTAGCATGCTCAAGTTCTGTTTTCTGGCTCTTTCCAGCAGACTTTCGGGCCAATAGAGGTTCAGAGAGGCTGTTATCTTGGGGATGCTGATAAACACATTGACTGAGGTTTCTAACAGCACACAGAAGAAGTAACAAGTTCACTGGCCATGTCATTGCATCAAACATGTGAATGTTGTGGGTTCTTATGAGTACTTCGATGTTATAAGCCGAGACCAATGAAAAGGAGGACACCCACCAAACAGAGTTTAGAACTTTGATCCATTTGGACCTTTGAACAAGCAAGGAAACTGTGTAAGAAAACCAAACTAGTCCTCTTACAAAGTAATCCAACCAGCCGAAGTGACCGGACACATCACTCTGGGCAATTAGATCCCATAAACCAGCAGCAAAATATGCAATGCTAGTAAGAGCGCAACAGATTGAGACAACTATAGAAAGTGATCCCTTCTGAATGGAACAGTAATATGATGCTTTCTTATAGAACCTATAAGAGCAAGTAAGCAGAAAACAAAGAGGAAGAGCAGATTTACGCCATTAATGATAGTTCTTTGAGTGCAGTAAGAACCCAATTCAAGTTCTCCATCACAAATCCATGAGAAAGTTCTCCCTGCATATCCATTTCCAAGGAAAACGATCAGAATCATCATAAAACTGCATGTTAAACACAGGGAGTTGGGAAATACAAGTGAAAAGAAGAAGTGCATGGAGTGCAGTTATATACACTCAGAGACACATGATCGAACAGAAAGGAGACGAAGATGTAAAACATGCTGATGAAGCTCATTCAAACACCACAATATTGAATTTTACTTCACTATAAATCTATAAGAGCAGCAAATTCACAACCGAAATTCTGTATAAAACATACCATGTTCATAGAAAAAATGATGCTGGGTACTTACCAAGTGAGCTCCTCAAAGAAGCCATACTTGTAGCAACTTCTGTGGTGAACTTAACTTGCTTCTGTACAGCAAGCACTCCAAACTATGCAGGAGATGAGCTCAAATATCAAGATATATCTTCATAGAAAGAAGTACCCACGTAATAAACTTCCACTGTGCCAATCACCAAACTAAACTGGCTTCTGTAGAATGTTTAGATAGCTCTCACATCAGCATCTGGTTTCATTTCCTTGGTTTGGTTGAATTATATGGACAGATTATGCTCACCAACGTGCAGAGAGGCGTTTCTTTGTCTTCATATATGCTGCACGTATACAATTTGGCTTCTTGCATTACTACTATTATTATATACAGACTTACAGACTTTTTGTTTGCCTATCCAATTTGCAAACCCACATGATTATCTTACAAATAAGGCAATGGTAAAAGTTCTCTCTTTTTAGTCACACTTGTTTAAACAAAACCCAGGTTTTTAATTTTACCTTTAATTCTTCTTTGAGTATTTTTTCACATTTATACGTCTAAACACCCAAGGGGTGTAGCCCAGTGAAAAAGGCATTGACTTGCAAACTAGAGGTCTCACAGCATCATAGTTGTGTGTATGTGAAGTCTCACAGCATTGTAGTTTAGACTATCGCTTGTATTATTAAAAAATATCTAAACATATACAATGTAAGAAAAGAACAGGAACAAGCTTCCATCTTTTTCTTTTGTAGCCAATCGTTGAAAACAAATTTCAAAACTTTAACCCTTTATTCTTACCAACACTAACTTTTAATCCAATCTCTCAAATCTTATTATCATCACATCACATGATCAAACGACAAATATCAACCCCATCGGGAATTTGATTCCTTACAAGAGGTGGAAGGACTCACTTGTCAATTTGATTTTGTGGGCTTTCAGATTTAGCCATCGTTCTTGTAACCATGTAAGCATGTGGCTCTCCTGTGTCCTGAATTGATTACAGGAACTTCAGGAAGGTTGAAGAAAAATATCAAACGAGAAATGTCAACCCTCATTCATTGGCAAATGGGCAATGATCACCTTCATCAAACAAAAAAATCGATCAGAAAAAAAACATATATCAATATCTGGAGCCATCGTAAACAAGTGTAACTCTCATAGTGGAGTCATGACATGAAAGTGATTTTGTGCTTTTCTTAGGGTAATGGAAAATGTTAAATCAAAAGGTTTGTAGCTGAAGTGGTAAGAGTATTTATTTTTATCTCCGAGTTCATATATTTGATTCCCCTGCTCTAATGTCGCTTGTATCCAAAATAAAAAGTCAAATGCCACCTTATGATTAAAAGTTGAATTATATTAGGCATATACTCCAACAAATAGGGAAATTAATTATAGGAAGATTCACTAATATACCCAATATAGGAGCTAAAATTATAAAAAAACCCTATATGAAATGGAATTTATAAATACACCCAAAGCCCATTTATAACATAACAAAAAGGCTTTTAACTTCTTTTAAATTACAAAATTGCCATTGATTTCTTAAAACAAACCCAAACCCAAAATTTCATAAAAAAACCCAAAACACTCAATAGGGTATCAAAGTAATTTAATAATTAAAATTAAATTTAATAGTACCATTTGTCATTTTTTGGGTTTTTTTTGGGTATGTTTATAAAAATGAAATGATGTAGGGTTTATTTATAGTTTTAGTGCTAAGAATGGGTATATTACTAAATATCTCTTAATTATAATGCGTATTTGACATACTGATGTTCGTACAAATGATACCACGTGTACTAAATTCAAAATTCAATACACAAGTTACCATTTGTATGAATTCAATACATCATATCAAGAGGTCACATAGTGTATCTATCATGTACATGGCAGACAGACATGCCATAAGAGACATTCGCTGAATCTTTAACCCCTTATTCAGTCTCTCAAATCTATCTTATCATCATCACATGAAACGATAATATCAACCCATCAGGAATCACTTGGCAATTTGATTTTGTGGGCTTTCTGATTTAGCCATCTTTGTCCTGAATCTATTACAGAAGGAGAAGGGTTGAAGAAGACCCTCATGTATTGTCAAATGGGCAATGATCACCGTTATTAAAAATAAAACACATATCAATATTTGGAGCCATAAGATTTGAGTGGGCGGTCTTTAACCAAATATTCTCATAATGGAGTCATGCCATGAAAGTGATTCTGTGCTTTTTTTAGGATAAAGAAAAAGATAGATTCACTATTATACCCAATATAGGAGCCTAAATTATAAGAAAATCTTATATAAAATAGACTTTAGAAACACACCCAAAGTCATTTACAATATAACAAAAGACTTCTAACTTATTTTAAATTATAAAATTGCCATTGATTTCTTAAAACAAACCCAACCCAAAAACCTCATAAAAAGCCCAAAACACTTAATAGGGCATCAAAGTAATTTAATAATCAAAATTAAATTCAATATGGCCAGTTGTCATTTTTTGGATTTTTTTAGGTTTGTTTATAGAAATTAAATAGTGTACGGTTTATTTATAGTTTTAGTACTAAGAATTGGTATATGACTAAATATCTTAAAGAAAAATGTCACATGTCAACTTATGTGGCTTATTATGGTTGAAGAAAGTTTAATTATATTAGGCATAGGTTCAAACAAACAGAAATAATAACGTATATTCGATACGTACCGTGACATTCTTGACATGTATTAAATTTAAAATTCAATACATATATGTTATCCAAAAACCTTTATATTATAAATAATATATAAAATAAAATAGAAAACTTTTAAGATAAAGTAAAACTAAAAAGAACAAATAATAGGTAAATAAAAATATAATAAATTAAGATTAAGAAAGCAAGCCTGGTATGGTGAAGCACGTCAAAGACGTTGTTGTAAAGTCTTTGTAGCCTTCCTACGTGTAGGTACTGACGGTCTACAAGACTCTAAGATACAACTCCCAATACACAGGCTCAGGGTTCTCTATGAACACGTTCACAGTCAGATATAGGTCTTCAAGTCACAGAACTATTGTCCAAAAATAATAATATAAGTAGAGAAAGTATAAAAGGTAAAATAGGAGAGAATTAGATTGTGCTAGTGGTTGTGTCATACTTATATGGTAGTTTGGTAGTGTGTCAAATGAGAAGAAGGAGTGGCTTTTTATAGGCATTCAAGAACATGATCCCGAGCCTCTGCATTTAGCTCCGGTGCATTTACCCGCATTTCGTTAAATTTAGACCACTCAAACAATCTAACCACTTAACACATCACACATCATCAAACTTTAAATTAGGTTTTTTTTTTCCTTCTTCCAAAACTCACGTTAACATCTAAAGGAATTTTAACGGGCTTCCTCCTCCTCTTGTGATCGAGTTTCATACAACATTAAACTATAAAATTAATGAATTGAATGTAGAAATAAACCCAAAAATTAAATATTTATAACCCCGCAATAAATAAAATAAAACAGTCAAAATAATTAAACAAATCAAAACGGTAAAATTTTAAAAACCTTTTAAAATTCCAACATATATGTTATACTCTGTATGAATGTTATGTGGTGTATCAAATACACCTAATAATTTTCTTACGTAAACCGAAGATCTTTATATGACAAATAGGTCGCACTTATTCAAGAATATTTACTAATTCGTAATTGAAATCTGAATAAGAAGTTGAATTTTGATTACAGATTACTCGTGTGTTTACTTCATATGGAAGAATGAAAATGAAAGTGGAGCCCACACAAAATCAGGAATTCAACTCTTGATTTTGGAGGAATTGGAATCTTGAGTGGGAGGTGGTATTCTAATTCTTGGAGAACTAACTCATCATGAATCCATTTTTTTTACCCATTATATCCTCACCCAATTTTTAAATTTTCAAATTTTTCATATACTTTAACCCAACAACAAAGGCATTTTAGTAATCAAACTTATTTCAATTAATTTAGTAAACAACTTATAAGGAATTCATACCACTCCTACCCTGATTTCATATGGTTTAGTAGACAATTTTAATGGGAATCTGGATTCTAACTCATCTCAATCCAACTCCTCCTCACTCGATTACGGATTAGTAAACATACCTTTAGTTCAAATAACTTATTTTTTAGACAAATACTTTTAAGTTCGGGATTAGGGCCCCATTTAGAAAACTATTATAGCAAACCACTTAAAATGTGTTTCCTCCAGCAATGTTCTCTATTTTGGCTAATTTGAATTATTTTATTATTATTTTATCTTTCTCTTGCAAATCAAATATATTTTTTTTAAAGTAGAAACCTAACCCCACCAACCTCCCAAATGTTTTTATCTCTCTCTCCCTTTTTCTCTCTTCTCCTAGCCAAATTCTATGTCCTCCTCTCTACATGTAGATAGCCAAAAGTTGGTTCTCCAAAATAGAGAGCCAAGTAGGGAGTCTGCTGGAGGATAATTTTCCTTCTTTTTAGCCAAAATGACTAGGGATGAGAGAATAGAGAGTCTGTTGCAGATGCTCTTAAAATTTGACTAAAATTTGAAGACTCTCCTAGAGACGCTCGAGCCTACTCATTCTAGTTCACATGAACCCAAATTGCGAATGATTTTACACACTATCCTCACATGTGGCTCCTACAAATTCATAGAACTTTTGTTTTTCCATTACCATGAAAATGGCTGGAACCCATTAAAATAAGTAGCTATAGCTATGGTATTTCTCATTGCCATATGCATTGAGTTTTCATTTTCCACACCAAACTCATCATGAATAATCATTCTTTGCAGATCCACCAATCAACCTTTTTGTATATATGAGGTGGCTATAATTTTGCAGCTTGTTCATTCATCTATGATTATTACAAATAAATAAATAAATTATTTTTTTATAATTAAAAAAACCCAACATTGTGTGGACATGAGACGACCCCTCTTATCTTAGGCATGACCAAGACTTTTCAGTGTTGAAAACACATGCATTTCACTTTCACGAGTTAATTACATGCCAGTCTCTATCTCTTTATTTAATAATTAATCACCATTGAAGAAGAACATGCCGAAAAATATTCACTTCCATCTTCTTGATAGAAGACGAAACGAATGCGTCAGTATGCGGTGGTTCACAGCTTGCATGCGCATGCTGCTATCCATATAAACTATAATAATTCCATGAAAAATACATGTCATTATAAAATGGTAATATTCTAGCAATGGGCGGATGAAAACATATATGTGGATGTTTTCAGAATATATTCAGTTTCTCAAACTTGACAAGCATGTTAATTGATTTTTTAAAATGAGAGTGAGAGGGGGATTCAAGCTCGAGACATCTTTTATCTTTGAAAAGATAAATACTAGCTAGCATACCAAGAGCTAGTTGGTGTATGCTCAACATTTTAATATGGAATATAAAACTGCAGTGAGCACGTTGCCTTTTGCTAATCATTTTGTCTTGAACTTGAGCCTTATAAACGAAAGGCTTTTATATTCCTTTAGTTTTTTCTTTTAAAATTTGACAAGTCTCAAAATTCAATTTGTTAGGAGCGTATCTACAAAGAGCATGCAAAATTCTTTTTTTTTTTTTTGGTATATATATGTAGTTATCAATTTGTTAGCCTTGAGATTATATTTTTAATGAGGCAGGATAGAAGCCAAGCATATCCTAGCTGAGAAAACCAAGCAGATCTGGATCCAATATTAATAATGCACCTATAATTTATTGATATCAGATGTGGCACGTGACATAGATCTTACTCACAGGGAAAGAAGCATTGATTAACCAAACGTGGGGAAAGTTGAATCTCCCTCCTCAATAATTTTTTATTTTTTAAATAAAGGAAACGTTAATGAACTGGTTGTCTTTTTTGTACCGTTGCCTACTAATGATTTGGGTACTCTGTCGTCGTTTTTTAGGCTGTAATATTAGCTTTGTGGCCATTGAGCTTTACTATTAAATATTAAATTGCGTGTTGTTTTTCTTCACTTCGTCGGAAGAAGTTCTAAATTCGAATTACTCTTCTTTTAAAAGTTAAGATAAGTTTGATCATAAAATTCCTTCAGGCCATGAGGGATTCATAACAATTTGAAGTGGAATTATTGCTGGACTTGGTGTTTCAGTCAGATTCAAAGTAAAACCCCACACCATGATCATTGATCATTACATATATAATGTTAGGAAATCATGTATCTGTGTCACATAAGTCACATATCTGTGGTGTATGAAATGATGAGGGTTCTTTGCTTTTTGGTTCACTTACAAAAGAGGTGCTTTATATTGTAATGAGCTGTGGTACAATAGTCACCCGCGCTTCCGAGAAAGAATCAATGGGTAAAAATGTCAGTCCAAGATCATTTAAAATTAATTGAGAAGAAAAATTATTTAAATTGTTATGGAAAGCTTTAATTCAATCCAATGCACCTAACTTCGATTTCCCTCTCTTCAAAATCATGAATTTCTCTCCTTCGGCTTATAGTAAAAGGTCAAGAAAATCATGTCCATTCTTTTATTTTATGCGCAAAACTCCCTTTAACGTCTAGGTTAAAACTTCCAACTTCTTATTTGGGAAAGTGGGAAAGATTGTCACAAAAAAAGAAAAGAAATAAGAGCACAAATTTTGCTTTTCCATTGCTTCCCTAAAGATTGTGCATATATAGTAAGAGCACAAATGCTCAATGAGTGAACCAACTAGAATTATCATGTGTTTGGTGCATTTGTGGTGAAACATGACTTGGTCATTGCAGAAAGGGAAATGACCCCTTCAGCCACTAGTTCAAGTAGAAAGTTCTTGGCTGATGCTTTTGTCTTCTTTATCTTTTTCCTCTTATTCTTTATCTTTTTCCATTAGTTCATGTAGAATGTCCAACATCAGATATGTAAAGAAATAGCTTCTCGTCCAAGTTCCTCGAGATTATTATTATTTTTTTTTTACAATTTATTAGTAATGATTTAAATCTGTTTCCTTTTCTTTAGATGGATTTGTGATGGGTGACATTTTGGGCATCAGGTTCTCTATCTTGCCGCTTGACCAAGATTCAGCTACAAGCTTGGAGAAGTAGGAGTTGGTATCCAAGAGCTTTGAAGGCTCTTCATATTCCACCAGCTGCCCTACATACAGATCATTATCAATTTACTTCACAACATATCATAAACTCACCATGTGAGTCTAGCAGATTAGGTAGGCTACTGACTGTTGCCTTGAGCTGACACTTCTCTAGTGCCTATAAATAAATGATTAAAATCATCTAAACATTATACGATGCGTGAACTGGGTTTCATTAGTAAAACTTGCTGAGAAACAATGGCAAATCTATGCAGGAAAAGCCTTTTCACAACTAGAGTCAGTTGGCTCACCCTCCCTCCATATTTCTCAGTGATCAAATTGAAATTTCGTTTAAAACTCAAAAACTTTAGAGGTATTTAACCCAAAAACTTAAAGGAAACTTAACGTCATCAAGTCTATAAATTGTAGGCTTTGGTTAATATAGTGACCAATTTGACTAAATTTTTTTTTCAGTGACCAAATTAAAATTTCATGCAAAACCTAATGACCAAAAAAGTATTTAACCCTAATAATAATAATAAAGAGCATCTCTGTGTTGAAGCTTCCCAATCATTCATATATTAAGCTTTGGTATGGAATCATTGAGCTCTGAAGCAAGAGAGGCACAAAGAAATGTTGCCCTTCCATGGCTTCCCTAAAGATTGTGTGTGTATAATAAGAGCACCAATGCTCAATGAGTGAACCAACCGTCTTGTGTTTGGTCAATTATCAGAAGAACAAAATGATTGAACACATTCATGAAAATCAACTTTTTCAGAAAATAGTGATTTGTGATGTATGATTGTAGGTATATAGTCATGTGTCCAACAAGATGGTGCCTGATGGCCTCATTCAGATAAGGAAAACATGAACTGGGCATTGTAGGGCACAGCCTTATGAAAGGGAAATGACCCCTTTCGCCACTAGTTCTGTACTAGTTCTTAGCTTATGCTGGTGTCTTTTTTGTCGTTTTTTTATGTTGCTATTTGGCAGTTGTAGGTGGGAATCTGGACCGTAGGTACCTAAATTAAACAAACAATAATACTGGAGCCACCAAATATATTCACCAAATTATGCATCAGTTGGGTAATTATGATGTCCAACATCGAATCTATTGCATCTATATATATAAAGCAAAATGTAGAGAATGGTGAAACATTCAAAATATCAGAAAATGTCATTTGTTAATGCAAACAATAGAATAGAAATTATTAATTAAATAAGAATAATATGATAAATTCACACTTTTTCATATTAAACAAAATTAAAATTAAAAACAAAATAAGATAACGGGTCTTATTTTTATAGAACACGACTACCCATTATTATTTTAATTCTAAAATAAAATATAAAAATATAAAAATATATGAAAAAAAAACAATTGGCACACGCCTGGGGCTAGTATGTTTAAAGAAAGAGAACTGACGTAGAATTTAACAGTTATAATTCTGTTCCTCAAAACATCACCGATCATCGAACTTGAACCAGCGGCTTGCCTTTCGGATCTGCTTGACATGAACAATAACCAAAGCATCTGGTGTTATAGTTCAGAATGCAAATACAGTACATCAAAAATCAGGCAACGCTAAGTGTCTGGATGAACCGTGTCAAAAAAAATATACCAACAGATAGATACCAAACTACTTTTTTCTTAGATTCTTAGAGAAAAAAAAAACCTAAAACCTCCAATCTGGCAAAGGGTCGTACGTTTTGTTCCTCTTTTGTGTTGAAGACGGTAATGCCTGTGATCCTCTGAACTCCAAGTTGAGTAGCAATGAGGTTCTGCATTGGCAAAGAGCCAAGAAATTACTCACAGAGATGAAAATACCAGAGGCAAATTGGAACCAGATGAGCAAATAATCTTACAACTAGTGGTTAGGGAAAATTTAATGTTTATTACTTCTTACTATTTTCTCGTCTCCTCTCTGGAATATCAGTTCTTAAAAAATGCAGATATAAAATTTTAGAAATAAAGTGTGACTTAGGCGAAAGGTCCAATTCATGCTGCGAAAGGGGATGGCCAGTTTAGGTTGCTGAGCTTAGAACACTAATCTCAGAACAACAATACATGTACTGAGTACTGACGTCCATATTAAAACTATCATTATCAATCATCTCCATTGTGATGATCACTTCAACAAAAGTGTTTAAACTGAATCCATAATGTGCTGGTGTAATTATTCTCCATACCATATGGAAATCGGTGGAACCAAAAGCCTTTCGTACTCCATTGGATTATATCTAAGAGACTACCAGCACATTTAATGAATGCAATCCAACGGCCCAAGATTAGAAGTATATAATCAATCCTTAACATAAAATATTTTATTCGAGAATCTCCCTTCTATTAAGAATTTTTAATGGGGGTTACTTTCTTGACGTGAAATGAACATATATATATATAATTGGGGCAAAGTGAAATGAATATTTATCTCACATCTTTTATTTTGTTTTTTGTTTTTTTTTTTTTGATTTTTTGTTTTTTTTTTTTTTTTAGCATCAACTTAAATTAAGTTTTTCGGCGTTTACTTGTTACTTGAGCTTTCGTTTCTCACCTTTTCTTTCCCATTGGTCTTTTCCAAAATCTCCAAACTCCCTATGTGTTCATCTCCAAATCTGCTAAGGCCTATGATCCCATTTTAAAGTGAGGACAAGATTTTCTTCAGACCAAGAGCAATCTAACAGCAAATAGAAATAGTTACAAATTACTATAAAATGATTTCATAAATCTGTTTTCTTTTCTTTAGATAGATTTGTTTGGGCATCAGGTTCTCCTGCAACTTGACCAATATTCAGCTACAAGCTTGGAGAAGTAGGAGTTGGTATCCAAGAGCTTTGAAGGCTCTTCATACTCCACCAGCTTCCCTATAAACATACACAAACAAATTAAACCACCCTGCATATTAGCAATAGGCTTCATATAAAAATATCACAAGGTCACAGGCCCTGCAGTTTTGATTGAAATTCTGTGATAAAGAGATAACTGGAACATATAAAAGCTTACCATAGGAGAGGACCATGACCATGTCACTGTCTATAACGGTTGGAACTCTGTGAGCTACAGTTATCACTGTGCATTCTGCAAATTCCTGCCTGATGATTCTCTGCAGAACCGCGTCTGTCGAAGAATCAATGGACGCCGTAGCCTCGTCTAGAACTAGAATTCTGTTCCTCTTGAGAAGGACTCTGCCAAGGCAAAAGAGCTGGCGTTGTCCCGCACTCCAATTTTCCCCTTCATCACTTACTGTTCAAATCATTTTAGTCACATAAACAGCATTATCAATATATTCACAACCTCAATATATACTTGATGGAGTTGAGTGCTTAAGTAAGATGTTTAGCATATATTTTCTCATTTGTTTTTAAGGAACGTCATAAACTCACCAGATGAGTCTAGAAGATTAGGTAGGCTACTGACTGTTGCCTTGAGCTGACACTTCTCTAGAGCCTACAAATAAATAATTAAAGTCATCCATAATGTATTAGGACAAAACAGAAGTACATCTAAACATTAAATGATGCATTAACTTCATCAGTAAAACTTGCTGAGAAACAATGTAAAAATTATACAGGAAAAGCCTTTTCATCAGAACTAGAGTCAGTTAGCTCACTCTCCATATTTCGTCATCGGAGTAAAGGCCTAGAGGATCCAAGTTGGTTCGGATGCTACCCCTGAAAAGAGTTGGTTCTTGAGGGATGATGCTGAGCTTCATTCTCAAATCTTTTAGACCTAGAGAGCAGATGTCAATGCCGTCTATAGTAATTGTACCACTCACTGGCTCTACTAAGCGAAACAAAGCACTTATGAGTGTAGTTTTTCCACTTCCTGTTCTTCCCACAACTCCTACTCTAGTTCCTCCTTTGAATGCGCATGTGATACCCTTCAGAACTAGAGGAGCATTTGCACGATATTTTATCTTTAACCAACGAAAGCAAATGATTAGTAATTAGATTTTTTGATGATCAGATGATAAGGTGGTTAAGAAACTCCAATGAGGAAGCTCATCTGCATGATTTTGAACATCTTACCTTCAGAGAATACAGCTCTATCCTACCCTTGTTAGGCCATGAAGATGGTGGCCTCTTGTCCTCCACAATTTCTGGAGGCTCTGGTGAAATCTGCATGAATTGCTTTATCCTTTCAACTGAGATTATGTAGTTTGATAAGTTACAATACCATCGAGTCCCGGCAATTTGTGTCACAGTTAGTGATAAGCCATAAGAAAGAGAAAGTCCCACAAGCCCTGCAGACATCCACAAAACAAAGACAAATGTTAAAAACCTAAAATTCGATTTTGTGAATAATGGACCTCGCATATAGATACCTGGATCAACATAACCCTTAGGGAGAAAAACAAGGAAAAAAGCAGCCACAAAAAAGGTCAAATTCTGAAGTGCTTCTGTCCTTATAATTAACCACTCCATGGTTGCATTAGAATGAAAGAACAGTCTGGCATCTGTGTCAACTAGCTTTAAGTAGTTGTGGAAGAACCTGTTTCCCATTTTAAAAGCTCTAATGGTGACCACTCCGAGTGATGTTTCGGCTGCATAATTCATAACAGGAGCTTTGGTTGTTCCATTGATTCTTATTAGTTCCCTAGCAGAGGCTAGATAATAACCCTTGGAACAAAACAAAAAGTTATGTCCATCATATACAGGTGAAGAAAAAGAGAGAGAAAATTAAGAAATTGATATTCCAATCCACCTGAGCATGTTTTGCAGCAACCATGGCTGGAATGCCTACAATGAGAACTTGCCACGTGACAGAAGCCATAATTGCAAACGTTGTCAGCAGTTCAATGACAGCACAGACAGTAAAGATAATGCAGAAAGGTATGTCAAAATCCAAAATACTTAAATCTGATGAAGCCTGCAAAATTAGAAATACTGAATGAATTCTGAAAATAAGTACTTGTAGTACACCTACAACGAAAGTGAGGAGTATATTTTTTCAGGTGATGTTAAAGATTGGATGTACTTACTCATGTCAAAATCCGCCCAACGGGGGTTGAGTCAAAGAACAGCATGGGAGCCTTAAAGATAGCCTCAGTGAAACCAGAGAAAAAGGCTCTAGAAGCTTTTAATCCCATATGGACTGCAAAGCATGTCCTTAGATACACAAAGACAGCACTAAGTGTTGAAATTGCAGTGTAAACACCAATCAGCATGCCAATGGTTATATTAGGAATTTGAATGGCTAGAGCTAACCAATAAGTTGCAGCAGCCTGAAGACCAATAAAAAAAATTGTGCTATTACCCCTAAGCACAGAAGAAGTGTTACTTTAGAAACAATAATATAATCCCAGAAGGGCTTCCATCCATCACCACCAATCTCTTTCTCTTCTTCTTCGGTTAGTTGCACCCCCGGTGCACCCTTCAAAGAAATATCCCCACCACTGTTCTTTCCAGTGACACAAGTCCCGTAAGACTCCTCTATCTGAATCATATCTTCTTGGCTTTGATAATTTGAAGGTCCTAATGTTGTTACTGCATCTCTGTGAGCATTCACAAGCTGCTCAAATGCTGTTCCAGCTGTCAAAAGACTCTCATAGCTTCCAGATTGAGTAATTTGTCCACCTTGCATTACCTGGAAACGAAATGATATGTGCAAAGACATGTGTTTCTTATTTATATGTTACCAAATACTCGTTGGGGGATCATAAATAATACATTTAAAACTTAACCACAAATAAAATTGGAATGTGTACTAATAATAACATACCAAAATATTATCAACTTCTGGGAGGTATTCAACTTGATGAGTCACCAGAATTACAGTTTTCTTTGCTAGAGCACCCATGACACAGTCCTGCAAAAGTCATTCAAATTGAGTAAATGGTTCCTATAAGCACAACGTGACTAAATTTGCTTATTGTACTTCATAAAACCCTTGAATTTGTTTTTCATACATGAAATAGAATTGCAGCAGTATGTGCATCCACTGCGCTAAAGGGGTCATCAAGGAGATAGATATCAGCATCACTATAGACAGCTCGCGCCAGCTGAATCCGCTGCTTCTGTCCTCCACTCAAGTTAATCCCCCTCTGGCCTATTTCAGTAAGATCACCACGGTCAAAACTATTAATGTCCTTATCCAGAGCACAAGCATTTATGGTCTTCTCATATTTGTTCTTGTCCATTGGCTTCCCATAAAGTATGTTATCACGAACCGTCCCACTTTGTATCCAAGAAATCTGAGAAACATAGGCTATAGTTCCAAATGCATCAACCTGCTTGCAAGCAATAAAAGAGTAAGCAACTGAAATTTTTGGAAAAAAACTTGGTGCATGATAGTATATAAAATATTTTCATCCGTTTTTAAACTTACAGCTCCTGAAATTTTTGGCATCTCTCCAAGTACAGCATATAACAGTGATGATTTTCCAGCTCCAACTGGTCCACAAACTGCAACTTTCTGCTCCCTTTGCACTTCTAAATTCACATCTCTCAGAGTTGGAACTGTTGATTCAGGATACCAGCTGAAAATGCCTCTTTCAATTCTTAAGCTTTCATCTGATTTCTGTGACGTTAAGTTCATTATTTGATCATCATTCAGCTCGTCTTCGACCAAGAAAGCATTTAGCCGGTCAAATGAGACCTTGACTTGGATCATTACTGAAAGAGCCTCTGGTATCATTTTGACAGGTTCTCCGATGCTCCTTAATGAAGCTAGAACTGTGAATATTGTACTTGCATTTAGAGGGACACTTTGGAAAAGGATACATCCCATAAAGATAACTGAAGAGATGATGGTAGGTGACATCCAATATAGTAAATTGCAATAAACTTTTTTAAATTGTGACTCAGCCAACCATTTGAGTTCATGTTCACGAAGGGAACCAACCAAACTTTTGAACTTCTCTTCCCAGGATTGTAACTTAATGATTTTCATGCTGTTCAGGATCTCAGAAGTGGCTCTCAATCGCTCATCTTGAGCTATCATGAACTGGGACTGAAACTTCTGAATTGCCTTTGCAAACGGCACATTCAGGAGACCACAAATGATGAGAGGAATCAAACCAGGAAGAGCACCAAGACCTACCACCCCAAAAAGAACACCAACAGAGAGGAGTAGTTGCAGTGCATAGCTCCATGTTGAATGGAACCACCATGGGAACTCTCCCATTCGGTAGGCATCAACTGCTATATAATTTACAATCTCCCGAGCAGAGTGCCTTCTCCTTCCCATACTAGAAAGTTTCAGCTGCTTTTGATAGATTGCCGCTATCAAACCTGACCTCATCCTCATTCCAGACCTCCTTGAATCAAAAAACCAATGTCTCTGGCTCAAACACTCAACCAACTTGGTAAGAATTAGGCACCCCACTATAGTGATGCCTTCAGAGAGACTTTCCTTGTCACTATTTGAATAATTTACAAAAGCATATAGTATAAGAGGAGATACTACAACTGAAATGGTCCTGAGGAATGCACAAAAGGCTATCCATATGTTTTCTTTCATGTAAACTTTTGCTATCGCTCGGAGAGCCAGGTTTCCTGTACTGCTTGAGCTCTTCTCCCTTGACAATGAATCCCATGCATGAGCAAACTTATGGTATGCCAAATTTGCTTCATCTTCTGAAACCAGAGAAGGGATGTCTTCAAGAGCTAATGTTTTTGAGGAACCCAAGTTTAGTAAAGGATTAATCCAAGAAAATGTCAATTTGCTAAGGAAGCTGGCATGATCTAGATCTGTTTGCTGGCTCTTTCGAGCAGACTTTGTAGCTATTAAAGGTTCAGATAGGCTGTTTACTTGGGTATGTTGATAAGCAAAGTGACTGAGGTTTCTAAAAGCACACAAGAGAAGTAAAAAGTTCACTAGCCATGACAGTATGTCGAAAAGGTGAATGTCAGGGGTTCTTAAAAACATTTCGATGTTTAGAGCCGAGACCAATGAGAAGGAGGACACCCACCAAACAGAGTTTAGAACTTTGATCCATTTGGACCTTTGAACAAGCAAGGAAACTGTGAATGAAATCCAAATTAGTCCTTGGACAAAGTAATCCAACCAGCCAAAGTGAGTGGATTCAACACTTTGGGCTATTAGATCCCATAAACCGGCTGCAAAATATGCAATGCTGGTAAGAGCGCAACAGATTGAAACAAGTACAGAGAATTGGTCCCTTCTGTTGGGATCATTACCTATTATATGATGTTTTCTAATGAAATCTATGAGCATAAATAGGCAAAAAAGAAAGGCGAAGAGCAGATTTACGATGTTAATGATACTTGTTTGAGTGCAGTAAGAACCCAAATCAAATTCTCCATCACACATCCGTGAGAAAGTACTCCCTACAATAAATCCATTGGATGGAAGAACATATCAGAATATTCATCATATAAGTTGGAAAACATAAGTAAATGTGAAGAAGTGCATGCAATTGTGTATGTAAATATAATTTATTTATACAGCCAAAGGGAGACATTGCATCAAACAGAAAGAAGGCAAAGATGTAAAGCCATACTGATGAAGTTTTTCCAATACCAAGAAATTTAATTTCACTTCAATATGGAAACATAAAATTTTATTAGCCAATTCACCATATCATATACCATATAAACACAAGAAACTAAGAGATAAAAAATAAAAAATAAAAATCATATGGGTTACTTACCAAGTGAACTCCTCAAAGAAGCCATAAATTTGTAGCAACTTGTGCCGTTAACTTAACTTGTTTCTCTGTAGCACCCCCAACTATGTGGGAGGAGCAAAAATGTCAATGCAATTTCATTGGAAGGAACAAGTACCCCCTTAAGTTCCTCTCTCATAATCACCAAAACAGGCCTCTTTAGAATCCTTAAGAGAGCCCTCACATCAGCATCTTGTTTCATTTCCTTTGTTTGATTGTATGGACAGGTTTGAGATGCAATTTTTTGTCTTGCATTACTATTTTAAACAATGTTTTCAGACTTTTGCTTGTCTCTACAATTCACATGATCATATATTTGAGGCATAGTAAAAGTGCATTTCTTTATTTAGTCCCGCTTGATTGCACAATCCAAGTTTTATTCTATTTTTAATTTTTCAATAATTTATTAAGTTTTAGATGCCTACTAGTACTGGACATGTAATGTAAGAACAACAACAAAAACAAATTTCCACCTCTTTTTTTTCATATTTTTAACCGAACACTAATTATCTATCCACTCTCAAATATTCCCAAGTTACTAACAACCAACGTCACTGAGAAACCAATAGCAATTTGATTATTTAGAAAACATGAAAGGAAGAAAAACTTTAGTGCGGGCATCCGTTATGCATGGTAGTAGTACTATTAGTAGAGTCAAGTTAAAAGATGACATGTGTCTCGAATTTGTGTATTGAAATGGACTCTGCGACTGCAGTCATACTTCTCCAAAAATCTTCTCTCTTTGTTCTACATCTGATGACATCTTTTTTGTCAAGTTGCAACGCTCTTATAGGAAGAAAAATAGGGTGGCTAACTGTTTAGTGAAAGGAACCTATAATTTTGATTTGGGGGTTTTTTTGCTTGATAAGATTCCTAGCTGGATTGAGGCTACTTTTGATGATGATTTGTTAAGAGTTCCTAGAACTTGTACAGTCTCTGGCATTTAGTTTTTGTGTGTTTATGGATTAATCCCCCCATTTCATCCACACAAAAAATGACATGCGTCTAAATTCAGTTATCAATTTTTATTTCTTAAACACGTGTCATCTCTTCACTGAAATGTAACATAAAGAAAAATTGCAATCCAAACAGAAATTTGATAATTGCATCAAGAAATCACTGGAGCATTACTTGTTCTTTTCTTAGTTTAGTTTTTTATTTTACTTAAACCAAATATATGGAATAATTGGTATTTGGGCTATGAATGTTTTAAATCTTTGGGCTTTTCTTATATTTTGGTCTATTTATAAGTCCATTAATTAGACCCAAAACTCTTTTCAATTTCTGGGTCCAAACTTCCAAGCTATGTGGGCTTTCCTTTGTGTGTGTGTGTGTGTGAGACATTTAATATGAAACAACAAAGGAGAAGTGGGAAAGCTTCAATATATAAAATGAAGAATGTTTTAAATCTTTAAGCTTAGTAAGACAAAACAATGCTGCAAATTTTGTTCATCCATGTCTGCATGTGCTCTCTATCAAGTTTTTGAATTAATAAGACAAAAAAATATTAATTGAATATTTAAAATTAAGAGGTGAAAAAAGAGCGCCCCTGATTCCCTGGCATGCATGATATAAAATTCAGAAAGAAAAAAAAGGACTCATCAGGACTGCAATCATAAATTTCTGCAAACATCTTGCAATCATAATAAACAGACAAGCTCCTATATCTTTTTATTATTATTATTATTCTTCTTCTTCTTTTTTTCTTTTTTTTTCTTTTTTTCTGCGGAAGCTTCCATTTTAAGTGGCTGCAGGGGCAAATATTTGGAAGGCCATGGCCCATTAATTCATCAAGCTTTTGCATGGAATCATTGAGTTCTGAAAGAGAACACAAACTAAGCTGCAAATGCTGCACTTTGTAGAAGCCGTGGAGCCCCCCAACCCCGAGACAAAGAAATTTTGCTTTTCCAATTGCTTCCCAAACATTGTGTATAATTTATATAAATTAAAACACAAAATTTGCAAAGTATCCACTACCACTGGTATAGTGGTTTGGAGTAATTGCTTTCTCAGAAAATGTCCTATGTTCGAGTCTTGGAATCTGTATAGTGTGTGAGTTTAGTATACCATTACCCCTTTCAATAGGAAAATTCCTCAAAAAACACAAAATGTTCAATGTGTGAATGGGCTCAACCAAAATGAGGACCTTTGCATAATAATTGAGGATGATAGGTTGCATATGCATAATGCTAGGGTGGATCGTTGGATCTTTGAGTTGTCTTTTACAAAATTTCACTGGTGAAACTTTTATCATATATTTGGTGGGTTGTGTGAAAAATTGATTGAACACGCATGAAAGATCAAATTTTTTTGCATTTTGGTGATGTACCTGCATAGCATGTGCCCAGCATGTTGAGGGCCATCATTGAGATAAGAAAACATGAATTGGGCATGTAGGGCATACTTCTTTTATGGAAGGAAAATAACCATTGATGCCTTCTTCTGCCACCACAGTACTTTAACTTCACCTAGCAATTTCTTAGCTATACTTATCCCCAGAGGCGGCCCATGGGGTGTGCGAGGTGTGCGACCGCACAGGGCCCCCAAAATTTAGGGGCCTCCAAATTTTTCCAAGTCAACCCATTAAATTAACTAAAACATGAAAATAAATATTAAATATTAAATATCACCCCACAACACCACATTCAAGGCACCAAAACCAAAATTGAATTGAATATTAATTATCAACAAATTCTACGACTTAGAGAGTAGATGCCCTAATTTAATTCATTTTCCTCTTCCCAACTCTCAAGCTGCAAAACCATTCTAATATTCTTTTATCTTTCAGTAAGTCTTTCTCACTCTCCTCCATCAAAATAAAGTCATTTCTCTTCAGTACCAATGTACCACCCTTTTCCATCAACTTTTGGATTGTAAAAACCCAAGCTTTAGCCATTTCCCCAAAATCACAGTTCTTTTCTCCCTCCCTCATTCACATGAGAATTCACCAAGCATTGAAATTGGAAAATCAATTTATCAGCTATGTGATTTGGAAGGGTGACTAAAGAAATTTTTCTGGGAAATTCTTTCTGAATGTGTTCTTCCCGTGTTAGAAATTTTTGTTTCTATATGGAAATTTTTTTTTTCCTACTTGTATATATAGGGCCTCGACATCCATATTTGCACAGGGCCTCCAAAATCAATGGACCGGCTCTGCTTATCCCTTTTGGATAGGAAGTTATTAGGACCGGTAATAGCAAGGTTGATCAATCTATATATTTCCAATTTAAGCAATTTAATAGAAATAGTAAATAGTTAACGAGGTCTAACCCAGTGGAAAATGACATTGACTTGCATACTAGTAGTCTCATGTTCAAACTCTTATGCCCTCTCGTGTAGTTTAGACTATCGCTTATATTTATAAAGTACAAATAGTGCATAAGCTTTCGGGGTGAGAGCATAATATACCATAAATTGAATTAGGATTTTGCTAACTTTTGGTCTCTCTCTGAATTTTAGGACCAGGACCACTATTAATTTGGACTTCCCCCAGTCATTCAGAGCATTTCTTTGAAGGCTTGGTCAGATTGTTCTTCCTTGTTTTTTTTTGGGACCATTTGCAGTCCTCGGTGTAAAAAATGGAAATAAAAAAAACCTTGAATACATTATTTTTGTAGTAATTTATGGGTGTGCCCATCACATAGCCGTATTGTTTTATCAATCTACTCGTGTTATAAAACTTGTACTATTTATTCATAGCTTATTCTAAATCCATGACATATCAATCATGTACTCATATTATAACATGTAAATTAATAATACCACGTAACAGTGCGATCGTAACACTATTAACGACAATGTCACTTTTAAAAAAACACCATTGCAGGCTAGCTACCAGGATTGATTAATGACATCTTAGCTTACATAGGAATGATGAAACATGTTCAACACGAACAACATGTTTATAAATAAAATAAAATAAAAAAATGGGACAATTTCCGTCACATTATCTTTTGCTTAAAAACTGGGCAAGCATCAGCATCGAAGAAGAGCCTCTAAATAAAAACAAGACAAATATTATTATTCAAAGGAAACGATGTTGTTATTTTGGAAAACAACATCAAATTCCCAGGTTCCATGCAGAGAGCTTTCAGATTTCAGCATCGTACGAACAGCATTGGCCATGGCTGAGCTGTAGTTGTAGCTTTAGAGACAAGAAAGGCCCGGCAGCATTTAAGGTCCTTATAATTATAATACCAAAATCACCACTTGACTCAACGTGTCAATTGTCCTTAATTATACTTATTTTTATTAATTTTCAATTAGTGCCTTGATTAGTTTGTAATTCAAACAGGGTTTGGCGGATTGAAGTTTCCAATCCAAGTTCAGTCTCCTATAATTGGAGTTTCGAAATCTAATCTTAATCAAATTCGAACACACTTTTCATTGCAGTTGAGCTAAGAATCTAGGTTGTGAGTATCAATTTATTCTACAAGTTTAGCTAGTTTTTAAATGGCGCTAACTACTTTCTCTTTTTGTCTTCTCTCATACCTATAATGTAATGTTGTCTTATAATGAAAACCAAACTAAAGGATGAGAACGGAATGTAAAGTGGGAAGGTACAAATGAAAAGGTATTCAGTATTCTACTTTATGAGTTAGGTCAGTTTAGCCAAATCAGTGTGCTCGCCTCTTTGCAAATGATCGAAATTGACTACATCTTACTGCCTCGCCATACTTATTGTTCTTTCTCGTCCAATTGAACTATTTTATAGATAAAAATCTACCAAAACAAGTTGTATAGAGTTTTTGACAGTTTGATTGGATGCCCTAGTTCTATCACAGTTTGAAATTAAAATAAAACAAACAAGCATAAAAACAAACAACTACATTGGCTAGCCAACATAATTTATTAGCTTATGGTAAAACGAAATTGACTACATTTTACTGTCACTCCATGCTTATAAACAACAAGGTTGAAACATATTCTCATCCAATCCAATTGAATTATTATATATATATATGTTTACAATGATATCCACACAGTAATAATGTATCAATATCCGAATAA